TTGTGAAGCAACCAAAGAACAATCATGATCACTCCATGTCGATAGGAATATTTCATTTGGCTTAGATTCGGTCGGGTTAAGGATAAGTATTGATCAACTGTCGCCAAGCAGATACTGGTCAAGGAGACTAGAGCACAGAAGTGTACTAAAAATTCTCGCATTTTACAGATCCATGATGAGCGTAATAGGTTTATTTGAAATCCATAGTTGAGAGTTCGGAATAAAACGGCTACGAGGATTTGCCCAATGTTTGATAACGACATAATTCGTAAATAAAATACACCTGGGCTTTCTCGAAACACTCGCAACGTTTGAAATATAATCAAGTTCAATAGTTCACCAATGATACCTGTAATCAGTAATGTTGACCCGAAATAGATATAAACATCTTTTGTAGTCGTTTGATAGAATAAAATTATAGGTGATGTTGACGACGACATTTTGTTTTATGTTAACTAAAGTAGAAATACGTTGCCTGAAAATTATGTTTTTATATAGTTTCGCGTAAACATCTCTTCTCTTGGTTTTCTCTTTCACAATTTATTTTTTGGGTTCACTTCGAACAAACCAGAAGATGTTCTTTAGAGTCATAAAGCAATCTTTTATTAAAACTTTCTGATTATCACAGTTTGAGCACTTCATTAAATGAATAAAATAACTTAGAAATGTAAGACTGAATACAAGAATACCTTTATAAAAAGTACTAATATATTCATATCTACATAACAGGTTTCTCATAGGTGTGTTCAACTAAAAGTTTTTTTCCTATGAAAGTGAATCCTAAGAGATTGCTCAATAAAATAGCGTGTCGTATTTATGTCGCATGACTGTTAGTAAACACTTGGCATGATGAAGCCTCGACTCGATTTCATAAAAAGAAGATTTCTCAATATAATTAAACTAATGATGACTATACCATTGTTCATCGTACATCACAAAAAGATCATCTTGTTTTCATACCTCCACGAATGTTTGTACTTCAATAGGAAAATGACGTTTCTTTTCACTATGCTGGAAATATGAGCTTACAAGATGATGCTATTCACACACTTCAATTCTACAGCGACAGATTCAGATGAGTTTTTTTTCTACTTGAGTGAATGCAAGTACTGCTATTTGTCTAGATGTAAATTCCTTAATCCATCGAACTTCGTTGGGCTCTTCTTTTATGATCGTCCACAAGCTTAGAAAAACTTCAGGAAATCCGTGATAAAATCAATAAAAACTTCCGAACATCCGTCACTTTCGCAATCTCACCTCGAAACGGCAAAAAATCAATTTCCTTTGCTAACATCCGGCCATGTTGTCATGTGCTCACCATGGGTGGTACGAATAGTCGATTTCATGCGGTTCAAAATTTGATGACGTTTTTGTCAAAAAATGCATTCGTACCAATTGGTACTCTTCCACGAATATGAACAGCACGCTCAACGACTGAATGGAAACAATGAACTAGAGAAAAGTTTCTTCTTCGTACTTCCGATGTGGGTGAAGACTCGTGTGCGTTTCAATGTGAATCTGCTTAGTTAAGTAGAATTCCTGCTTTGGAATATTTCGACGAACACTGAAATTAATTATTTCTTATTAATTAAAGCCACTTAAGAGCTTAAGCTTACTGGCTTTGTATAAAAGCGCAATGCATACTTCGAGTAAAGCTCAAAAGGTGGAACATGTCTCTTCATACAGCGATTACAGTCCCATTTGTCATATCTGTCGGACTTTTCTTCTTCGTATGTGGCTTCTTTGGTAATATATTCAACATATTCACATTTCTTAAAAGTGATATCAATAATCCTTCAATCGTTCTATTATTCACATCTTCGTGTTTCAGTTTAATCTATTTACTCGATGGATTGCTAACACGTGTACTTGCTGTTGGATTTGGTATCGATCCAACCCGCACAAATTTAATTTGGTGTAAGACAAGAACGTACATAGGCCAGACAAGTTCTTTAATCTCATTGACTTGTATTTGCTATGCTTGGTGTGATCAATTATTTTTATCATGTCAAAAACAAAAATATCGCCGNACCCGCACAAATTTAATTTGGTGTAAGACAAGAACGTACATAGGCCAGACAAGTTCTTTAATCTCATTGACTTGTATTTGCTATGCTTGGTGTGATCAATTATTTTTATCATGTCAAAAACAAAAATATCGCCGTTTAAGTCACTTCAATAGGACAAAAGTGGCGATATTATGTATTATTCTCTTCTGGCTTGTGTATCACATACCATTTTATGTTCTAGCACAACATGTTAGCAGTGACAATCAGACATATATTTGTAATGTTTATGCTCAATATGAATTCAATAAGTATTTTTCCTACTTTCATCAACCCATCATTGCTGCTATAATTCCAATTGTATTCATCATCGTCATTGGTATATTAATCTATAAAAATGTCAGTTTGTTACGAATTAATCATCGTCGTGAGAGAGCACAGAGAAACTTAACATCAATGATTCTTGTTCAAACAATATTCATAATAATTCAAACAATTCCGTACGGTTTTTTCTCCATGTATCTAGCTGTAACATCCTATGGATTTAAGCCGGCATATCGGAAGGATATTGAAGCAGTTATTACCAATATTGTTAGTATACTCTATTATTTCTCTCATTCTTTTTCTTTTTTTATTTACTACATATCATCATCAACATATCGACAACAGGCCAAACAGTTTTTCATCCGAATGAACACTTTTCACGCAAACCGAATTTTTGTTCAAACAACTTCGAATTCCAATTGACAATCGTGATAAACCCTTCCATGACATTTTCTACGTTCAGATTTAAATTAAAAAAGTCGTCTGCAAACTTATAGATGCCTAATTTTTAAGCAGATTCGATAACTAAAGTGCATAACAAGAATCCGTCAAATTCATGTTTGTGTAACTGTGAGATGAATGAAGATAATATTCGAGAAGTCGGTCTCAGATGTAAATTTCTAATTTTTACTAGGAAACATGCATAAAAAATATTCTCTGTTGAATTGATAATACAGTATGGGCTCAAGTGAGTCGCCCTCAAGACCAGTGTTATTTATATTTCATAAAAATAGCAAAATATAACGAGTGAAGATGAATACAATTTTTTGTATTTTGTTCGAAGATCTAAATGGTTCTCAATATCTGATAACTTAAACACATATCACTTCAATCTATATGCACTGGTTTGGTTCTAAAAAAACAGAGATATGTCGTTCTTTACCACAAACTCATACTTTTAAGATCTATAATAAGAAAGTAATGCAATATTTAAAAAAGAGGAGGTATATAATAGATTGATTCAGTTCTGACACTATTCATTCGGCTCATTTTTAGTAAATGAATACTTTGTGCTCGCACAAACACGACTATTCTATCAGTAATTAAAAACTTTTCTTTGAGAATATTTCCACACAAATCGCATACTAGAAACAGCAAAAACATCCTGATATTTAAATGATGATATCGGAACATCGTTGATCCACTGTACTGCTATCTTAACATCAGCGCCTTCATTGATATACAGATCATCGACGCATGTTCCTCGACAAAAACGATCATCCTTCGTAGCTTTTTACTGTGTCATTTTCTGTCGTAATATTTTGCCACATAGTACAACTATTATTAAGGATCGGATAGCTTTCCTTATCTCTAATTTAATATTCCACCCGAAACTTGTTTCTTATACACACCATTCATGTTCTTACATTCGACAATAACACTTGATAACAGTCCAGGTCGATCGTTCCAGCTCAGAGTTCGCACGAAACGATCGGAAAATAAAATTAACCGGCTGGAACAGACCCAACCGTACTGACCTGGGAATCCAATACGGAACAGTGATTACTTTTTCTAATGCTTTAGACGCAATAATGTGAAACAAGCTGTCTAGGAACCAGTTTTGATTATAATTAGATTTCCCCACCGTTTCACTCCTTTTCAAGATAGTCACATTCATGTAGAATGATAATTAGAACTCATTTAACTTTCAAACTCGACAGTACAAACGTAGATAACTTCAAGGTGATCTCTATGCATCCCAATATAGTACGATGAGAATTAATCATAACATGAAATATGATACATATATATCTATCATTTCGTATGTTCGTAATTAAGATAAGAATGCCGAAGGTTCTCAAGTCTTAGTTCGACTATCGAGGCTATAAATACGAAAGAACGGCAAACCTCAAACACAATAGATTCTTTTTCTCTAAAAAGGGAATCATGTTGAAAGTAAAATTAATTTCATTTGTTCTACTCTTGTTAAACATTTTCACTCTCGTCTATTCTATCGGTACTAATCGAACATATTTAATCAAAAAGGATTTCCTCAGTGGTCTCAAAGGCGGAGAATTCTCTGTTTATGACTCTACCGGTAAAATTCGTCAATATCGTATGGAATCCAAATTCGGTGCCACCCATGATGTTCGAATATATTCATTGCCATCAAAAACACTTCTCGCACGATTGAAAGCAAAGTTTACAGCAGCTATGTATAAAGCAACAGTTAGCATTCTTGTAAATGAAAAACGCAATGAATGGAGTAATGGAACCATTGAACAAAACTTTAAATTAGTCGGAAATAAATTTACAATTATATGGAATGATAATCGAATTCTGATGGAAGGAACAGTAGCATCGTTGAACACACAATTTATCGAAGAACCACTAGGAACTGTTTTAGCCAAATTCCGAAAACGTGTCTCGTCATTGTTTTGGAGAAATAAATATGATCTACAGGTGTTAACTGACAAGTATCCAGATACACTTTTCTTTCTTGGTGTAGCAGCAAGAGACCATAGCAACAAGAAGATTCATCGTGGATAAGAACGTACGGCCAATTCATTGATCTTCATTTTCTAATCTTCGAATTCTTAAAAGCAAACGATTATTTTACAAAATTTATCATTTAGTTTTATGTAATTTTTTTGATCGAATAAAACTTGATTTCGTTTATCTGATATAATTCTATAACGACAATTTCGTCTCTTTACTTGGACAAGACACGTTGTTATATATTAGTGATAAACAATCTTCGGCTTGTGTGTTATCAGACATCTAACGAATGTGAGCAGAACTTTTTACGAGATAAAACTGGCGAAAATGAGCGAAGAAATAAGTTCCGATGTTGGATACTTGATAAGCCTGTTGAATAGAAATCAAATGAATGGTAGTGAATCATGTGAAATTAGTTATGAAAACGAAAACATCAATGGGAAAAATCAGTTAACAAAAGAACAAACACAACAGCAACCTACTATTAATATTAAACAACATCTTGATAATAAGAAATACCTAACGTTGGTTAGTTTACTGCTCTTAAGCAATTTCTAAATGAGAATTCTATTGTTTGAAGGTGATGATTGATCCTGATGCGCCATCCGGTGAAAATCCAATAACAGGTCCTTTCATACATTGGATTTTGGCTAATTTTAAGGCAAATGACGGCAAAGATGGACAACCGATTTGTAAGTAAACATCAGCAAAAGAATAGTCCGCTCATAATTTTTTGTTATTTAATTGATATTCCAATGAAAGAACATGTTTCAGGTGCTTATACAGGTCCTGGGCCACGGGCTGGAACAGGAAGACATCGCTATATGTTTTTGATATACCAATCCGATGAACAAGTGAAACAAGATAGAAAGTTTGATACCATTCCCGAACGTCGCAAATTTCCTATGGCAACATTTGTTGAAAACAATCATCTTACATTAATTTATCAGACGCTTTTCACAGTCGATGCTTAATTATACATGCCAGATCATACTTGCTTTTTTAAAATTTTTCTTAAAAAAAATAATTACTATTGATTAATTCTAAGCATAGTCATCAATAAAGAGTTACTTGAATGTACTAATCAGCAGATTTGTAAGAGAATCTCGTGCTTTGTTGCAACATCCATATAAACTGCGAATGGTTAAGATTCTCTCGAAACATGTAGAATTAGTTTGATTCCTTGTTTTTAAAGTTTTTATAATGCTTCAAATCGATTTTTATCAAAGTAGAGTTAAAAACTAGTTTAAATCGCTATATTGACAGTAAATTTTAAAGAAAGCACTCGCATACTGAATATATACTATTTCTCAACGAAAATAGATTGTCCTTCGTTCGCAATAACTCTCCACCTACATCAAATCTTATTTTAGAGGTCCTCATAAATAATAAAATGTTCTTTTATAGATGTGTGCACATGTATTCAACTTTATGTTTTTATGATATAACGAGATATAGACCAAAGTGCTCTCTTTACGACATTCATACGACGTCATCAGAGCCACGACGTATGTATATATATATATATAATTGCGTGTATAAACGATTAGGAGAAAATTACTGAAAAAATAACCTAAAAATACACTGAAATGAAGTTTGGCGAACATTTATGGACGCATTTAACACCAGAATGGTATTCGCAGTACATTGAATACGATCAAATGAAAGAAATGTTAGCGGGCTTCGTGGCCAGTGCACAACATCTCTCGGGTCCGGATAATCTTTTAGCACGACAGTTATATTTTCTTCAAGCTGATGAAGAATTTTTCAAGGTGCATATGTTAAACTTTTACATTACATGTGCACTTTCTTTCTCAGTATTGTAGCAGAGAAGCGTCGAAAATCAATACATTCTTTGCGGAAAAGCTAGCCGAGTATGTGTTTTTGTAACAGAATGTTTTATTTTTATATTATTCTATATTATATTAGAGCGTTGCGTCGGTTTGAACCTTTGAAGAAAGAAGTGAAATATACCGAAGAACACCATCGGCATCCACATTCAGGTTCTTCGAAGATCTTTCCTCTTCAAGAAAATGGTTCTTCGAGCGCAAGCGCCAGTCGAACAAGTATCAAATCCGCGACTTCAACAAGAAAAAAGAAACAACATGAACGAACGTTACACTTAAAAATCAGCGATCTTAAATTAGCTCTCAGTGAATTTTATTTGATGTTAATTCTATTAAAAAAGTATCAAGGGTTGAATTTTCAAGGATTCCGAAAGATTTTGAAAAAGCATGATAAACTACTTCAAACAAATCGTGGAGAGCAATGGAGGTAAATCAAAACCTGCATATTTTCTTGAATAAAAATATCACAACTCTAGACTGAGTCATATTGATTGTTCGTTATTTCATCAATCGAAAGGTGTTGATCAGTTAATTGAAGAAGTGGAAACGATGTTCATTGAAAAACTAGAACATGGAAATCGAGCAAAAGCAATGCAGCGTCTACGTGTTCCACCGCTTGAAGAAAAACAGCCGCGAATTGTTACTTTTCGTCTCGGAGTATTTATTGGTTAGATTAAATCTCGATTTCTTTCTAGAACTTAGATGAGATCTCTGAATCTTTTTAGGTATGCTTTGTTTTCTTTGTCCAGTATTGCTAATTCTTGCGTTCGCGTTGCGCAAAACTATCACAGGAAAAGACACTTCGTGGCGAGCTGCTCTTCATCTCTACCGTCCGCTATTTTTAATCATTCTTCATATTTGTTTTGTTGGATTGAATATTTACGGCTGGGGTCATTTCGGCGTGAATCACGTTTTGATATTCGAATTTGATCCTCGAAATCATATAACCTACCAAAAACTGTTAGAAATTGGAACATTCCTGATGTCCTGCTGGTTTTTTAGTTTCACTATATTCTTCATTACATCTTACTATGAATATCAACCATTTATCCAACCATTACTCTGTCTTGTATTTTTGCTGATTTTCTTTCTCAATCCTACTCGAACTTGTTATCATAAAGCTCGATTTTGGCTGTTGAGGAAATTATTTCAAGTTATTTGTGCTCCATTTTATCATGTGGATTTCGCTAGTTTTTGGTTAGGCGATCAATTGATATCGTTAGAATTGATCTTTTTCGATATCGAGTATTTCCTCTGTTTTTATATACACGATGCCAATTGGAATAAGACAATTGTTCATCGTGGCGCATTGTGTACTGGTTGGTCACAGTTTTTTATTCAAGCAGTTTTGATTATTCTTCCGTCGTGGTTTCGTTTTGCTCAATGTCTGCGACGTTATCATGATACGAAACAAAAATTTCCCCATTTAGCGAATGCTGGAAAGTATGCCAGTGGATTTCTTGTTTCCATAACTAATGTCATTCGTCGTGCAACGAATGCTTCATACAAGCATGATAAAACATCCAATCCATACTTATATCTTTGGGCAATATCCGCTTTATTCGGTGCAACGTATAAATTAATATGGGATTTGAAAATGGATTGGGGCTTTTTCGATAAAAATGCTGGTGAAAATAAGTTTCTACGTGAACAAATCGTCTATCCATCGAAATACGTATACTATATTGTTATCATCGAAAATATTATTTTTCGTTACGTTTGGATCATCAATATATTTGTTTATTTCGATACAGAAATGGGTGAATATTCCGACATGATTGGTTTTGGTTTTGGCATCATTGAATTGTTTAGAAGATTTCTGTGGAACTACTTTCGATTAGAGAATGAACATTTGAATAATTGTGGACAGTTTCGTGCTGTTCGAGATATATCTGTTAACTTGACTTCAGTCGTGGCTACACCGTTTTCCGGTCTTCTAGATAAAATTGCTAAAGAAAATCAAATGGAAAATTATACTCATGCTCGTAAACATCATACAGTTGTTAATTTCAATATCGAAAATAATGTTACGATCCCAAATGAACCCTTATCGTCGATTGAGGAAGAGCACGTACATACCTCTGATAGTCAAACCTCATTGGAATCTAGGACTGAACAGATCGTCGACGACATTAATGAGATTATGACAATGGAATCTTCAAATATTCTTTTACGTGATGACGATGCTATTGACTGAAAGAACTTTCTTCGTCTAATATTTTGTAGATAAAAATTGAAATATATTTATAGAAATAAAAGCTGTAAGTACATGTTTTAGAGAAAAGGATCAAATATGTGCGGTATGAAAAAGTACAGAGAGAACAAAAGTTTATCTATCAGCAGTATAATAAAGCCGGGTAGACTTTATCCTTCTTTTTTTTTCAATGTGAAGTAGGTAGAGAATAGTTGCATACATCATCTGTTACGATTTTCCCTTTCTCACACAGTTTATCTTTTTGAAAATATAGAGCAAATGTCTATCTATCCATTAGCCATCTTTACTTTCATGTTGATTAGTTCATGTTGGAGGAATAGCAACTGTGATTATAATGAACTTGGACTTGTTGTTTGAAGCGAACGACATTCAAGTCGTCAAGGACAACGTCAATCGCCGATAAATATTAAAACATTATGCACAGAGTACAAGTCATTCGAGCTATTGAGTTTTGGTGCTGGGCATGTTCAGAATCTGAATTTTATTCTGAGGAATAACGGTCATACCATACAAGCTACGACAGGAAATACGCAGTTAACTTTGAATGGAGCTGATTTAAATAGAACTTTCGACTTCAGCAGTTTCCACTTACATTGGGGACATAATCATAATTCTGGGAGTGAACACCAAAGTGTAAGTATTTGTTATAATATCAGTTTACAAATGATTGAAATATTGTCATGTTTTATCGTGTATTTAGAAATGGTGAGAAATCTAATGGAGAAGGTCATTTTGTCTATATAAATTTTGAAATCAATCAAAGAGTTGTGTTGATTTTTTTAATGAAAAGTCGACTGTGTGACAATATTCGATCGGTTAACAAGCGTGCTGCTGATAATAGAAAATTAGAAGAAGAATGGACGAAATATTTCAATATTTCACAACAATTAACAAAAGAAAACGATATGGTGACAGTTAGTTTATCACTGACTTCGTTAATGGTAGATGCCGTAGATGAATTTTGGAAATATGAGAGGTCATTGATGACTCTACCTTGTACAGAACATATTATTTGGACTATTTTTCGAACACCTATTGTACTATTAGATTATCAATTCAATCCATTTCCTCATAATTTATCCTATGAAAGTTATTGCAGTCCACAACCGTTGTATTACAGAAGAGTTTACAGATCTTTCAAGGATAAAATCGTATTGACTATACCTGATCAAAATTGCTGTGCCCTTGTAACATTAGATATAGGCAATCGATTATAAGCATTTATCATAATTTTTATATCATGCTATCCCTTTTGTTTGGTATTTTTATAAACAGATTTTTTCATTTCTAATACTAGATAATAATTTCCTGTAAGCACCACTTCAGAGTTAAGCGTAGTCAATAGATGTCGTGGACATATAATAAAATATCAACCTTCTTTTTTAGTCGTCCTTTCTTGTAATTTCTCAATATAATCACATGTAGTGAAAGAAACGTTCACCATCTATATTTGTTACGAGAAAGTCGGTTGATTTTGGAATAAGTTTTCATGTCGAAAACATATTCATGTGGTGATATACGCGTTAATGATATTTCAACGGAGGATTTTTATAATAAATTATATTGGGACCATCGAATTTATGATATTCGATCAGCTGAAAACTACATCAGAAGTCACATCTGTCGTGCTCATAATATGCATCCTCATTCGAAGAATTCAATCAAGAGCATCGAACAAGAAATCGAAAGCGAATATGGTAAGAGTGAGCATCCATCAACCGTTCTGATCTACAAAAGTCAACAAACCAATCCAGCTGAATTGAATGTTTTAATCAATTTATTGGAATATTTTAAATCAAATTCAAGATCTTTGAAAGAAATTCTTATTCTAATTGATGGTTTTGAAAACTTTCAATTCCATTATCCATACTTATGTAGTGATAGTGTGCATTATAATGAATGTCTCCAACTAGTATGGCCATCTTGCATAAACTCGAATTTATACCTCGGTTCATCTATGTGCCGAAATGAACTAGTTCTTTCGTTACTCAAAATTACTCTTGTGATCAGTTTTAGTGATTATCCACCAGAAAAGCTGCGAATGGATAATATTCAGACGGCACACTGGCAAATTTCGGACAGTTTATCATCGAATTTACTAGAAATTCTTCCTTCGGTTGTTGAACGAATACGAAGAAGTATTCATGATGAAGATGGAGTTGTTTTAATTCATTGCGATCAAGGTGTCAGCAGATCAGCTAGCATAGTAATAGCATATTTATTAACATCGGACATTAATTTTCTCAGTGTTGACGATGCTTTCGCCTATGTCAAATCAAAACGTAATGTGATCAAACCGAACTCATCATTTTTGGCACAATTGGAAGAATATTTAGTTTCTATTCGAAAGAAAAAAATAAAGATTTGAATAAGATTGATGGTACGAAGATGATTTTCATATTTTACTCGCTACTCAGTAATAGGATGAAGGTAGTGTCTATATGAATGGGTCTGTTACACTATCAAATCCTACGTTTGCGTGATACAATATATGTGGGATTTTAGCGAATCATAATGTACTTTGGAAGCATGCTGAATTGCACAATATCAATTGAAAAACAGTACTCTGTCTGGTAGAATCTATTGCAAAGCTACATGGTACACAGTATTATTCAATCTCGTTGATGAAAACTGTAAGCTCATTATAGACAAGAGTTATAATATAAAACATAGTTCAGTACGTGTAATCGATTCTAAAGAAAGATTCATTAATTGGATCGGTTATCTTCTTATTTACATGAGATTCTTCTTCATGGAGAAAGCCAGACTACCATCAACGTTTAATATAATTGTAGACAAATGGAACTCACCATGGAAAAATTTTATTGGATTTTGTGTGAACAAACGGAATAATGATGGCGAGTACTTCTATTTTGCTGAATATAACAAAACCAATTCGGTAACAAGAACTGGGTAAGAAGATGAAACGACGAAAAAAAGAGCCGCTGTGATCAAAAGAATGATACATACATTTGAGAAATGGAGAAATGCGTAGGAAAGGATCAGAAAGGACGACTTAGCGTTGCGAACGAAAAACACATAGAGCATTAGCAATTTAAAGTGCAACGAGAGACATAGCATGATGTATTCATGCATTTTTTGAAGACGGGGAAAAGATATGTTCATGTGTCCATGTGTTCAATCCGATCTTCTGACCGTTTTCACCTGGTGGACGGCCTGCGTGATATGTCAAATAGTCAACTTCTCCTTGTTCGTCAACGTTAAACCAGAAGACACTATTACTGACAATGGGACGAAATCGTATGTCTGATTCCAGCGATTTTGCATCACAGATTAAGATATCACAAAATCGTTCGTGTAATGACAGATTAAATGGTATATCAAGGAATTCGGTTTCACCAAGTGTGCAATTTGCTCGAAGATATGTAAAGAATGTCGATATCCGTTGACCACCGTTCTCCGTCAAATCTCCCTGCGAAAACCAATCATAGTGAGCTTTGAACTAAACACGCGAAGATCATCACAAAAACCATAAATTCATAAAGCTTTACAAACGACGCACTTGTTGTTCATGTGTATATTTCACAACCTGTAATGGTTCGATACGGTCAATGTCGATATTTCCTTGAAACTGAGCGAACCGTTGTTCAATACATTTAATAACAGGAGTTCGATGCCGTTTGATAGTCGTCGTGCTCGATGTGCGATATTGTCCATAGGATGGTTTACCATCATCGTCGTAGAAGGTTGAAGGTCGAAAAACTGGCTCTCTAAAATATATGTGTACGTAGAATGATATATACAAGCGATTTTATCGTGTGTCTCACTAACGTTAGTTCGATTATATGTTGGATTTCGAATTCGGTGAGAAAATTTTCGATATAAATTACTAATGGATTCTTTTCAATAATTCGGATAGTGTATCGATGCTGTGGACATTGCTGTTCATAATTCGAAATGTTATAGCTGTTGTCAATATCTTCTGTTTCATAATGATCTGTATGAAAATTCAGTTGTATCGGCGAAGGACTCAGGTTCTGTTGAATATTTAAATGTAGATACGTTAAATAGTCTATCGTAGATTGCAGACCGACATCGACATATTGAAAGATACTGTTGAGTAGACGATGACTGACAAAAACATAAAACGATGCAATAAGTATAAAAATGACTAGAATATGATAAGTGCGAACCGATGAGACAATGACTATTCTGTTTTTCGTCATCATACCTCCTATAGCGTAATGAAAACGCATTTTGTAAGTGAAATTTATGTTAAATCTAAAAGAAATATGTATTTCAAGACTTCCGATAGTGAAAAGATACAGAGAAAGATTATCCTTGGTAAATTTACACACTTTCAATGTACAAACAGGCAAGAATGTGAGAGACACATTTCTTTCTCTTTCTATTTAAAATACGTAAGATTTTTATTTACAAAAGTAAAAAAATTCACTTTCGAAAGAAAAATAGAGAGTTTATCAAAAGAACACGTGATCATTCGAGAAGAGTCTGTTTTCGTCGGATTTGCAGAAGATTGGAAGTCAAACGCAGGTGTGTCACTTGAGGATAATTTGTATAACAACGATAGAACATCTTTGTCCATGATATGTGAAATTAATCGTGTTTGCCTTTGATTATAATTATTTCGTTTTAGTTCTGCTTCACTCGGTAAATTGTTCATTTCTTATTGAGAATTTTCTACATCTGTAGGATTGTTTATTTGCGCTTGTGTTCGATTCTCTTCTGTCAAAATTTCGTTTGGTCTACTCTGACGTTTTATCTTTTTTTCTTGTATCAACGAAGCGTATCAAGTGTTAGTGGATGACGCCCGCGACGACGCCTTCGCTGACGTTGAGACCAACTCGATACAGTCGAATCACTATGAGTACTAAAAGATAGTTGAGCTTTATCCGAATAAACAGCTGCGAAGTCTAATGAATTCTGATAAAGATTCATAAAAAATAAAATCCTATCAACATTTATCTGATCTTACTAATCGATGATTCTGACAGGTCGTCATGTTTGTTAAAGCTTATGGAGGAAGTTTCCGTTCCGTGAGAAGCCATCCGAATTACAGTATACTGACACATTCAATGACTATCTATCAATCAAATCTACTCGCACTTATACATAAATAGTAGACAAAACGTTATAGTATATCTAAGCGATGTTTGATTTTTATTATTATACAGTCGGTGCAATTGTCTAACGCATTTGTGTGCGTCTGGGGAAAATATTTTTACCTATTCGTTATTGACAGTGAATAAATCAATACCGACAAGAGAACAAATACGAAAACGTATCTCAACATCAACAACAACCAAACAAACACGAATATCACACGTCTAATTTGAATCTTCTGTTATCCATATAGGATTTAATAATCGTCTGTGCTATGTAGACACCGTGTTGGCGTTACGTCTGGACCAATGCAATCAACGTCGATTTCAATTCACGATTGGAAACAACTGTTGTATGATTGCATGTCTTCCATTGGCTCTTAATAACTTATAATGATGGAAATTAGTAAATCAACGAAACAATTTCGTTATTTTATTGTTATTATTGGAAAACGTGCATGTGTGTGTTACTTTTGTGTCAAGAGAGAGAACGTGTGTCATGAAGAACAAGTAACAAAAACTTGCTGATGAGACACTGTCGCTAATATGATTTTCTATTCGAACAACATTGAACTTTAATCAGCTTATCTAAGAAAAAATATTCGTCTATGAAGTCTTACGACATGAAAAAGTCTTCTTCATCATTAGAAAATGAATCGATACAATGTTTTTTATGCTAACTATTCAAGTCGAATGATAAAATTTCGAAGATTTATTTCAAACTGTTAAAAGATATTTGTAGCAGTCGGAGTATAATTCAAATTTGTCGAAAAAAAACATTCAGTTTGTGATTTGAATAAACATATCTTAAGCTAAATTACGATCTTTGAGTTCAAGTTTCATTTGAACGGCAGTGCAAAGACCGCACCAAGTAGCTTTACAACAGTCATCCATGGCAGTTCCCTACAAAACCTCGATTGAGTTCATTTCATCAAGGAAAATACGATCTTACTTGAATTTTAAGGGTAGTTCGGACTTTCATACGATAGACAGCGAGTCGACTTGGAATACAGCATCCGCATAAAGCATCTTCATTGATTTTTTTACCCAAGTCTTGCATAAAGCAACATCCGCAGCACCAAGCACATAAGCCTATGATAGAACAACGTTATGCATCGAAAACTGCGAACTTTCATCTTCCACAAGAAATGTATTCGCGATCAATAAGAGTACTTTTTGAAAAACAGAGGAGAGATTTGGATGATATGGGTACTTACATTCTGTCATATCACTACAGCAATCACATAATCCATGACCCCATTCGACAGTTGGTTGAAAAAATGGGTTAGCATTGTTTGCTCCCATACCTGGTTGACGCATTTGTGCCATTGCTATTGATATTGATCACTTGTACTGAATGTAAAAGACCTAATATACTTATCTAGAAGAAGTTCATGTATTTGTTAGGTGTCTTCGCGAAAATATTTTCTCACAATGTAATTCTCAAACTTGTTTTTACTCTTGACAAATGTGTAAAAAAGAAAATATTCAAGAGCGAAACAAATAGTGACTTTTTCAAATACGATTGTTTTTCTGCATTAAACGAAAGAAAAAAAACTTAATTATTGTCGAAAATGAAAGTAGTATAACCGACACTTACTCAGCTTCCCACCATTCTATTCATAGTCTGAATTGGTAGGCTGCATACTCCTAGACTAGCAACAGAGCTTCTTATTTGTTAGTTTCGCGATTCAAACGTTTTCAAAAGTAAAAAATACTGCTTATCGAGAGTCACAGATGAATACTGGCAAGGTACTCTGGTACGATGATGTACTATCTAACACAGATCGAATGAAGTGGTTACATACAAAGAAAAACGAAAGTTATTCTGAATGGAAGTCCAAAATCAGCTTCAAATATAAAAAAGGAATCTGAATAATCGAACGACTACAATCCTACTGTGAATGCCTATGACAACGATCGGTGCACACATCGTCTCCAAGAATCTTGATGTTACCAACGGCGAAAAAATCATAAAATAACTGACTATATTTCTTTACAGCATCGAGTTTTATTCATGATTCCACTGAATTTTTATTTTTACTTTTCTCGTTCTGTTCGCCTACGAAAGTGTAAATACACTTCAATATCTTATTTATTGTTACAATCACACATCATCAATAGCAACTGTGCAGAATGACACAAAAGCAGTATAGTTTGCCGGAACGAGTTTCCTTTGTGCGTCACTAGATGAAAAACAAACATTGAATTCACGTCAGGCTTTTCGTCGATTCTACCGCACGCCTCCATATCGAAAAGTAAAACATTCGAGCACGGAGATGTAGAAGATCATCTATGCTTGACAACACTATTCCAGTCAATGCGATTGTATTTCCCCAGATCACATAAAGTGAAGCAAATATGCTACGTGCATTCGTGTTAGATGGGAACGATACAATCGATAATTATACATTCATCTACTTGCTCACCGTTGTAAAGTATACTGATGTTATTCCTGAGATATTTGACAAGTCATCTTCACATATAAACGAATGAAAATTCTCGATCATATACATACATATAGGAAACTAATAACGTTTTCAGACGGACGATTACTTTTTCGAAATCTGACAACATTGTTTTTCGATCGAATCTTTCGATAGCTCAGTTATTCAAAAGCCAAGTTTATTCCTTTCGAAAACAAAAAAAATTTATCTTTACAAATCATTGTTAGGTAAACAACATGCTCGTAAAATCTTTCTAGAATGTGCCAAGGCCATTCTTAATTTATCCGATGTTCCTACTGCATGTAGAGTAGAAAAACATGATGAGGACTTGGTTGGCTGCGCTTGATATCTTGCTGCCCAAGAGTTACGAATCACACCTAACGCTCCAAAACCGATTTCTTCGAGTATTGTGCTTAGAAAATCATCATCCGCACTGGCCGTGAGAAAACCTGGCGATGCTAGTGTTTGGCAGAGAAAATTCATGATACGATCGTCGTTAGTTGTTTTAGTCAAGGAAAGCTCATTATGTAACTGATCGAGGATATCATCGGCATCGCCAGCAATGAATGCTATGCAGTAAAATAAAAGTAATAAGAGCTTCATGCAACTAAGATTTTGCTTTTGAAAAATAAAACTGTAATTTGAAACACGTTTCGTTTGTAAATGAAAGGACATTATTTTGTTGATTTTCTATTTGCACAATTGTTATTTCAATGTCATTTTAATGAAACACAATTTATGAAACGAAGAACAGAAAAATCCTTGAATAGTGAACTGAAAAATCACATGTTATACTGACATTAGAAGATATATTTTTTCTACGGCCTTTTGTTAATCGCACCTGGAGAATGCTTGTGCGAAGATCTCTCAACGATTAATTAACAGTCTAAGAACTGAATTCGGCCTTGAGAGAAAAAAACCGAATCGCTCACGTTTTCATTCTTTACGGAAAACATTTAAACGTGTGCCTCTATTCGTCAATACTGCGTCACCCTAACTTCATGGCATTTTACGGGTGTGTTTATCGCAATCGGCGTTACCATATGATACTGACACTTTATTTTAGAATTCATTGATGTCATTTGCAAAATTTGCACTAATCGACGCTCTCGAATCTATTTTTTAGTTCAAATTTTCTCTTTCTTTCAATAAAACTGATTGATATGCGAGAAAAAAAACACTCTCGTGTTTTGTTTGGACACTTATGGTTTTGTTTCACATATTTCGTGCATTATTTTTTATTCTTTGAGCGAATATTGACGTAATAATGAAGAAGCATAATTGTAATTGATTTCTATGAGTACCGAGATCAAAAGACAAGATCACTGACTATATAAATCATTGTACCACTCGTACATCACACAAATGGACGTAACTCAATGAACTGTAAACTTGAACAAAACAATGCTCAATTAGTACTAGAAGGAGCATTAGACTACCACTAATAGTTATTGTTTGAACAATAAATGTTTTTAAACAACCATCAATTGATCCATCTGTTCAAAGAACCGATCACTATGTAAAGAGTTACAAAAGACGTACAGAACAAGTATAAAGAATACGAGAGATTGAATATACAAGAAAACAGTGAATAACCGGAAGAGTATAAAATTTAAAACGACTCAAAACAATAACACGGAGATTATTCGTTATCAAAGTGGATGTTGAGTGGTTTGATGGAATCACAATTAGCTCGCCAGCCATTATAGCTTAGCTCACGGTTTGTGAAACAAACTTATACAAATGGCTTCATATACTACGGTGTCAGATACAGGGCAGGTGTGAGGGTGAGATTAAGAGATGGCATCTGTATCAACAGTTTATGAGAGAAATTTAGACTTTGTGTGCGACATGTATATTATCTCTAATACAATTAATCTCAAGTAGATAAAGAATCATACTAAATGTGGTCCTTTTATACAGATGAATTTTCATATTCTAAGTATTGAAAATAATCCAATTTGATCATTTTTAACATTGAAAACGAAATGTACAGAAGAATAACTTCGATCGAATTGATTATTTCTTTCTGATTCTGTCAAACAATCTTATCGACGACGACGACGACGACGACGGTTATACATTGAGTGAAAAAATGGTAGCAACAGCTTTGTTTGCGACGTTGGCAGCAATACCCATTCCTTTTTGCGTTTCAAATGGGTACAAAAAATCGCACCATACAACATTTCTGTTATTTTTCTTATACAAAAAGTGGCGAGGCTGATCACGAAAGAGAAACGTAAGGACACAAGACGTGGGCGTTTTTCAGTTACGATTGGAACATGAACTAATTTCAAATTTTGGTCATTAAGATAAGCTAAACATAGAAGATAATTTCTATCTCCATTAATGAAGAGCAGCTTGAAAAATTTCCTTGTTCAGTTGTACTTTTTACATCGCACTAGATTCATCATCATGGATTCAAATCGACATCTGATTCTCAATATGATGAGATTTTATATACATTTTAAAATTTTGCTCCTGTAATTGATATAAGTTCGTTCATTGTATACAAGCAAGATAGATGATTCATTTGAAAAGGTTGTTTAGGTTCTACAATGTACAGAAAGAGTTTTAAGCAATTGTTCAGAATTAGCTAGGTGGACATTCAAAATAAACATAAATCGAAAGAGTGCGTAGGACGAGAACGAAAGTGCATAGTTTTATAAACATGACTGAAAATGCGACGTCAATAGGCGATTAAAGAAATATGCAGAGAAATGTTACACTTGCATACAAAAGTATTGATGAATTTGTGATTGTTCTCCGTCGCCAGCTCTAGTCAATAGAAAATTCAATTGATTCTAGTACTTGTATTTTAGAGATTAATAATCATGGCTAATAAAGTTACACCAGTAGAAAAATCTGGTACCGGATCATCTTCATCGGAAATGGATGTGATGAAGACTTATGTTAAATCTAAATTTGGCTACAATGGTGCTGCGTTAACAGATGCGAAAGTAAATAATGTACAGCGTGAACGTTTTGCTTATCAAATTGATATATGGACGTTAATGGAATATCGACAAACAAAAAAAATCACTCGACCTTACAACGGTGAAAATATACCTAACGCCACGAATCGTAACGAATGGGAATTTGATTTCGAACGACCGCCGGCAGATTTGAAAAAGACGAAAACCGACATACGTACACTTGAACAAACACGTTGGACAACAATTTGTCGTAAATGTAGTGGTTTTTGTCGATACATGTGTTCATCGTGCAAAGGAGATGGCGGAAAACCTTGTTATCACTGTAAAATAAAAGCTTTAACGGAGACTGAAATGTCCAATAAGAAACCATGTAAACATTGTAATGATACACATGTTATACACTGTAACGGATGTAAATCGACGGGTATGATTGATTGCAAGAGTTGTAAAGGCTGTGGTAAACTTTTGCATTGGTATGAAATGAAAATCAAATGGTATTCAATTCATTCAGTTACCTACCAATCAAATACAAAAATACCAGTTAAAGTTATTCCAAAATTAATCCGTAAAGTGCCTGAGAAGAAAGATTTCTGGGACAATGATCAAAAATGGACAAAGACAGATACGTTTGATAAGTATTTTCAAAACACATTTGTTAAGCAGCATCCGAATTCGCATATTAACGTCGACAAATTGACGGAAGATTTCAACAAGAAACATGGAAAGAAAGCCAAGAAAAACTGTCGAATTGTTCAAATCAAATGCTCAATTCAAAAACTCGATGTTACTGAAGTTGAATACGAAGCCAAAGGATTTGCTAATAAAGAAGAAAAAGAAATGGGTAGGTCTTCATCACAAAAAAAGAATCTACGATGCAATTGATTTCATATGTTTTCGACTAGGTGACAAATTCAAATACTATGTATATGGAAAAGGAAAGAAAGGTGAACCACTGGTTTACGAAAATGACTATCCAATGAATACTTGTGGCTGCTTCGGTCCAAAATGTGCTCATCATTCAGTATGCTGTACGATAGCGTAGATCAGCAACAAAAACCATCATGCTTTTTTTATACAAAACATATTTATCTTTTTGAATGCGTGTAACTTATCTATTTTTTTAAATCAGTTCTAAATAAACCGATGAAGCAAATCTGAAATTTTAATACTAATCATTCAATATGGTCGATAGCGATGTGAATGATATGTGACTCTTCCTGAAGATTCGTGGTTATTTTCACTAGTCAAGTATTGAGAGTCGAACAGTAGATTTTGATTGTGTCTATCGGATAAATCTCGATGACTATAATAACATCGACGACCATATCGGCATGAACCATATCGTAAAAAAGTTCGACACGGTCTCGTTTTCAATCGTAGTTTATGCGCACCGATTAGTGATTGTTTATCGTCAGTATCAGTGAAACAACGCCAACTAGGAGCGATAAATGTCGACCGTGTACGGCACAATGGACATCGTCTTCCGGTTTCTTTATCACTCTATACGACAGATTGAAACTCGTGGAATGTCTTGATACTTATCAGTTACCATTCGACGCCAGGTAGATAGACACTCAAAACAGAAGAAATGGTCACAATTATTCTGGATGCCGAACTGTTTGCGTGTTAGAGCGATATTTTCTAAGCAAATACAACACGTCATACTACGGCTTGATTGAATTTCATTAGATCGTGAAATGGAATGTTTGGGTTCACTGGTCGATTCATTGGTCATATTTCATAAAGTTCGTTTAAATAATATTAGAAGATAAAACAAAACATGGAATTGGCAGACTTGTTAAATAGAGATAAACGAGCAAAGTAAAGAAATGTGAAGTTTTTTAAATGAAGTGCGCGAATTTGAGAGATAAAAATCATCAATTGTGATCAGAGATCATGAGATTATTTTATTGAACGCGTACTAAACTCTAATGGAAAAGTATAAGTTGTTATAAAAACGCATAAAAAGATTCGTTAGTTTCAATACATAAAAGAACAAATCTCGAATATCATTCTAGTATAGAAATGCACGCACACAGGCATGAGTATCATATTGATTAACCTGATGAGCTCGAGTCTGATGAATATGATTCAGCATCGTTGATTTTACCCGTACTTGTTTTACCTGTTGTTTTATTTTTGGATGTACTATGTGTAGCACCATGTGCTGAATGAGATTTATGACCAGTACTTCGGTAAGGATTACTATCCACAGGTAAACTATGATGTGAACCAAACTCTGGATTATGAGCGCGTGGTAACGCACTCAACGAACCTGAACGACCAGCACGAAGATCGCCTGTACCTTGACGTCGCGGATCACTCAAAGCTAATTCACTAACGCTTCGTTGTGATGGATGGAGACGATGAAATGGTGCAGCAGTACGAAATTCCTGCAGAAAATATTGAGCTCACGTGTAAAAACTCTATCAATAGCAGAATTACTTCGAGATCATGTGCAATATTAATATTCATCAACTGTTGATGAGCATGTGTATACATTTCCATAGCACGAGCATGAAATGCCAATTGGATTAGAGTAAAATCAGTAAAGTATTTCTAGAAAAAATATATATATAATTAGAGAATCTCATTTTTATCTCTCTACTTTGAACTAACTTAGTGACCGAACTGTATTCAGTAGTATAAAACGAACATACCTTTAAATCTGTAAGTTTCATTTCTTCGAACTTATCAATTTCATCTTGTACAACGTTGTCAGCTCGCGATGCTTCAGTTTGCGCGTGTTCAGCATTGACCTGCATTGCTACGATGGTATCACGATCACCCGGATGGCGATCGGTTGTTTGTTGTAATTTACGTTGTCGCTGAACACCTTTATCTCGTGCAGCAATCGCTTTTTGAACGGCTTGCTAGAAGAACAAAGAAAACATGTTCCTAATTTCCCTTTTATACAATTTATGATCATACGCGTTTCAGTTTCATTATTTCTCCATACTTTGCAAGTGGTTCTAGTATTTGTGTTTCTATACGTGAAATCTATCAAATTAATACAGGTATAAACGAAAACGAGTAGAAGGTCAAACTGATTTCAAACTTACAAGCGTGTTTCGGTAATCTTCAACGGCTGACAAATAACTAGCATATTGTTGGAGACTTTCTCGTAACGATGTGTTTAATCGTTCCCGATCAGCAAATTCAAAAATATTTTGAACAAATGCATCATTACAATCGCGTAATCGCGCTTCTTTTCGACAAACTTTACCAAATTGAACACATATGGAGCCTAAGTATTTCTCCACTTGGTTTATTCGATCTAAGACGAATTTTGTATTGTTTGCATCACTAAAACGTACAAGAAAATGTTATACGATGGGATATGAGATAGATCTTCATAGTTTTACCTTATCGGATACATTGTATTGACTGTTAATTGAGATTAGAGTAAACAAAAGAAGAAAGTGCACCATAGTGCGAGATGTAGTGATCAATACAGCTAAGCAACCGATGAACAGATGTCACTGCGGATCCTATCGACAATCTATGCACTGATGGTTATGAAAATAATATTTTGAAATTCATCAACCGACTTTCGTTTTAGATATCTTCAAATAAATTCGAAGATAGCTTTACGAAAATGTAGAGGTCACTGCACATCGCCTACTTGAGAATGAAAATCGTCTAATTCTCTTTCTGTAATATATTCATACGTGTTCATCAACTGGACAGTTGTACGTAGTTTAATCAAAAGGACGATCAGTGCCAACTAACTGATAAATCAGTGGAATGTTTTTGTTGTATCAAAATAAAAAAATATATGGAAAGACCTTCATCGAAGGACGTCAATAAGATGTAGATGATATTGAGTGCAAGATAAAGATATTTATATATATATATTTTGTTATTCATAACACCGACTCATGCTCTAATGACACATACACACACGAGGGAGCAAGTAACCGTATCGCACTCCACTTAGTTTGAGTCGAAACTGATTCATTCTTCTTCTGTCAGGCGTGTATATCAATCAAATCAAACAGAAATGAATTCAAACACACGCTGGCAATTTAATCCATTTGATCAGACTCAACCGTTAAAAAAACATGAATCTCAAGTTCAGCCTGGTTTGCCACGTGTCCAGAGTTTAACTGAACTGCAAGGACCACAGCCTAATCCGGTTGATATTTGTTTGTTTGTTTTTATGTATCATCTAAATAGATGCATTCTTTTAGGTTCTACGTCCAACTCGACCACCTGTGGATCGAATATGTAAAGATGTGCCCTTTCCTCTTGTACAAAAACTTCGTATTGATGAATTATTTGATTTTCGACATGGCGAAAAAATCAATATTGATCTTCTAGTACATCATCTAAAAAACGAAGGTATTCAATAATTTGACGACGATTTTGTTTTGTTATTAAGAGAAAGTTTTCATGTCTAAGGTCGGCTAGCTGATTCAACATGGCGTCATCTTTTATATCAAGCTAAAGCTCTTCTTGTTCAAGAACCTAATATTGTACCTGTTTCGTATGGTTGTACAATTGTTGGAGATATTCATGGACAATATTATGATCTTTTAACAATATTTGAGTTAGGTGGTCCAATTGGTCAACAAACTTATGTTTTTTTGGGTGATTATGTTGATCGTGGTTCGTTCTCGTGCGAGTGTCTTTTTCTCCTTTTAGCTCTTAAAATCAATCATCCACGATCGATTATTCTATTACGTGGAAATCACGAATCACGTCAAATGACTCAAGTATTTACATACAAAAAAGAATGCCAAGTTAAATATTCTCTTGATCTCTGGTATGAATCGATGTTACTATTTGATTGTTTGCCAATATGTGCCTTGATTGATGAACGATTTCTTTGTATGCATGCCGGATTATCTCCACATCTACAATCGCTTAACGATATTGTTAAATTGAATCGTTTTCAAGAAATACCATCAGAAGGACCATTTTGTGATCTGATGTGGTCTGATCCACATCCACAATTCGCTAATCGCCAAACACTTCCATGGGTATTCAACAAACAACGAAATTGTTCATTCTGTTTTAATTATAGTGTATGTGAACGTTTTCTGATTGAAAATCGTATCTTAGCTGTTATTCGCGCACATGAAGTAGTACCGACCGGCTTAAAATTTTTCGAAAAAGGCTCATTATCTCAATTTCCAGTACTCATCAGTTTGTTTTCAGCACCAAACTATTGTGATGTATATAATAACACGGCAGCTATCATCGTCTATGATCATCGACGAAATTTTCGCCCAGTACATTATCGTCATCGTCCGCATCCGTTTGTTTTACCAAATCATGAAAATGGTTTTGAATTTGGTCATCGATTAATGAAAACCTACGTTCAGGAAATTATTCTTGCGTTAATCCAAGGTTATACAAAGTCCCTCAGTCGCACCGATCGTGACGATGTAACTACAGAAAAATTAAAAACGAAAGAGCAAATGTTGAATGAACACACGCATAAGTGTCGACGAATGAATAAAATGAATATTCAATTAGGTAATTTAGCACCATCGGAGCATTTACAAGCGAAAGCACTTCATAATGAAAATGTTTTTGATCAAGCAACAACTTCACTTAATAAATCTCTGGTAGAAAATGATCCTGTATTAGCATTTGATTCGGCATCAAAAATTGATGCGTTGTATGAAGAACGAGTTTATTAAGTTCTACTTTTATTGAAAAAAAAAGAAGATTAAACCAGAAAATGGAAATATTCAATCATGCTTCTTTTTGTTTTATAATATACCTGGATTTAAAAATAAAAGTTTCACGTATTCTTTATTAGAATTTGGTATTAGGAAACAAAGAATAAAAGTATAAAATTATGATTATCTACGTTAGAAAAAAAAAGCCAATGTCTGTCTTTGTTCGTGGATTCGTGCGTTACATAAAACAAATTAATAGTAGCCTAAAGAGAAAAACGAGAGAAAAGTAAGAATATATGTGATAATATTTTCGGATAATTACGATTTGTAGGTGCAAATCTCACTGGACTTGCGGTACGTGATCGACGAATAGGACTAACCGATCGACTGCGAACAGGGCTTGTATAACCCAGACGAATTGGACTTGCAGCTCGAGAACGATTCTAAAGGAAAAAAATGCATGAAAATTGATCTACAAATACTTGATAGTAAAAATACATACTAATGAGGCACCACGTTTTGTACATGCTTCACCCTTAAATAGACAGTATGATCGTGACTGCATTATATTTTTTAATGAGAATTACTGTAGTTACGACACGTCCGCCTTGCATCAACGCAGGCCAAACATGATGATCAACTAACGGTGCTCCATATTCCGAATCATAACTTCGACGATATCTACAAATCTTGCTTTATTTTTTTTCCGTATCCTTCTTTAAAATCGAATTTACTTTGTACTATCGAAAACTTCACCGTCAGTAGCAAATGCAACATCCATTGGATAAGATAGACATGACATATGCCAAGCAACACGCACTGCTTCTCGAATATATGTATTGATGATGGTATAGGAGACACCAAGTGGAAGGCTTAATCGAGGATTACGAGTCAAATTACCAATTATTTCCTGTTAAAATCTTCCTCAAATAGTAAAATATTCTTTCGCATGAGAATTCTCACCGAAACAAGAGTTGGTAACTCATATGGTTCAACGTTTCGATTAATATAATCCTGAACAACATCTTCAAGTGAATCAGGACCTGTATGTGTTATCGCAAATTGCGAACGAAGACGTAATTTCCATTCATTAGAGCGACGTTTAGCAACTGAAAATGCTTCCTAAAGAAATCGCCTGTTACTAATAGAGCGAAGAAAAAGCAATCTCTGATTACCTGAACAACAGCAAAGCAAATACGTCGATTCATATCATAATCATCCGAAACAGTTCGAAGTATGTCCATGGCACTAAGTCGTTCTCGAGCATTTAAGTCATTATAACACTGTATGAGTGAATCTTCACGAACTGCCTGTACAGAAGAACTAGACGATGTCAACGGAACTAATGAACGAGTCGGTGATACGGGACGTCGTGACGTATAGCTAAAATAAGGATTGAGGGGAGAACAGACGAATTGTTTTACGATAAGAAACAAAAATGATAATTATCTACCTTGGAACAGGTGAGGATGATCGCGATCGAATTTGTGCTAATTCGACATCATTACGTAAACGACGAATATCACGTTCGGCTTGGTTAAGAGCAATGTCCGATCGCGGCTTAAATCGTTCGAGTGAAAGACGAAATTCCGTATCACTAAGTCTATTTATAGAAGCAAATCTTAATTATCAGCTAAATGATTCTCTTCCTGTATACAGAATGTTCTAAAATTTTCCGACGATATTTTCACCGTTGTACTTCATTATATCAACTGTTTTTCTTCGTAAACGACAGCTATTGAAAGATACTACTTCTGTATGAAACATAGAATCCTAATTTTCTTCTGGTTTTAATACTTCAGAACAACTATTTGGCCAAACAAAAACTCAAGAAGCGAGCGAATGGAAAGCTGGAAGAACTTTAAAACTTGACTTATCGAAAAAACTTTGCAAAGTATCTTTCTTAACATAGAAGAAAAATGCGAAATTTTTGTATTTCACTCGAAGTTAACATCTTCGAACAGTCAACAATAAACATCAAACTGTATCATTTTCCAAAATAGTCGATACAGCGAAGTAAAGTACTGGAAACATCGTGAAAAAGGTATTCGGAAGGAACTAGAACGATACGCTGCATGTGTTCAACGTACCGTGATCGTAAATTAGATAATTCAGCTTCAATAAACATTTTTTCACCTGTTGACTTTGTTCGCTCATCAATTAATTCTGCTCGTGTTTCTTCCAATCTAAGTAAAATTATTAATATATGTCAAAACAAATATTATATAATATTTACTCAGCTTCAAGTCGAGCATTATCTTCATTGGCATCACGTAAATCCAATTCAAGATTATTCAAATTACTTTCATATTCATTAGCCAATGAATGAAATTCAGCTGATGTACGCAAATGCGCATATGGATAGCGCCACCAAGCATACGGATACAAATCCGAACCTGTATTACTCAATAAACCATTGAGATAAGACGCTTCAAGGTTGAGAAACGGTAAGAGCCGTGCACGAATTGTCGACGCTCCACCATAAACACCACCTATGCGATAGAAATTGACAATGAAAGGAAGTTAGTGAGCAAAAGAAACAAAATGAGATAATTGTTGTTAGTCTCCGCCGATAGAAGCTGATATCACCTGGTGCTTGTAATGCACAGCAAACTAAACAATGCACTAAGTGTATCAGCCGTGTCGTGCAAGATTATGATGTGTGTATGTGGAAGCGTAAGAAGATGGAATATGAATGAACATTTTTTTTTATCTTTCTCAATTGTCGCTCAGAACGAGACGAGAAAGAAGAAAAAAAGATCGACACCCGGAAGAAAGCATTTTCATTTGACGATGATGTTAGAAGAAGAAAAAAAAAGAAACCAACTTCTTTCTTCATCGTCTTCTTCTTTTTCTTTCTCTTCGCACATCACATACACGCACACATACAATGGTTGAACAATCATGATGAGATTTTTTTCATGTTCTAATGCAACTCGATCGAGCATTTGCGAGTTTTAGTTAGACGACAAGGATAATGCAAAGAAAAAGAAGATGACAAACGAGAATCAATGGGAAACGAAGAAAAAAAAAGAAAGATGCTTCGGAAGATGAGAACATTATTCGCCATATGCACAATGAAAAAAGGATGTTCACGAGAGCAGAAAATCGCTTTCTTTACTTGAAACCCTTTTATGATTGATTCATTTTTATTATAGTTATTTATAACAATCAAAATCTTGATCTTTTTCCTTCATTCACAATGTAACTATCACGATACATTCTACACGACGTATGGTCATTGAAAATTGGTCTTTGTGTCAATATGTCCAATAAAAATAGAAGTAGTTCATCATTATTATGTCTTACTCTATCCCTCTTTTATTCTTTTTCCGTCTCAAGATTGACGTTCATAACGTCTTTGTCCTACTCGTATTCCGTGTTTCACATAATAATGATAAGGAACGCACGCAATATAAGAGCGATCGGTTGAATTATTTCTACTCCTTTATTCGTTCGCTTTGTCTTTTGTTCACGATGATAGTACCGATAGAAAATGAAAATAATAGAGTTGATCATGTATAGCAAATGTGTCGCTATTTTGTCTTCTACTAATAAAATCTGTTGTATAGATTTCAGACAGTATTGACTGATTCAAAGGAGAGACATGTAATATTACTAATTTTTTTTTTCTTTCTCATTTATTCATACTGATGGTCTGTACGTACTCTTCAGAAAAAGGAAATGTGGATGAAAGATGCGTAGAAATGAAAGGAAGAGGAGACCGAACAAAATTATTGCTTCTACTTAATTATGGATGACGGAAAATGGAAAACGAGAGACAGATGAAATAATAGCATGTTGTACTAATCCCTAATGCTTTTACAAGATGATGTTCAGAAGACAAGCCTAGTCATAAACTATCATTACTGAAATGACGCATACAAATATCTATGCATGTGATTCACTATTGACTTTCACATCCAGTACAATTTCTTTTCAGTGTTACACGTTATTATTCATTACAGATCGCGTGCACGAGACATCAACGTTTATCTTTATTTCTTTTTCTTAAATGCCTCTAGGGTAAATTGGTCTACTATTTGTATTATTAGTTGGTTTCTAAAACTAACGATCAAGAAGAAGCTCATTAGATTAATTGTTCATTGTTATACGTATGACGTTTACGATTCCGGTTGAGCATCCTTGTCTACAGAATGTCAAACAGAAGAAAAAAGTCAATTTTTTTGCCGAGATGAATATGTTTTTTCTAATTATATGACATTCGACCTGCCTTTTCATGACAAGATTGATTTAACAAACCAAGTGAACTGAAGAAGAATCGATAGAACCTATTGAATGTGAATCATTAATGAAAATAGAAGAAGTCACTTCTCAGGATAATCAAAGATTCACAATGACGGAAAATATATTCGTTGAATAATACAATATAGAGGAATTATTTACGAATAAACTTAATCAATTCATTTCGGCACATGCACGTTTATGCAAAACAGACAAAAAATTGTACCAGCGGAAATAAAAACTCTGATGAGTACACTTCTTGATCATAATGGCTATTGTTTCTGGATGCATCTTGAATGCTTCAGTCTACTACCTTATACAATATGACATGAAGAATTCTTTTCCAATATCTTATGTGTGATGAATTTAACCTTGAAGAGTGATGATTATGTTGTTGTTTGCTATCAATAAGAAGAAGAAAAAAAAGAATACGGTTGCGGTTCCCTTTCTCATGTGAGATGTTGTCATATGCATACATATAAACTACACTTGTCTATCGACGATTTACTATTGAAGTAAATACTGTTTGATTTTCACTTATGTATTAATGATGACGATAGTTTTTTTTCTCTATTAGTTTATAAGCTTTTGTTTTCGATAGCGAAACGAAACAAAGAAAAAACACATGCATAAGAAGATCATCGAAGAAAAAACTTGCAAATACTTGCCTTCAGCTGAAACGAGATTGAGAAGTTTGAACAGTTCTCGTTGAACACGAGCATTGAGTTCGATAATATCAATGCATCGGGATACATTTGTATCGATTGAGTTGACCTAAAATACACATTGTTTGGAAAGTTCGCAATGAAAAAACTTCTTTTTGCTTATTTTTACCAAGTATGTATCGTTGAGACGAGAAAGTTTATCTTGAAGTGTATCGAACGATGCGATATCAGTTAATCGTCGAAGAAAGATTTTAGCCGACATGATTGAATCAGTTTTTCACACTTGTTTGTTCGTATTTTAATTGGAATTGGTATTTCGCTGATGCTGCTTCACTACTGCAAATGAATGTACGTATGGTTAAATGATGAAGAAGACCACCACAACGAAAAGAAACCGAGAGAAAAATATTTCAACTGTTTTGATTGACAAAATTCAAACAGAAGAGAATAATTTAACCGCCAGCAACCACATCAAGTAAGAAGAGAAGGGAAAAATACGAGAGTTTCTTTTTTACTTTTTCAAGTTAGAAGAAAAAATATATAAAAGGATTGGCATGTTCGATAACAACAACAACAAGAGCAGCAGCAGCAAGCAATGGATGAAGCAGTTGAAAATAAAACGAACGAATTGTTATTGTTGTGGCTTGGACAATTTTTTCGCGAGTGCGGTTAAAAAATACAATCGAGGAATAATAACAAACGATCAGACCTTCTTTTGTTGCATGTTGTTCTTAAATACTTACATAATGCACTGTTTCTATGTGAAGAAGGATACTTTTTGTTTATTTTGTTGCAAAAAAATTCCAGTAGAAGATTGATCACTTTGATCAATCGAGAAAATACCTCAAATTCGAGATGAATTCGTAATTGAGATAACTTTTGCTACAAACATCGATCTTCTCAGGTTATACCGATTGGCAGGGAACAAGTTTTTCGAGATTTCACATGTTTGTTTTTCTAAGTAGCAAGAAATTAGTGAATTATAAAAATAGAACTGTGCGATAAGTTGGCAACTGTTTGAAGTATTCGATTTCATTCGTGTTTTTTGATCGAGATAAAAACAAAATACGTTATTATAGAAGGACAAAAAAACATATTGTCTTTACCAATAGCTAATTAGACATCTTTGCCAAGAATAATGCAGAAAAAGATCTTTTCTTTATTAGTTAGAATTTAATGAATAAGTACAATTTTTCCAAGTCCAGTTGAAATCGCTTTGCTGGGCTTTTTACCCGCAGGTAATCGATAATAAACGTTTGAAACGCCTGAAACTTCAATTTGAACATCGTCAATCGCTGCAACACGTACGATACTAACACCAGTCGATCGTACTTTCGCCTGATTTGTGGTCAAACTTAACGCGTTGATATCACCAACCCCTTTTGCATCAAAGTACGCTTCACCACGTACTTCGCCCCAAAATCGACTATTTCCCGTTCCAGTATGATAAACTTGAAATTTTTTTACATTCAATCTCATAGCAACATTGGCTACACCTTGATTATCCAAAGTAAATCCTTCGGTATTCTCACTTGATATTCCATTATCATCTGTTAGAACGTTTCCAGTACCTTTAATTGTATAACGATATAATGGAGAACGGAATCGAATATAAGCATAAATATTTTTATTCGTCATTGTTGATCCGTTCATAGAGATGAAGAGAATGTGATTGTTTACAATTTCGACAAGAACATTGTTTTGAACGTCGCTTGGTGCTTCAATTTCAACAGTCGGATTCAACGACTCATTCGATGTCTGGGTCAAGAATACATCGAATGCACCATTAACTAGAATTTCATCGAATGCAAATGATGACAGAGGACGAGTTTGACGAATAACTGTGTCGTTTATTTGACTTTGAACCAAAGAAAAACAGAGGAGGAAAACAAGAATATAGAAGAACATCTGAAAAAAAATCGTTACGCATTTAATTCTATTCTTGACAAATACTTCGGTTCAATTCTAAAACGGAATGTAATATACAGACCTCGATGCATGTGACGTATATATCGTTCTCTTCGATCGGAGGTTAATTTTCATCCAACGCATACGCACATCATGTGCATATGAATGAGAAAGAAAGTGGTTATATAACATTCGTTTATACACTTTTGAAAGCAAAAGAAATGTTATTATTGATGATTTGAGTCATATGTCAAAATAGAGCATTTGATCGAAAAGTAAATTTTTATTATTATAAAGTTCAAATCGTTAATACATAATAATATCACCGATAGTCTTTCACCTTTTATCGATATGTCACGGATAACAATGTGATTATTAAAATATCTTCAAAAAAAAAAACTTTGCTATATGGAACCAACTATTTCGTTTTTGTTATAGCAAATTATGTTGGCATAACAGTGGATGGATCGATGATGGTTTACTATCAGGATAACAGCATGAATATCGGGTATCATTCAAATGATAAAGTCCACCCATACCAGGTGTTTGTACAGTTGGTTTACCTCTCATCGTTTTCAATCGTTCTAGAAGTGCTGCCGATATTGGAGCGTCCTTGGATCCATGTAATGTAATAAATACTGTATGACAATATCGAGTACAATTCGTTATATTTGGCCAAAGCTCGTAAGCCTCAGAAAATGTAAAGAAGGGATCTAAATAAATAAGAATTTCTTTTTTTCTATAATTCATCATATTGTTAATACATTTTCATACCATATTTGCATAATGTATAATTGGCTTTAGCATGCCAAAGCATAACATTAACGGCTGTTTCATCATAATTTGAACCATGGAAGTGGCCGCGACGCAACAGCTCTCGAAGATTTCGTAGAAATGGTATTGCATGATAGTTCCAAATCATATGAGCATGTATATATGGTAGCGAACGCTTCGAAACATTGAATTGGCGCATAAAATGATGATAGTTTTGTGGGTCATCAGGATGCCGTGGTGATAATGGTACGGGATAGGGCCAAACGTGGAGAACATCAAAGAGAAGATCGACATTGTAGTTGACAACATCATCGGTTTCCATTAATACACCGTAATCAACATTACTACTGACAATCGCGTGTATTTTGCAGAAATAAACAGACTAAAATAAGCACAATAGAGAATTGTTTTTTTATTAGAATAAAGCACAAATAATTCTGAACTGTCCTTCAATTAAATTTTTGAAATAGTTAGTAAAGTGTAAATACACAAACAAAATAATATATCTATTACCGGACCACAATCACGTTGTGAAATACGTCGTTTAATAAGCCGTGGATATGGAGTTGGATCAATGTTAAGATCGACGTCAATTCCAAATGCAATGATATGTCTTGTAGAAAAAGTATGTACTGAATCGAGTAAAACTTTCAATAAATCCAGATATCTTTGATTATTATTACAAAAAGTGACAAATGCTTCTTTAGGTTGATTGGAATCGTTTGTATTCAAGCTAAATTTTGATTCATTGTTCAAGTTTCGAGTTTTATCTATGACCTGAGTGTCATTGCTCTTGATCGATGTTGCATTTGTATCGTGCTTTTGATTGGTAACGATTAATGGATTGAACATATTCTGAATAATCATGCGAGATGCGGTTAAATCGAATCGAACGAAAAGTAAACATGAGGAGATGAAGAGAATAACAAAGAATAAAGCACGAAGTTTGAGTGATTTCGAATTTTGTGGACTAGGCGTATTGTTGTTTAACATTATCGTACACAATTCGTATCATTGATCAGCAATTGGTCACATCTGCAACTTTCATAATAATTATGTTTAATTTTAACGTTAACGAACAATACATAAGCAAGCAGTGTGGTTATGTCCTTTTTTTCTTGAGAAATCTTACGAACGATGTTTCGCGGACTGCGTTCTCATGGAGAAAAAAGAATACAACATTGTTGACTCTCCCCGAAAGCATTACTTATTATTTCTTCTTGCAAAGTTTACACATCTGTGTAATCTTACGCAAAGGAAATCGCGCTGTTCACATACGAAATACGATTTCTTGAAGAAATATATACGAAAGCTTATGTAATCTGTATAGATAGGTAATAATAAAATCGAAATAAATTATTTGACAAGGTTTACACAAGACTTTCCGTACGCAATGTCGTTTTTTATATAAGAAATTATATGTGCTTATTTTATACTAGTCTAATAAGAGACAAAAAGATCGTAAAACTTTACTTACTCACTGGTAAAAAGAAATTTTTCTACTGAAAGATACTTTCATTTTTTCAAACAAATGCAACGATGAGAAGAAGAAAAGAAAAATTATGAATTTACGAAAGAGAACAGTACAACTGGATGCTATGTCGCGTTGAGGACTGTTTTTAAAATAATATTAAACATTTCATACATTTTTTTCCTTTCTAAATGAAACTGTTTCTCATGAAGGAAGAAATTCTTGAAATGATAAGTAGATAATGGTCATTATCCTTTGCTTTTCAGTTCGATTAAAGAGCAATAGAATCTATTGATTTGTCATCGAAATTTTACCTCATATGATGAGAAGATAATTTACGTCTGCATATGAATCAGTAACTAAGCAAATATATTCATTTGTTTTATTTGCTTAGATATAATTATTATGGCTGATTGAAAAAGAAATATAGATAACTTCTTGCAAATGATGAAAAACACGATCGATATAGTTTCGAATTGAAAATATTTTTAAAAGATTAAGGGACAGTTGAAAAAGAAATTGAAAAATAAGTTATTTCCTTGTAGATTTTAGTCATTGTATCCCTACAGTCCTAAATGAATACTGCGTATTTTCTACTTTAATCGCTATCAGATGCGATCGACAGGTGTGCGAACGTTCTCTGCTCTAACAATAGATATTTTTTTTTATAGATTTTCAGGTTGTATGAGAAGAAATGATGTTATTATTATGTTTTATTTCAATCGATTTTTCGTTTTCACATCAGAAGAAAAAATCAAGCCGTAGCTAATTTGTTTCGGATCCATGGAAGATAGTAACTAACACGAGCGTAGACACCAGGATAACCGTTGACTGCACATTGATAACCATAACTAACAACACCATTCACAAACCTATGATAGAAAACAATGGGAAATAGTATTTCACGAAACTGCTGTGAAAATGAAGAATAATCGATTTACCATTGACCATTTGATTCGTACATCAATGGACCACCAGAGTCTCCTTGACATGTATCGCGACCACCACCATAAGCACCAGCACACATTTGCTTTTGAGTATTAAAGTTAGCATAGATTTGTCCGCATCGATTTGGCATTGTGTGTAGTGATGTTTGTTTCAAAACTGGACTTGTTGAACCTTGAAACGATGTTGTACCCCAGCCAGCTAAAAGTCAAACATTGATCGTTTCGAAATAACAATGATGATCACAATGAAAACTACTTACCAACCCAAACTGTAGCATTAGTAACGGTAGCTTCAGGACCCGGTAAACAGATAACGTTCACTTTGTCTGAAATTGTGACAGGTGTCGCAAGACGAATAATAGCAATATCATTCTCTTGAGTGTTTGTATTGTATTGTTCATGAATAAAAACTCGTTCAACAGCCATTTTCTGTTCACTATAGACTGGTTGATTGATATCGTGCATGCCGATGTAGACAGAGTATCTTGATAAGGTAAGTGGTGATTGAAAGCAATGAGCTGCTGTGAGAACGTGTCTTGTATCGATGAGAGTTCCACCGCAGAGACCACCACCGAGTTGTAAACGAACTTGCCAAGGCTAAAAAACAAGAAATGAATGCAATATTGAATGGCTGAAACTGGAGATTTTTGTCACCTACCCATGAATTTGGATGTGCATGTACTCCTCCGACAATACGAGTCTTTGATGGTTGGTATTGTTGTTTACCACATTCGCGAGGAAAAACCGATGAACCTGTAGTTGTAGCCATTCCTTGACAACAGAGACGGATATGTGAACCGCTCTGTTCGATACCAACTTGTCCAACACATTCTTGATTGTTTACATATGATAGCGACATTTGTCCACCGGTGGTTAATATCCATTGTGAACAGAGTTTAGCACCATCACGATAGATCAGTTGATATTGGCCATGTACACTACCAGCAAGGAAAACAAGAAAAGTCGCAATCAATAACATTATTGAATTATGTTATTTTTACTTCGACCAGAGTATAATATAAACTCAAAACTCAACTTATTTATATGAGTTATTTCAAATTGCTGCGTCACAAGTTTGCTTAAGCACAATGACCTCAAAAGTATCCAACTAATCGTATGTCACAAAATGATGATAATTATTATTTTTGTCTCTTTAATCCTCTTAGTCTTACTTTATACAGATCGCAGAAAAATTGAAAGCCATTCGAAATTAATTGAAAAGCACATGTGCGAAATATGATTAAATGATGTAGCGTTTCAATCCATTTTTTCACTCTTATACTGAGTAGTGCATCAGAAGATTTCAAAAAGCATGTTTTCGAAACAAGTAACCATCTGGATATTAATAAATCAACAATAGAATAGGTTGAACGCTTTTTCTAGCAACAAGGTCACTATCGCTAATGCATATTTTATTCAAATATACTATTGTGATTGGACATGATGACGACACAGTTCTTTCAAAGCAACTACTTTAAACGATAGCAACACTAAAACGATAGAAGGGTGAATACGAACATAGAATAAATCGTTACAGCTTTCTTTGGGTTACATATAGAACATCAAATGAACAAAGCATAGTGATAACGAAGTGTAACGAGAAAAAAAGGGATATAGGTGTTCTTTAAGAGTTTGCAAATGGAGATATTGTTCATTATTAATCAATATAATACTCTTCTGGCATGTATTTCGTAATCGCATCAATAAGGACAAGCGCAGTTTCCTTTTCCTCCCCTTCGAGCAATCGTACGGCCATGTCGTGAACCTTCTTCAGATGGGCTCGAGAAACACTGATCATTTCCAAAGTATCCCCAGCTGTAAAATTCAAATAAAGAAGACGTTTCCATTGCTCCGTGCTTAGGCCTTTTTCCATGACGATCAGTTGAACACGATCATCAAGAAGACTATTTCCACTGCTTCCTTTGTTACGTTTCAATTGGTGCTCATGACCATCATCCCAATCGTGTTTGCTTTGTAATTCAGGAATAATAATCGTATGCTTCATTAAATCAACAAGTTGTGAAATAAACTCAACACAACTATTCAGTTCTTCTTCTTTGGATTGAAGATCAACTTCTCTTTCAAGTTCTTCGATGCTCTTGTCGAATTCGTATTCAAAATTATAAAGCTGCATAAAATGGTTCTCATGCTTTGCCATTAGTTCTTTATTCGATGATGATTTTTCTATTTTCTAATCTAAAATCGCAGTTGAAAATAAATGAACAAATGATAATTTATGTAAAAATATCTAGAAGAAAATCACGATTAAAACCGAATTAAAAAGGCACTGGTGTAATTAATTTATAATCGGATTACTCGGTTCTGATCTACTCATTGAAAAGCATGATTCTCTTCTGTCTGACTACAAAAATAAAAAAACGTCTCGTCATTAAATAACAGACATCATGTCACAATAAACTCTAGTCAGGCTTGATATGCAACAGTGTCTAGTATTAGCATTTGGGTTCGGTTAAGGTATAACCGACTGATTTTAAACGCAATTATCTCTGCAAATTTTTACATGAGAGATATACTATTTCTGGAGACAGTTTATTAATGAAAATATTTTATGTGTCATATCTTTTTTCGGGACATCTTATTTCACAGTCGTTGAAATTTTCTGGAACCAAATCTGATCAGATAAATTTTTATGATTTTCATCTCGTACTAACATCTTTCGTCACGAAAATCTTGCGCTCCTTAATAAAGCTAATTTTTCTCTGGGGCACGAGAGGATCTTGGCGTTCATTTTTTGTGACAAAACCTTCAGTTTTCATTAAGTTGTAATAATGGTAAAATAAAAAGACTAGCTTTACCAATTCACCAGTGTCATCGTGACATAATGTACATCATTTTTCAATTAGTGATGTTTGTGAAACGAACTTCTATTATCTATTAAAATCTTTTTCTCTGTAGTTGCATTGGAGATGAAGTCAATATATCTACATGTTATCTGTTCAAGACAATGACAAAGATTTTAATCTCGCTCTATATCAAAACAAACACAGTGGCGTAAAAAGGCATATTGTGTTCTGGAAGTCAGGATGAAAATTAATTCTCACGACTTACGTAATATAGAAATCTTGTTTTTTTCAGACGCGGACAAGTATTTCTGGCGCTACGAAAATTCGTCGAAAGAAAGTTCGACCTACTCAGGTCATTGCGGCTCGATCGGTTCTAGTCAGTTAAGTTTATTTTCCGACCGTTGCCTGCGAACGCTGAACTGCAAAAGGTCAGGAAGTGGCCGGAAATTTCCTTTTAACTTCCGGCCGGAATCCGATCGGAATCGACAAAAAGTGTATCTAAACCGACTCATATTTCGAAGGATCCAGTCGTCGAAACGATCGACCTGGGTATGAGAAAGCGTATCATTGGCGAATCAATATTTAACTGCTCACAATTTAATACTAAAACAATACGTTTTAATTTAGTCACCTTTGTCTTACCTCTTTATATGGTATGGTAAAACGCAATAATCAGATATATCACCAGACAGTGGCATAAAAGAAAGAAAAATTGATTGTAGTAATCAATGTTCGTTAGATTTCCCTGTTGTCAACAAATCATTGAATATAGTGTGTATCTACATTTGAGTATTTGTATGTTTATTCTATTAATTCGATGTCAGACATGTTGAAAATAGAAAGTAAGCTTCTTCCTCTTTTTCATATGGAAGATTTCACTAAGAATAAGCTGTTTTGCTTGTGTGCTCGAATCTCATTGACTAACTTGGATAAAATAAGATCGAAGATCAAAAGGAGCTTCTGGCAAGCTAACAGTGGACTAACCTGTATTAAAAAAGTTAAAATCAGATAGTAGATTTCGACTGCAACAGAAATTTGTCAAATATCTTCCTTCCCAGACAGACAAACACCATCAAAAAACGCGTAAAAACATGAAGGCTTTAACCAACATAGAATCGAAAAAAGCGCAGTTTTTCAAGAGTTAATACTGGTCAAATTTCTCTCATCATGTTGAAATGCGTTAATCACTGCAACTTTAGGAATAATATCACATTAAATCTAATAGAATACCGCGTTATTACGAAGAAAATTTGAATGCATTGGAATATTCATGCGTATACACTTTAAAGATTCGTTAAAACAGTTCTATAGTGATTGCTAACTGTTAAATCGCTGTTTTAACGAAATTTCAACGAGTTTTACGCCTGCTTTTAGAAGTTTTGCTGTGTCTGGATTAGAATTTATAGTTCTTATACGAACGTTCTTGTTCGCTTCTTTTTCTATTAATTATTCTTCTCGTCGTTAGGTTAGTTGTAGCTGCTTCTTAATAGGAAGTGACAGTTTGTCATTTCAAGAAATATCCTACTGCTAGCTGTTCGATGCAAAATTCATTTTGGGAGTCACTTACACCTAACTATGCACGTTAGCCTATATGATTTGTTGAAGAGAAAAAGAGACAATCATGGCGCATCATATATTAGCTTTAAAATGAACGTTTTCCTATCCCCTAGAGCACAGTTTCACTACTCAAAGAAGTAAGTTTAATCCTTTAAGCATTAACACTATCGATTCACAATGCTTCTTTAATAGCTTGATTTGCGAAGAACTACTGAACAGAAAAAGATATCGAATAGTAGTTTTTGTTACAATAAAGACAATAGTTGGGAGTCTATATCTATGTAAAAGTTCAAGTCCCAGTCGGACTGTTTACTGAAACAGTGTAATGATTTTATAGAAAATTATCGTTGAAAAAGTTTGTCGTATAAGGCAAGCTGGTACTTAAAGAGTTAATGACTTGTTCGTGTGAAGATCAAATCTAATTGCGTTTTTCAAATTTATATACAAAGAAATAGACTACAAAATACTTGAATACAACGATGATATAGTAATGATCTTTAGTTATTTGTAAATCTGTTGTTCTGATAATAACGAATATGAATAATTTAATAAGTATGTATATGTAATCTCTTCTTTTTATTTCTATCAATTTGTTACAATAACAAAAGAATATAAGGTATTAAAGAAAGAATACGATTATGTCTAATCCTGTTACCTGGGAATATACGCAAAAAAAAAGATTAATACTTTCCTATCTGTAATAATCTTGATCTTAAATAATATCTTACTTTGCATTTATCCTTTACATGCAATATGATGTTTAGTGCGGACATTCTGTTTCGACGTTTCTTTTAACTGAATAATTTTCTTCGTAAAAGCAGACGTTCTTTCTTCTTGGTGAGATTTTTCTTTTTCATTTTCTTTCATTTCTCGCTAATCTCAGTTTTTTCATCAGTGTCATATCTTAAAAACAAGTTAACAGCCGACAACAGGAAGCCAAACGGTAGTAGAGATAATTATACACTAGACTTAATTTCAACAAATGTATCCATTATCTTACCGATTTGTTTGTTTTTGACCTAACAAATTTTTATCTAGAAAAATCGTCAGAATTTTCTCATCTCATCTTGGAAAATAAAAAGTAATGTCGATGAATTTTTATATTCTTCATAAATATCTTTTCTCACTTTATCACAATCAACTCACACATCGTTTTGCATCAGCATTATTCATAATACAAGAACTGTGAATCCTGTCAGTAATGCATTTATGAAAGATCTCATTTCTCCAGGTCAGATAATATACCAAAGGTCTAAGAAAAGCGGAAATATGAATGATTGAGCTACGATCGTTGAACTCTTTGAATTCTTTATTATACAACAGATGCGAAAGAGCGCATCGGACTAAAATGCAAATTCTTTCATTTTTGACCAAATATGGATCAATATTTCTATTTCATAACGATAAATGGAGACGACATTACTCTTGCGGATTAGGTCAATCTTTACCATTTTCATATATGATTGAAGTTATGATGGTGTTTGTTCGACACTCCTGACGACGAAGAACGCAAAATCGATCGCAAAAAAACAAATAACATTACTTACAATATTTTCACCTTGACAACATCAATAACAAAAAGCATTTAAAGTATTCTTCATCGTCTTCTTTATGAAAAAGTTCATTCTGCATTTTTTTCTATAACACCTACACAGGCACACAACGATGCCGATCGTGCAACGCTAAATGTAATCGACTGGAATAGAAAAATCGTACCTGTTGTGTCACGAAATATGTTTTTTTTCTTACGAGTAAATAAAAAACATCAAATTTGACAGATAGTTCTTGACGGTCAAATACGTCATAAGATTCGATATATGTATTGAACTTTGATAAATTCTCAAATCTTGTACCGATATTTCTGGATTGTTTCATTTTCAGGAAGTTTGAGAAAAAAGACGTGCAAACAATACAATGCCTCGAAAAACGTTTTTATTAAATCGTTCTGAAGCACGTGCGTGTCGGTTAAATGGTATTCAAGAATCACAATACTTGCCGCAAAGACCAGAACTTCGTCAATCATTTGCAGACCATGTTATCTATAATAGTAATCAATTACCACCGAAAGTCGATCTACGACCTAATATGACACCCGTTGAAGATCAATCAAGAATTGGTAGTTGGTAATTATTAAAAAAAGATTTATTTTTTCTCTCATTAAAACTTTCTCTTGTACGTTTTCACTTTGTAAAGTGTCGCCAATACTCTTGCGGGTGAGTTGCTGTCAAACTTCCTCTTAAAATATCCTTTAGTTACTCGTCTCAAAAGGTGCCTATGAGTATTTAACGAAAAAAGCTAATGGTTACGATATCGATGTTAGCCGTCTCTTCATCTATTATAATGCACGAGCTCAAGATAGCCAATCGGGTCAATTGACAGATTCTGGCTGCTCGATGACCAATGGCATTGAATCATTGCAAGCGCACGGAGTTTGCCTCGAATCGATGTGGCCGTACAATATTGAGAATGTCAATATGCCTCCTTATCAAGAACTTTATCAAGCAGCTGATGATTTTAAAATAACCGAAGCTTTTCAACTTGAATCCGATTTACATCAGATGAAGTCTTGTTTAGCACAAGGCTTTCCGTTCGCTTTTGGTTTGAAATTATTTACATCATTTGATAAAGCATCTAGGACAGGAGTTGTACCAATGCCTGATGAATCGGAACAAAGTCGAGAATCTCACGGCAGGTGAGTGTGCCCTTAAATATGACATTCCAGTAGCTTTTCTTCTGATTAACTTTGTTTTTTAATGGTCAATCAATATTTCTGTTGTTTATTTTTTGTTCATTAGTCATGCTCTACTAGCTGTCGGTTATAGCGACCAATCGGCTTCTTTCATCGTTCGAAATTCTTGGGGAAAATATTGGGTATGAAGAATTCCAATCAAAAGAAGAAGAATTAATTTTTTCTTTCAGGGAGACAATGGTTACTGTTATATACCGTATGATTATCTAGCGAATCCGAATTTTTGTTTTGATATGTGGACTGTGCGTCAGTTAGCAAGTGATGATTTTGGTCAAGAACATTGGGACAATGATGATTCAATTAACTACCATTATGTTGAAGAGGATCCTGATGGAAATGAAGAACCTAGTCGAGCTATTGAACAGTATGAAAACGAGAATGAACTTATGAATGACATGAAAAATTTTGCTCAGAAGATGATAGGCTCCTTTTTTTCGCTTGCATTCTGAAATATCAAGTCACATTTAGTTTCCAATAAATTTTATAATAAAAATACTCATAAAATCATGATTCGATTATTTAGAAATGAACACACATTCGAATAATTATATATAACTTTCAATTAATTGTTCACCTCCACACCATCGAATGATTTGCTCAATAATCAACATAGTTTGTAACATCCACGGGATGTCTTCATTCGATTTTGATCCTCCAAATAAGTTCGTCCACCATCGATAAACTCCCATCACTTCGTGAGCCAGGTCGTGATTGCTCACCGTTGCATAGTTTGACGCAACAATTCCATCGATCACGATTTTACCCGAAGCTGTCAATGGTGCATAGTATCCTTCTTGTTTTGTTAGTTTGATGTTCATTATTGTAGCAGGCACGATTTCGTCATGATCAACGAATTGAAGACGATCACCAACATGAAGTTTACCTGCAAATTTAGCCTTACCCGAGTCGTAATCAAAGATGAGATGGTTTGGTGAAATATGAATGGTAGATGTTCGATTTGATTTAGTTGACTGTACTTGGATAGCCAGGAAACTAAAGATACCATCATGCTTTGCATGAATGAACGACGAGATGGGTTCATAGGTATGATGATGATTGACGAGAACACGTTCACCGATTTGAATATCAGCGAGAGATTTATGTGAACCGTCCGGAAGAGTTAACAGACTGGAACCAGAAAAACAACTGGCTCTCTCTGTTGTTGATGTGCATGTGTATTTAGCACATACATTCGATGAAACAGAATCACAAGTGCAAACTACTTCGTAACCAATTATATTTGTTGAACCGTATTTGTTCGAACTTCGCGATCTTTGGTAATTATCGATTGAAATCATGATAAATATATGAATCAGTGCCACATACATTGTAGCGAGGAGAAATGATCTAAAAGCAGATAATTATTCTTCTTACAAGACTTTTACTTTTAAAAGGGATTCTTTTGTATCTGAAATAATGGTTGAAAAATAAAGAAAGTAAGTTTTGTCAATGTCAAAGATGACGGCGAATACGGTATTATTCATTTGCATGACGTCGTTTAATGCGACACGTTCTTATATTGAAGAGAAAGATCACCCATATGGAAGTCACCAGTTTATACTAACGTATCAAATGGAAGCAAATGATATCTCAGATCTAGAAATAAAAACTAATGTTGATTCAGTGTAATACAGTAAAAGAAATATTAGTTTATTTTCGAGATTAGAATGGAGAACAGTTTACAGATAAACACATTGAGTTCACTAATAGAGTAGAAATTTATTAAAAGGTTCTGTTTGAATTTTAAGATAATGATGACACTTGAAACAATCCATCATAATTATAACTGTTGAATATTGTTTCTCCTGCACAGATTCGTACAATCTCTTCAATCTTTAACATGACTTGTAACATCCATGGAATGTCTTCATTCGATTTTGATCCACCAAATAAGTTCGTCCACCATCGATAAACTTCCATCACTTCGTGAGCCAAGTCATGATTGCTCACTGTTGCATAGTTTGATGCAACAATTCCATCAATCACGATTTTACCCGAAGCTGTCAATGGTGCATAGTATCCTTCTTGTTTTGTTAGTTTGATGTTCATTATTGTAGCAGGCACGATTTCGTCATGATCAACGAATTGAAGACGATCACCAACATGAAGTTTACCTGCAAATTTAGCCTTACCCGAGTCGTAATCAAAGATGAGATGGTTTGGTGAAATATGAATGGTAGATGTTCGATTTGATTTAGTTGACTGTACTTGGATAGCCAGGAAACTAAAGATACCATCATGCTTTGCATGAATGAACGACGAGATGGGTTCATAGGTATGATGATGATTGACGAGAACACGTTCACCGATTTGAATATCAGCGAGAGATTTATGCGAACCGTCAGGAAGAGTCAACAGACTGGAACCAGAAAAACAACTAACTGATCTTACTGTCGTTGAACATGTATATTTCATGCAGACACTTCCTGAAGCGGAATCACATGTGCAAGTTGAATCATAACCTTGTTGACTGTTGATATTCATGATATTATTTCCTATTAAAAGGAGTATCAAGAACAAACGTATACTTGCAACACTGCTACTCTTCATGATCAATAGAATGTATTTATTGATCGAATTATATCTGAAATAATATAAATTTGATCTAAATCGAAATAGAAAGCGAATTTTGCCGATTCTGATCAGATGAATTTTCGAAGGTTACTCAGCAAATAAATTGAGATGAAAATTTGCATAGTAGAGTTTGCTTTTATACCTAAAACATGCCATTTTTTCATGTTGATCATATTATGAAATATAAAGTAAATACATTCCCAGTGGCGTCAATCATAGCGTTGAGAGACTTATTCATCTCCATGACGTATTCTTCTCTTTTTTCATCGCGAGTTCTGATCGATAGAAAAATGATTGCAAAAACATCTTGCGCTCTTCTACGTATTTACCTCCATATGTGATCATTATCGCTTAACAAAACAACGAAAATATTCTCTTTGCATCATATTATTTGGTGCTGGATATTTTTTTTTTAAATACTTTAAAAATAGAAGGAATAAAAACATATTCTCTAACGAGTTTTACACACAGACACACAAATTGAACCATAACAAGAAAGCAAAAGAAAGGGAATACTTTTGATGTCTGCTGTTATTGTTACTATACTAAACTAGGAGAGATTATTATGTATTATAAACGACAAATCATAATGAATATTCATAGTCGTTTAATTTATTTCTTTGAATATTTCTCCATAATTAAATGTCAAAGTAGAAGTCAAATCTATATCGATTCAAGTACTGTATATATCCAATATGTCTAAGCCTTGGGTTTTGGTTTACCAGCATTGGTACCACTGACTGCCTTCGATTGACCTCCTTTTGGTGATCCACTCGATGGTCTTGACGGTTGCAACTGTTGTAATTCTTTTCTAACATCTTCAAGTACTTTTGTTTGATAATCAAGTTCTTCGTCATCGGAGTCTTCGGAGATCTCGTTTTCATCGAATTCTCTTGCACATGATTCCAATAATTGTTTTTTAAGTTTTCGAAGTGACTTCCACTGTTTCGTCAGATCACTTTGTTTGTAATGTCGAGGAGGTACAAAACAACAATTACAACAACGATTAAATATCGATAAGATTTGATATTTAAGAATTTCGAAATCGGCAGCTAACTCATACAGCATATCCAAACGTGTATCTTTGGCAGAATCCATCATTGGTCCGATTTCACCAACGGCCAAACCTATACAGATTCATAGAAGAAGGGATGAGTGTCGTTCAATAAAAATAACATTGTTCTTACCAATAAGAAGATTCGATACTAAGATAGTCAGGATAATCGCAAGTAAAATGAGTAGAACAAAACCTATTTTATAAAACGCTGTCGTATCGGTACTGTGCATCAAATCATCATAGTTAATTTCACCGGTAAGCATCAGTACTACAAAATAAGAGTTTACTTCTTTGATGGAAATGGTAAGAGATAAGTGACGTACCTATTTTAGCAAAACTAAATCCGACATTACTGAATGGAGTGAAATTTTGAAAAACCATATACAGCGTTAATGCAAAACCAGCCATAAATATGGCCAGAACTGGCACGAAGAGTAGAAACCGGATAAGAATTTGCTTGATCATAATGACATAAATACCAAAAATAGGTATATATTGTACATAATACAACAATGCCATATAACCAAGGAAGAGGCCACATGCACCTATCTCCCATTGATTCGGACAACGCATGGTAACATTCTTTTGATACTCATAATCGTACAGAAAATAGTAACAAAAACCAAGTGACATCAATTCGAGAATAAATGTAAAGATTTTCGTCCAATTGGTTCTAATATATCCAATAATAGCCCAAGTATTTTTCACGAGAATTATTGAAAAAAGTACATAGAATACAATCTTCAATGACCAATCCGTCGTTGTTTTCAAAGCAATATTACCAGTATTGAGTGCGTCCGTTACATTCATACATAAACCTCCGTCATAATCAAAACCAGTTAAGCTATAATAATACTGTGGATGTTGAGTACGCATGGCAGTCGCTGTATATATACCAAGAAAAGTAGCGTAGAGTGCAAAGCTGAGCATGAACAGGATTAGACTAAGACCGAAGAATTTTTGATTGACCAAACTACGGCTTAATGGATGAGCCATTAATGCATATCGATTGTACACAGCCATAAGAAACAATGGATGATTCATTACTAAGGTCTTGTAATCAATTGTATATGGTTCATCCTTTTCAATAGCATTGTATTGAACAGAGGCTTTACCAATACTGTTAAATTTATTATTGAGATTACCTACGAAGCGAAGATTCTTTGTCAAATTTCGAAAATTTATCAATCAGAAACTATACCTTTTGCCCAATTTCGAATGACATATTGATCTTCTAAAAATTCATAATCGAAAAAGATGCGATGTATCTTGGATTTTTCATCACCAATCGTTGTTGTACATCGTTCAAGAATAGCCATAGCCATATCAGGCATTGTAGCAATCAATTTTCGCATGGGAGTATCAGCTGTTCGACGATCTAAGCCCAAACGAAATGTGTAAAACGAACATCGATCTAAACCTTTGCAGCATGGTACACAGCAAGTTTCCCGAACTTTTTCATTTCCACACGTACAACACGGTTCATTGCGAGTTTCATACAATTGTGCGTTGCGCATCAATTCAAATATATAATCATGATCAATTAAATATTGAACTGTATTTTTATTTTTTTCTTCAATTGCAACCTCGAGACAGTTGAAACCTCCAATATTTGTTTGTAAAATATTTGCATCATGATGTAACAATGCTCGAACTATCGATGATGAACTATATCGACATGCAATGTGTAATGGCGTCTCTCGATGAATATTTAATGCATCTACTTCAGCACCAGCACGAATAAGATGTTCAATACACTCTACACGATCACGAATTACGTCATTATTTGAATCAGATGATCGAGCAGCTTCATGCAATGGTGTATGATCATTTATGTCACGAGCATGAACATCAGCATTATGTGAAATCATCAAATCAACGATTTTCACGTCGCCTATAGCGAGAAATAGAAAAAGAATATATGGTTTGCAATTCTTTCCAATAGTCCTACCGTTCGATGCAGTCATATGCAAACTGGTTTGTAGCTGATCATCACGTTCTTCAATTAACATTTTCGCGTCAGGGACAATTTCGATCATCAATTCTACGATTTCACTATTTCCATTCATAATCGCATCATGAAAGGCAGTATATCCACTATTATTTCGAATTTGTAGCATTTTCATAGTATTTGCTGGATTCATCGTTAATAGTTTATTACACATATTTAAGTTGTTCTTCTGAGCATAGATATGTAACACCGTATTGCCCATAACATCAACTGGAGTTGGATCTAATCCATATAATTGTGCTTTTTCCAATACACTGGTAGCGATTGTTTCATCGAAATGTTCGGCACAAATATGTAAAATTGTACGTTCAAAATCGATACTTGTCTTTTCCAAGATAGTTTTATCACAATATTTATCGTCGAGAAGTATTTGGACACATTCTTTTCGACGATATTTTACAGCCATCATCAACGGAGTGAATCCATCCGATGAAACTTCTGATAACATCAGTTTTTTATCAAAAAACCCACCCAACTTCGGATCTGTAAGCATTTTGTATCCTTGCGGTTGACGACAAGCCAAATTGATCATGTAACTGCTCATATCTTTTGTCGGGACAAGCTTTGCTAAGATATCGGAATTATGCTGGCGAACAGCAGCATGGATAAGAGAACGAATACCATGGTCAGAATGAGCAATCGAGTCAGAGCGCTTATCAAAATACTCTTGAATAGTATCGAGATGGCCATGTTCAGCTGCCATTTCGAATGGTGTCTTATTATCAACTGTTTTTAACTGAAATAATTCTTGTTGTAAAGGAAATTTGGAAATCATATCTCGTCCCGTGCCAAAACGATACGCGTAGTGGATGGCTGTTGCTCCTTGGATATCAGGTATCTATATGTTAAAAGAATCATCAGTAGAAATATGAATCCATTTGTGAGAATGTAGTATGTCAAATACGAAATTTGAGTTCAAATATTCACCTCAGATAAGTCAATTACTCAATAAATTATTATCTTTTATCCACAAAGTCACAGTGCTCTTTCCAAACTCCTAATAAGCTGTCGATCTTAGAAGAAATTCATCTATCCGATAAGGACCGATCTGTGTTCGATTGATTTTAAATTAACTTACGTTAACTCGTGCACGATGATCTAATAATATGTTGCATATACTAGTATGATTTCTCATGATAGCATGATGCAATGGTGTTCGTCCTTTATCGTCCCGTATGTTAACTTGAATATCTGGATTATTCAATAGAAGCAGCAACACAGATTTCTAATCATATTTAAAAAGTGCATATGAAAGCTCGTATTTTGCTGCCGTGATAATGCATACCTGTTCGGTAATGAGAGCTTGTGACATTTCTTTCTCGATGTCAGACGAACAAACAGCTAGATGAAGTGGTGTTTGACCAGCCCAACCCAATAAATTAACATCTGAAAACGAGAACATTATATACAGATGAAATACGAAAACATTTAAACAGATCGGAGAATTGTTTCTTACTGCAGTTATACTCATCGTCGAGTAATTTTTCGCAAATAAATCGATTGTTTGATCGCACAGCATAATGAATTGGTGCATAGTTGTTTTCGTCATCAAGTTTCTCAATAATTTTCTTTTTTTGTCCTTTGTATTGTAATCGACTGAAGCGCATTTCAATTTTTTCCCAACGACTTTTCAATCTTTTCTCGTCCGAGCAACATGCAGCCTAGAATAATCGATCCTCTGGCATCTTCGAATCAGAAAAGATCTTACTTGTTTCAATTGAGCATGGATTGTATGAATAGCTTTTTTCTCCATTTCTTCTTCAGGAAACGTTTTTTGAGCTGGAATGGGTCGCAGTGAATCCATTGGAATAACTGTGCTCACTGGAAGATTGGGTGACACTTTAGTAGTCAGTATTTTCTGGAAAAGCGGTGCTGCTCCACCCTTAGTATCATCCATTGTTGTCATGATATTTTCGCTCAGAAGCACTGTAATCAGCTGTTCATTTGACGATCCACTGATCAAAGTTCTAAAATGTGCAAAACAACATGCGATCAAGATTTGAACTTATACGAAGATTCCAAACAGGAAGATTTTAAGTATAAATCGATCTGTTAATCTGAAAGGACTAGTGTCGAGAAGAACACGTGTATAATCCACCTGTCGAAAGGAATTCAGCATCGAGTGAGGAAAAAATATAAGCTTAAGTATGATTGCACGTACGCTTTTATACCATTATTACAAAGAAAATCGATATTTGACTAAGACATGTCGTTTCACATCATGACCGGCATATAGCAACGGTTTGTTACTTTTCGTCATGACTCATGTATTAATGTACAAAACATTCCATCACCCTTCTCCACCTTTACGGATTGAATTCGGACAGAATGTATTTTTTACTATTTGACTGGATGCCAAATAGTTTGACATGAGCAAAGGAAAAAAAGTGCATACTTGAAGAAATAAAATAAAAAAATTCCTTCTCATCAGACAATAACAGCAACAACAACAACAATAATAATACTAGGTTGCTATGCACTAGCATGGACAGAAAATAGATTTGTGTTCTTACACAAGCTTTCTACTAAATAACATCATCACAAAATTTAAGGTATGAAATACAAATCCAAAATTAGACAAAATTCAACTTGATCACATTTTTCTCACATGTTTATTTCAATCAATGTATCATAAAAAGTAAACGAAAAACATATCTGTTGAAGAATAATGCATAGCGTCTAGTTGCGTCTCTTATCAAAAGCACACCTCTCGATCCTGCGATGAAAACAAAAATAATATCATGTTTTTTTTATCATTGTTGCTAGAGTGCACATAGCTCTGTGAGAACAAAACCTATTCAAGTACTTAATATGTATCATCTTTTGTTCTTGCAATATGTTGTTTTAAATGCTCTATTTCTTTCTAAAACAACGAAAGCATTAAACTTCACCGCACAATGTTGGAATCCGATAGAAATCCAATTGACCGCACAATATAATTATTCAAATCCTTATATTGATGTTGACGATTTCAATGCAAGTTTCATATCACCAACTGGAGAGACAATGACGATGTCTGGATTTTGGGATGGTGGACAAATATGGAAAATTCGTTTCGCGCCAACAGTAATTGGTCTTTGGCGTTATCAAACACACGCTACTGATGTTGGTCTCAATAACCAGACTGGTTTTATTCTATGTCATTCGTATACAGGATCATTACCTATCTATACACATGGATTTATAAAACCCAGTGCAAACAATCGATATCTAACGTATGCTGACGACAAACCTTTCTATTGGCTAGGAGACACACATTGGTCAGGTTTTAATATTGCAGAACGGTATAATCAGTCAAATGATGCACGATTCAGTTCTATGTTTAAAGGTTTAGTTGATCGTCGATGTGAACAAGGTTTTACCGTGTGGAAAGGAGAAACATTTGCAAATAATGCTGAACAGGGCAATCCTCCATCGAATGAAGGTGGACCGGCTTGGGGAAAAGGTGGCTTCTTCATTGATTTGAATATAGGTTTTTGGCGAAATATCGATTATCGCATACAATATTTAGCATCGAAAGGCATGGTTATCTCCATTGCTCAAGGTATCGGTCGAAGTATGAAAAATGCTTCTGTCGAATCTGATCATAAACGTTTAGCACGTTACATACTGGCACGGTACGGTGCTTATCCAACCGTCTGGGTAACTGCTCAGGAATATAATGATGCATACTCCGGAGCATGCGGCCCATGTTGGGCACGTGTTGCTGCTTATGTCTTCGATCTTGATCCATATAAACGTGCCAACAGTATGCATAATGCTGCAACGAACCCAATCGCATATCATGATCAATCATGGTACGGCTTTGTCACTCTACAACAGGCTCACAATCGAGTCAATTCGGTTGACTATTGGCTTGCACAATATGATGCTACTCCGGCAAAGCCGATTCTTGAAGATGAAGCAAACTATGAAGATATCATACCACCCTATGGAGGTGGAACAATAACACCAAAGTGGAAAACTCGACAAAGTGCATGGCAATCACAAATTGCCGGAACATTTGGATTTACTTATGGAGCACAAGGGATATGGTGGGGCTGTTATACAGTACAAGATTCAAACTTTAATTGTGGTACGGGTAGTGATGCACGAGCTTGGAATATGGCGATAGATTTTCCCGTTGGCGAACAAATGTCCTTCATGGCGCAGTTTTGGACATCAATCGATTGGTGGACCTTAAGTCCTGATAACAATAGTATTGTTTGGTCTAATGCTCCTACTGATACCCAACGACCATATCAGAAATCAGATGGAGATAATCGTGCTTTAGTAGTTGCTTATTTACCTTTGCAGTTGAATGGAACTGTGTATAATGGAACAGTGACGAACTTATCACCAACAGACATATACATGTCACGTTGGTTCAATCCACGCAATGGAGCTTATACAATTATAGACAAAGGATGGACACCGACGAAAACCGGACTCTGGAGCATTCCAAACCAACCTACCTTTTCTGACGATTGGGTACTTCTGATTCAACGTATAAATGATTTGACCGAACCAAACCTTTATCGCATGAAAAAATAGAATAGGTGTACAATAAAAATGCAAATCTTTCTTGAACGTTTCGATTCACTTTCACGAATAGATTTTATCTTTTGAGTACATTCATTTGCCTCTACCGAATCTTTATTAAGTTGATTAGTCTCGTTACTAGAGCATGCAATCGTTTTCAGTATGTCATAGTGTTCTGAATACATAATCGAGCATAAACGGTTGCTATTCTGGCAAAATAATACTGCTTTTAATCATCCAGGTAATGTAAAACAACTCTTTTCGTTCTTAGAAATATACAATCATTTGTTGATTTTAAGGCGATTATTTTCAAATATCCATCGGAGCTTGTAATTTATCATGAATCAGACGATCGAAAGATTGGATTGTATCATGTATAAAATGCAAATATAACATACAAAGTGGTACACGAGTGATTGGGAAGAAAAAAATATTCTCGTTACCTTTTCTAGTATTATATAAAGAGTATATTCATCAAGAAAATCTAACAACATAAAATATGTTTGTAGTTAATCGTTTCTATATATGTATGTGTATCTCTCTTGTCCATGGATTCATACCTCATCCAGCAGTTCGACTTGGTGGACAAGCCGGAGAAAGTAAAAGATAATTTTGTAGTTTTGTTTCGTAAAATTCCAGTTTATACAGGCATAACACATACAGAACAAGCACAGTTGGGATTTATTCGAAGTCTTACTCGATTCTTTCTCGATAGTCAAAATGAGAAAGGTGAAAATACAGATAAGTTTCAAGGTGAACATACAATTGATCAGCTGTACCAAATCGTTCATCCTGATTGGACAAATGAACAAGTGAAATTACATTCATATCCATTGAAAAGGATTGTTGATACATTTCAAATGACGGATGCTTTAGTTGACTTAAGTCCATCAACGAAGAATCTACCAGCTGCCCATTTTGATAGTGAATCATTTGCAGAAAGCAATCATCGATTGATGCAATTGAGAAAGAAAAGTAGAAGCATGTTTTTACCTTGACATAAGTACGTTTGTTGTGTATAGTTGTCGATGATGCCAATAATCCGACGATTAACTTAGAAAAAGCTCGCGAAAGAATTGGAAGTTATCTACATACTCTCCAAGACTTTTATTCGCATTCAAACTGGATAGAAATGGGAAAGACAGTTATTAATGATCGTCTCGGTCTACAAGAAGACATTGGTCCAGTAGCTGGAATTGAACAAGCAACGTGTACTAGTACAGGCTGTAAAAAGATTCAGTCACAGTGTGTAAGAGAATTTCTCTCAAGAAGTACATTACCTTATCAGAATATTTCATTTTTTTGAAGAATCTTCTGCAGAAAATCATCCTTCATAAATGTCCCATGGAGTATTATGATTGCCGAAATAATATTTTAGATGATGTTAATAAACAAGGCCTACTCACAAGTGGTTACATGTCAAATCAATTTAATGGAAAAGACGAGCCAGTTATAAAACCAACCAGTGTGGTGAAATGTTCCCATGGTTCTGTTATGGATAAAACATCCCATCAAGAAGCGATTGGTGGAATCAATAAAGATACGATGACGCCGGTTTATTCTCCACATTTCTATCTACAGTATGTGTGTGAACGGATCTATCTTGGAGGAATAACTGTCATTGTTCTACAGTTTAGATGCAGCTAAATTAGCTATTGATGCTACTGAACGGTTTTTCAATGATTTACGTAAGGATATAGGTGACGATAATTTCGACCGTCTCTTTGCAATTAATCCAACGGATGAACAGTTGGAAAAAGCAAAAAAATCTTTAGCAGAACGAGAACAGTTCCATTTTCTTACATCGACGTTATCAATTGGTTTGAGCACTAGTGATTTAAATTTCGAAAAGACTGTTAAACAACGTTTACAAGAGATTCTTTCGATACTTTTTAACATCAAAGATCCAACTCTACCAACGTACGATCTTAGCGATTATGGTGTAGACAAAACTGATGGCAACATTCATTCTGGCTCACTCTTGATTGATGGATCGAAGAAAGTAAAACGTAGGTACATGACTCGACACAACCATGGCTTGTAATTGCTTCCAGCTTATGTTACCGCAGTGCAAAAAAATATTCATGATGATGCTATTTACCTGCCAATGTTCTCTCGTGACATTGTAATAACTGAAAGGGCAACATTTTTCATTTATTCTTTATCGACAGTATAATGAATCACACGTAGAAGAGAATAAAGGAGCTTACTTCCATAGTATACAAATAAAAAACGAATTTAGCTATATAAAAGTCGAAATCACTCGACAGTATTCGCCAAATTCAGAAAAAAATGTTTGTAATCCAAGCAACAGTATTCATAAATCTCGTATTGTTACCATTCGCATCATGGGCTCGTGGAACAGGTTCGATATATAGTTCACCTAGTAAGTAAAAAATATTGGAGATGTTAAAAGCAGATAACAATAAATTTGTGCTAGATATGGATAAAAATTGTAATAAAACAATAACATTAAATGGCGATAAATTACCGGGAACATTTTTCAGTTTAAGTTCAGGAAATTATGAACAAAATCTGAATTGTTCTTTAACAATAAAGGCACCGACGCAAAATCAACGAATTATACTTGTTATTGATAAAATGGATATTTCATGTGATGGTGATACAATAAAGATATATGATGGAAAAATAGATACAACAACTATCTTGAACAAGAATCAATCACAACAATGTGGAATAACCAAACCTTATTTTCGAGTAAGTCATATCTCATTTCGCTCGCACACTTCGTCAGACAAACGAATGAGGAAAACAAGAGTCTCTAGCATATGCACAAATAAATCGAGTAAAACAAGAAACGATGTATTTGTTTTGTAAAATGTACATATTGATACTCAATACGACGTTTCATGATCCTTTTTCATTTCTCAAGACAATAAATTCGAATACAGCCATTATACAATTCACATCCAATGCTGACGGCAAAGTTGGAAGTGGTTTCGTCATAAACGTGGCAATTAACTTTCGTAAGTGTTGATGTCCGTTCTAAATATATCTCAAAGAATTTCTTCTATTACTAGCTGTGGCTACATGTTCACGAAATGATAATTTATATCGCTGTAAAAACAAGTATTGTATATCAAATTTATTCAATTGTGATGATCGAAATTGGTGTGGTGATAATACTCAATCATTTGTTTGTCGCTAATGTTCTGCAGGACTCTTTAACAGTTTTGAAATTTAAAAGAAAATAAACGAATCAGCATCACCTATTGTAGATATGAGTCATTAGCTTTGACTGTGTCATGTTATCTATATTGTTTCAGTGAAGACGTGCATTTTTTCAGTCTAAATACACTGTTGAGCTATGGTATCAACGATAGAAGATCTTCCGAATGAACTATTTGTTCATGAGCTGTTCCTGTATATGTCATTTATTGATTTGAACTATGAATTTTTTCCACTGAATGAACGATTTCGAACACTTATCAAATGTTTTTCAACAAAAAAACGATGCCATATCCATTTGACACATCGTATAACATTGCAACAAAGTCTCTTTACCATTGATTTTATTCTACCATCATTGAGCGAACATCAACAATTGAAAAGTGTGCAACTAAATGATGTTGATCTATTTCTTCGGTTGATAAACAATTCTGATAAAATCAATATGACTTACCTCCATACAATCATTGTTACATCATTCCTTGATATTCCGTTTTCTACACTAACAAATCTCGTATCTAAGTGTCCTCAATTACGTGAATTAAAACTAGGTGTTATAACCAATACTGACTCTTCTTGGGCTGATGGTCGAAAATGGATTAAATGGTTTGAGATTCTGCGCGGACACGAAAATCGTCAAAATGTTCTTCAAATATTGGATATATGCGTTTGGTGCATCAATCCTAATCATGCAATTAATTTTCACTCACGATTTTGGTCTGACGAAGGTGTGTATCGAGACAATCGATGTTGGAGAGTGCGAGTAAAACCTGAACACTTATTAACTTGGCGACAATCAAGACGATCTCTGGAATGTAGTCGAAGTGACCAAGATTACGAATCATTATTATATCCTAAAGCGAATTCAACTTGTACACTTATCTAACGCATACAGTTCTTTTCATTTCTTTTCGGTTTTTACTTGATTTTAAAATAAAAAGTAAATACATATGGAAAAGACTATAGACACGCATAAATGTTGCTGTCACCGAGACTGTTGGAAGAGGAGCGAGAGTAGCAGTGTATGACGTGCAAACAATAAAAATCTGGAGAAATAAAAACAACAGAATACAAGGAAGAGTCATAGAAACGGATTTGCGGTTTAATTCGTGTCTTCATATGGTGGCATTAAGAGTTCACGAGCAAAACCATTAGAAATAAAGCGTTTGAAATCTATATTAAAAAAAAGACAGTTCAGCAAGGTACGATTCTACTAAAATCCATATTTTAGCATTTACCTTCAAAATCCAGTTTTCCTCTCATTGTTAATTGCAAAATGATACGTTCTATTTCATAAATTGATTCTAAACGACCAATGATTGTCAACAGATTTTCTAATTCTTCAATATCCAAATAATTATCGTTATTTGAATCTAATTTCTCAAATGTTTGATACAATTGATGATCATTATATTGGCCTGTTATAATCGGTGCTAATAATTCACAAAACTGTTCAAACGTATATCGACGTAAATCTAAACAAAATGAAATTCTGTATGTTGCCATGGATTATCCGAAATCAGTTTTACGTGGAAAACGATCATTATATTGTTCAAATGTATCTTTCTTTATTTCAAGACGATAATGTTTACCAAATCTCCGTTGACGATCGCCACTACCACGTTCGTACCATTCATACATGACTAAACGTAAAATGAAAAAAAAAATGCATCGTCCATTTCAGAGCAAAGATTGATTATCTATTTCATTTTTTTTTGTTACCTTTGATCAATTCGCCATTAACACGTTTAGTAAATCGAGCAAATTTCTTCACGACATCGTCTCGAATCTTATTATTAATAACTTGCATTATTTTCCAATCTTGTACTGGATGAGCTAAAAATAGAAAATTAGAAATCCTATTCCATCTCATTTCTACACACCGAGAGTATTGGAAGGTGTTGTAGAAATAATCATAGACGGATGATGATATTCCATTAGTTCTATTGTGTTTGAAATAATCAATCGACACTGTCAGTAGAGAGTAGACTGTATTATTTCTAGTACTACACACACGTATACATAGACTGACAATGGTAAGAGACACAACTAAGGAAAGAAAAAGGTGCGTATGTATATATATAATGAAAAACGTGACGAGAGGGAAGGTAAAAAAACGTATGGAAGCGACTTGACTATAACAATCTTTCAATTCTTCATCTTTACTTAGTCTATTAAATGATTACATCATATGGAATATACGTATACGCATCTATGTGTATATATGAAGGCGAAGTGAAAATTGTTGATATTCAATATTTAGACTTCTTAAATAGGTAATCATCCTCTTTCTATTCAGTATATTTCAAGTGTATAACTTTTAGCATTGGCAATTGTTTCGGGTTCAAGTGAGTGAGTAACTAAATCAAAAAGAAGAAGTGTTCTCTCTCCCTTTCTCTCTTTTCTTTCTTTTGATTCTCTCACATTTATGATGAATATCATTATTAAAAGAAAAACGACTCAATTTCATAACACTATATGTCAAACTTCTATCCTTTAAAGGTTATTTTAACACATGTTTAAATTTCACATTGAAACTTGTGTTATTTATCTTAAGATATTTAACATCGGTAAATTTTTCTATTAACAGAAGGGAAAAAAAGATGAGTGTCACAATAAAAAAATCTTCTCCTTACTCGATATATAATGTATATTGCAAATCAATCGTTTCGTTTATGGAAATAATTCGATCGCTTTCACTTGTTTTTCAAAAGACATAACATGCGCATCAGCTGTTGCTTATAATACATATTTTGTAAGAAATATCCTTGAAATGAACTAATGGACAGACCACATATACAAATAATTATACTTGACGAAAAGAATAGACTGATCTAGCATTTATGGCAATAGGAAAGATTGTAATCTTGTCGATGTAAAACTTCATTTGATGTCGCAAATATGGCTAATGTAATGTATCGTAATGTTGCATCTCCCCATCGGTATTTCAAGATGCCATGAGTGTGATCGACTTCATCGATCCATTGACGAACATTTGGCCTTCGAAAAAATTCCATTCTCATCACTTCAAAATTATTGAAATAGTTTCGAATGTAATCTTCACCAAATCCATCACGTATCATTTCCGGTTGTTTTACTGTAATATTGTTCAGTATAATATATTTGAATGCCGTATATTGTAGTTTCATTAGTCCCGGTAATGACTTTTCCAGATCAACATCTTGATCATTGGCAAAATAGACTGCTTTTTTAGTACGCATTTCATGAAATACATTGATCCATGGACCGAGAATTTGCGAATCATCGTCTAGACGCATAATGTACTCGTAGTGTTTAAATAGAGGTAATTCAAAAAGGATTTTAAACCAAAAGCGTATCATGAGTTGATAGTTCCATTTGCCTCGACGCCACCACGATGATCTCGTTCGGCACGAATCGAAATTCGATGGAAATAAATTGAAGGCAATGCTAATGTCAAGAAACATCACTTCACGTTTAATTGTCTTATTGATGCAAATCAAGTCATTTTCATGTAAATGATGATTGTGCATGATAAGTAATGGTGTAGCGAAATTATCCGCTAAACGAATATCAAGTTGTTCCAATCGTGGAATAAGATATGAAGAAAATTTTGGAGTCATTATTACGATTAGATCTCTGTTGGACGTTGAAGAACGAAAAGTATCGTATTTATAAATTTTGAGTTCATTCAGATCAGGAATTGATTTAGTTGTGATTGCATCGAGAAATGGACAGTAATATTTGTCGAAAATCATGTATATAAGTGTAATTGCCAATGTGAGTTTCAAGTAAAATTTTTTACTTTTTCGGGATAAGATGACGAGGATTCGTAATGGCTTCATTTTATAACGCATACAACCTAGTTAAATCTAATCTATGAGACAACTCTAAATTTCAATAACAGTCTCCCAGCGCCGAAATAAAGTTAAATACGGCATTTTATTTTTACACCACCTATTACACTATTTCGAAAAAATAAAATATATCACAAGGTGCAGCGGCAAAAACACTACATTCTATATAATACTTCTTATCTTATATTTACGCTTTTCGTATTCAAAATTAACCAAAGTCTGAGGCTCTAATTTTAGACTCTTAAAAAAACTCATTTTTTAATACATAAACAATTCGTTTTTTCTTGTTTCACTTTTTTATGGCCTGAAATGTTTTATTAAAAGTAAAACAAAAATAAATGACAAGATGCAGCATGAAAAGCTCTACAATTTACAATGGTCAGTTATAAAGAGAAGAAATCGGAAGAAAACTAATTCCTCTTGGAACAAAAAGATTTCCCATCTCGTGTTGTCGAAATTCGATCACTGAAAATTTTGTTCATTTTGAAAACAAAAAGTGCAATTATAAAATAAGCAGTCTTGTGTAAATTGTAGAGCTTTTCATGCTGCACCTCGTGCTATATTTTATTTTTTCCAAATAATGTAATAGATGGTGTAAAAATAAAATGCAGTATTTAACTTTATTTCGGCGCTGGGAGAGTGGCATAAAATTAACTCGTTGAGTTCTGTCAACACTTGTAAGCCGAACTTTTCATTCGGCCTACGAAGTAACAACTATGTCATTCATTGTGCTACTAATGAATTGAGGTTATACGAAAAATCTCAGCTGATTCTAATCAAGTGTTTCTGCGCCATAATCCAAATTTAAACTCGATCATCACTTATTCGAAATGTGATGTCGGTGCAGAAAAATCTCTTTGAAATCAGTCGATATTTTTCACTAAGTTTTCTTCGGCAATTCATGAGGGGACACAGTACTTCGTCTCTACTATTGAATATCCACAAATCAGCAATTTTGTTGCACTTTCAAAAGACAAACTATAACAAAATACGAAAGAATTGCACTTCACAGTGTGACTTTACTTTTCTCGGTAAAGATGAAATGTAACTCCTAGTCATGATAACATACGCACACACACACGAATTTCAATGTTCTCTCAATACAAACCTCATGAACAGGATGAAATGAAATGAAATGAAATGAAATCATATACAAGCACACACGAAAACAACGAATGACGATACGGATGACTAAATTTGACTCACACAGTCGAATACGACCAAAAGTATCAACGCATACGCGACATTCGTGTTTCGTTGTATTGCAATGAGAAATCACTTTGTAATTCGTGAGAGTTTTAAATTCGTTTTTATTTTTTTTCTTGCCAAAAACAAATGCAATAAAACGCATATAGACACAAACAAATATATATTTATATACTGTAGATACATATATGTTAATATATGTATACACTGTTCAAAACAAACAAAGGGAAAAGAAAAACCATCTTATAGTACGAAGATAAAAGAACAATTACAATAGAATAACAAAGATACACACACCACAGCAAGTGAGTTCAAGATTTAACTGTCAATCGATCTAATAGAAAGAAAGAGTGATGCTACTGTTCGAAATAACATGACAACAACGACACAGAATGAATAAAATGAGGAAAATACCTGAGCATTATGTTCTTTTCTTTTCTTTCTACTTAAGGGATAAAAATAAATGAGACATTAAATTTCCTTATTGGTCATTTTCAGCAACTTTGCCATCATCAATATCAATCTCTTCGTCTTCATCTTCTCTTTCATTTGTTGTCGACGGCGATCGAAAGTTCTTCTCATCATCATCAACATCATCATTGTTAGCATTATGATTTTCTTCTCGTTCAGCTTGAGCTTTTTGATTCAATGAATCTACAATTTCGTCTAAACAAGCCTTCTTGTAAACGCCAGATTTCTTTGCCATTAACATGTCTGCTTCTAGAATAGGTATTTGTTGTTCAGCGGCTAGTAGACGACGCTTTCGATCGAAGTATTTTCGTTGATCATTAATCGTTGTTTCTTGTGTCATCGCTGACGATGCACTATTCGACGAAATCGTCGATTCGACATCATCCAGATCTCCGATGGTGCTATCGTGTTGTTGATTATGATCGTGTGACGATGTTTTACTAGTTGTACTCGCATTGGATGAAACGTGAACCGATTCGAATTTCGATAGACGTTCACGAAGTAATTCATTTTCTCGCTAAATAAAAGAAAAATACAACTGCTCGTATTTTTGCAAAGTCCAAAGAAAAAAGCAATTTACGCGTAGTAAAATAGTTTCATTTTGTTGATTGTCATGAACAGACAACGTGTTGGTTCTTGATGATTGTGTATAAGCAGCCAGTTGTAATTGAGAGATATACGCCAATAGCTGAGTACGCCCGCGCGGCGACGTAACTGTCGATTCAATAATGTGTCGAATACCATCTGGTGTAAAATCTATGTATACGAAACGAAATTAAAGTGACCATTGAAAGGATATTTTTCTTTGAACACTTATGAACACAGTACTCAATATGTTTTGTTGACAAAGCTTATGTAACTATTCCTGATGACATAGATGTGACATGCATAAACGAAAAGATATCGAGAATATTTATTCTTACCATTAAAGTTTGTTATGGATGAGGTTGTTGGGTCATTTAATTCGGGTGAACTCGAACGAACCACACGTAATGGTGATGGCCGAGGAACAGACGAAGCGAATGAGTAATCTCCCGAATGATTATCTTTTTTCACTGTTGAAAATGCTGTTTGAGGATGAGAATAAAGGTTATTTGCCGCTGGCCAACTATCACCCGACGATGATGGATTTGTTTTTGCGCGTTTTTCTGCCGGTATTAAAGAATCCTAGTTTAAAAATGTTTTTTTAGACAAAAATTTTTCAAATTCCTCTTCGTTACCATTGGTTGCGACAATCGTTTTTTCGGATTGTTATTTGTTGTTGTAGTATTATTATTATTGTTGTTGAGAAATTTCTCTTTCATTAGTTCCAATTCTTCTCGTGCTCTGGTGTCCTCACTGGAACGTAGTTTTAAATAGGCGCGCCAATTGTCGGAATTGAATCCCCAATGACAAACACGATTTTCTTCGGATTTGTGTCCATGCGAAACAAATGTTTTAGGTGAAAATAATGCTTGACATGTATCACATTGTATACATTCGGCGTGTGGTGCAACATACAATGTTGGATATAATGTTCCGGAACATTTTCCAAAGCATTTATGTTGAACTTTGATCGAGTAGAGACGCTCGTACTGATTTGCNTAATTCCATCCTTTTCACTTGTTTTTCAAAAGCCATAACATGCGCATCAGCTGTTGCTTACAATACATATTTTGTAAGAAATATCCTTGAAATGAACTAATCGACAGATCATATATACAAATAATTATACTTGATGAAAAGAATAGACTGATCTAGCATTTATGGCAATAGGAAAGATTGTAATCTTGTCGATGTAAAATTTCATTCGATGTTGCAAACATGGCTAATGTAATGTATCGTAATGTTGCATCTCCCCATCTGTATTTCAAGATGCCATGAGTGTAATCGACTTCATCGATCCATTGACGAACATTTGACCTTCGAAAAAATTCCATTCTCATCACTTCAAAATTATTGAAATAGTTTCGAATGTAATCTTCACCAAACCCATCACGTATCATTTCCGGTTGTTTTACTGTAATATTGTTCAGTATAATATACTTGAGTGCCGTATATTGTAGTTTCATTAGTCCCGGTAATGACTTTTCCAGATCAACATCTTGATCATTGGCAAAATAGACTGCTTTTTTAGTACGCATTTCATGAAATACATTGATCCACGGACCGAGAATTTGCGAGTCATCATCTAGACGCATAATGTACTCGTAGTGTTGAAATAGAGGTAATTCAAAGAGAATTTTAAACCAAAATCGTATCATGAGTTGATAGTTCCATTTACCTCGACGCCACCACGATGATCTCGTGCGACACGAATCGAAATTCGATGGAAATAAAGTGAAGACAATGCTAATGTCAAGAAACATCACTTCACGTTTAATTGTCTTATTGATGCAAATCAAGTCATTTTCATGTAAATGATGATTGTGCATGATAAGTAATGGCGTAGCGAAATTATCTGCTAAACGAACATCAAGTTGTTCCAATCGTGGAATAAGATATGTAGAAAATTTTGGAGTCATTATGACGATTAAATCTCTGCTGGACGTTGAAGAACGAGAAGTATCGTATTTATAAATTTTCAGTTCATTCAGATCAGGAGCTGCTTTAGTTGTGATTGCATCGAGAAATGAACAGTAATATTTGTCGAAAATGATGTATGTAAGTGTAATTGCCAATATGAGTTTCAAATAAAATTTTTTACTTTTTCGTGATAAGATGGCGAAGATTCGTAATGGCTTCATTTTATATACGTACGATCAAGTTAAATCTAATCTATGAGACAACCCAAAATTTTAATAACAGTAACAACTATGTCATTCATTGTGCTGCTAATGAATTGAGGTTATGCGAAAAATTCCAGCTGATTTTAATCAAGTTTTTCTGCGCTATGATTCAAACTCAACTCGATCATCACATATTCGAAATGTATTTCTCTGATTAAAACCAGATCAGTTTCTGTAAAACGAATATTCGAATGGTGATGTCGGCGCAGAAAAATCTGTTTGAAATCAGTCGATATTTTTCACTAAATTCTCTTCAGCAATTCATGAGGGACACGATACTTCGTCGCTACTATTGAATAATCACAAATCAGAAATTTTGTTGCACTTTCAAAAGGTAAACTATAATAAAATGAGAAAGAATTGCACTTCGAAGTATAATTTTACTTTTCTTGGTAAAGTAAAGTAATGTACTTTTCTTTACCGATAACAATAAAGATAAAACGTAACTCTTAGTCATGATAACATACGCATACACACGAATTTCAATGTTCTCTCGATACAAACTTCATGAATAGGATGAGATGAAATGAAATGAAATGAAATGATATACAAATACACACAAAAACAACGAATGACGACATGGATGAGTAAGTTTGACTCACACAGTCGAATACGACCAAAAGTATCAATGCACACGCGACATTTGTGTTTCATAGTATTGCAATGAGAAATTACTTTATAATTCGTGAAAGTTTTCAATTCGTTTTTATTTTTTTTCTTGCCAAAAACAAATGCAACAAAACGCATATAGACACAAACAAATATATATTTATATACTGTAGATACATATATGTTAATATATGTATACACTGTTCAAAACAAACAAAGAAAAAAGAAAAACCATCTTATAGTACGAAGATAAAAGAACAATTACAATAGAATAACAAGGATACACACACACCACAGCAAGTGAGTTCAAGATTTAACTGTCAGTCGATCTAATAGAAAGATAGAGTGATGCTACTGTTCGAAACAACATGACGACAAAGATATAGAATGAATAAAATGAGGAAAATACCTGAGCATTATGTTCTTTTCTTTTCTTGCTACTTAAGGGATGAAAATAAATGAGACATTAAATTTCCTTATTGGTCATTTTCAGCAATTTTACCATCATCGATATCAATCTCTTCGTCTTCGTCTTCTCTTTCATTTGTTGTCGACGGCGATCGAAAGTTCTTCTCATCATCATCACTGTTAGTATTATGATTTTCCTCTCGTTCAGCTTGAGCTTTTTGATTCAACGAATCTACAATTTCGTCTAAGCAAGCCTTCTTGTAAACGCCAGATTTCTTTGCCATTAACATGTCTGCTTCTAAAATAGGTATTTGTTGTTCAGCGGCTAATAGACGACGCTTTCGATCAAAGTATTTTCGTTGATCATTAATCGTTGTTTCTTGTGTCATCATTGACGATGCACTGTTCGACGAAATCGTCGATTCAAGATCATCCAGATCTCCGATAGTGCTATCGTGTTGTTGATTATGATCGTGTGACGATGTTTTGCTAGTTGTACTCGCATTGGATGAGACTTGAATCGATTCGAATTTCGATAAACGTTCACGAAGTAATTCATTTTCTCGCTAAATAAAAGAAAAATACAAATGCTCGTATCTTTTCAAAGTTCGAAGAAAAAGTCAATTTACGCGTAGTAAAATAGTTTCATTTTGTTGGTTATCATGAACAGACAACGTGTTGGTTCTTGATGATTGTGCATAAGCAGCTAATTGTAATTGAGAAATATACGCCAATAATTGAGTACGCCCGCGTGGCGACGTAACTGTCGATTCAATGATATGTCGAATACCATCTGGTGTAAAATCTATGCATACGAAACGAAATTAAAGTGACCATTGAAAGAATATTTTTCTTTGAACACTTATGAACACAGTACTCAATATGTTTTGTTGACAAAGTTTATGTAACTATTCCTGATGACATAGATGTGACATGCATAAACGAAAAGATATCGAGAATATTTATTCTTACCATTAAAGTTTGTTATGGATGAAGTTGTTGGATCATTTAATTCGGGTGAACTCGAACGAACCACACGTAATGGCGATGGCCGAGGAACAGACGAAGCGAATGAATAATCTCCCGAATGATTATCTTTTTTCACTGTTGAAAATGCTGTTTGAGGATGAGAATAAAGGTTATTTGTTGCTAGCCAACTATCACCCGACGATGATGGATTTGTTTTTACGCGTTTTTCTGCTGGTATTAGAGAATCCTAAATTTAAAATGTTTTCTTTAGACAAAAAATTTTTTAAATTCCTTTTCTTTACCATTGGTTGTGACAATCGTTTTTTCGGGTTGTTATTTGTTGTTGTAGTATTGTTATTGTTGTTGTTGTTGTTGTTGAGAAATTTCTCTTTCATTAATTCCAATTCTTCTCGCGCTCGGGTGTCCTCACTCGAACGTAGTTTTAAATAGGCACGCCAATTGTCGGAATTGAATCCCCAATGACAAACACGATTTTCTTCGGATTTGTGTCCATGCGAAACAAATGTTTTAGGTGAAAATAATGCTTGACATGTATCACATTGTATACATTCGGCGTGTGGTGCAACATACAATGTTGGATATAATGTTCCGGAACATTTTCCAAAGCATTTATGTTGAACTTTGATCGAGTATAGACGCTCGTACTGATTTGCTGCTAAGGAATTAACTGAACGTAGTTGTCCTTTGTAACGTAATTGCAATAAGTTTGCGCAAAGACGTTCAGCATCTGTTTGAGTTATTAAACCACACGATGGAGCGTTGATCGGCAGAACTTGAATCAGTTTTAGGATATCTAACTGCTCACTTGTGCAACGTGAACAGTAAATATGTAGACGTTCACATGCTGCGTTGATTTCTTGTAGAGAAAAATCTTTCAAAACTGTGTTAAGTATTTCCGGTAAACATAAACGTTTTTCACCACCAACGATAAAACATGTAATACGTTCACCTAATTGGAAAAAAAGAAGGAAGGAAATTTCATTAATGAAACACTTCAATTTCTTTCTCAGTGCATAAAAAATGCTAATTAAAACGTCTGGACACACGTTTTAACTTTTAGAGGCGATAACTACATAGAAGTCAATAACAATTACCTGATGATAAGACAGTTTCACTTTTGAGAGATGCAGTTGATGTATCAGCTGGTAAACAGGGTGGTCCCTGGATCATTGAACCGATTGGTGGTTGAAGCCATTGATCGAACGTTAATGGTTCTTTCGATAGTTTTTTAATTGAAGAATCATTAAATGCTTGTTGTGAGTCGATTTTACCATTAATAGCTGACAGTTTGAGATTTGCCAACGAATTTTCTGTATTCAATTTCGATAAACCATTGCCGAGCAGATGTCGAGGTAAATTCGTAGCCACTCGATTTGGTGGTGTATGATTATAGTAAAACGCGTGTTGAAGAAATTCTTTTGCAGCTGGCTGTTGCTGTAAATGTTGATGATGACGTGCAAGTAGTTTTAATAATTGTGGATCAATCGCTGAAAGTGAGGTAGCTGCTGATGGTGTTGTTATCGCCGTCGTCGTCGTCATTCGTACATAGACACACAGTTCGATGAGAAAAAATAAGACGGAGATCTATAATACAACTAAAAAAGGAGAAAGATTGAACCGAATGACGACGATTGTGCAAATATCTGTGTCTTTCGAAGCGACGTTGACGATGACTGCCCCCTGAGTTGTATAAGAGAAAAAGAAAAGGAGGGACGGTCCGGGCATATACGTAATCCTTTATGCATTCTTTTTTTTTTCTTCTTTTTCCTCTGCTTTTTCTTTGTCGGTCGGTCGGTCGGTCGCTTACGAATAGTTGAACTTACATATGTGCATATATGTTCAATAAGAGAGGCGAGGCGACGACGGACGAGGGAAAGAAAGAATCGAATATAACATCCTAACATCGCCAACACAGAAAAATAGACGAGGAGGAGAACAAGTAGTTGAAGAAAGAGAAGAGGCGGCGAGCAAGCGTAAGAGGTGAAGGTTGAACAAGCGAGAGCGGGCATATAGAGTAACGAAAGAAGGTGGTCGTTTCATAATAACACTTATATATACATACATATACAGAATCGTACAAATCAAACGGAGTAACATGGCATAATAGACTATGTAATTATCTGAGTAAAAAAGATGTGCATAATCATGAAACAATATACTATCAATCAACAGAAATCGCGTTCGTCTCAGGCATTCGGGAAAAAAATATTTTGGATCGAAGCGAAATCATGGCGTCGTAGTAGAAAAGGAGTATTGTACGAGAAAAGCAAAGTCAGATTTGCTGACGACTAGACGACTGAGTGTCGAGACAAACCGATAATGATGTTTTTCTTCAAGGAACAGAATTGAAAGAACTTTTTTCTCTTATATGTTGGTTGAGAAGTGCGACGAGGCAGAAAAAAAATGAGAACTCAGAATCAAGTTAATAAGAAAAGGATAGACGTGAGAATGAAAAAGAAAACTACTACGACGTATAAAAACGCCAACGCACACTAAGCGGAAGAAATACGAAGGTGTTTTTCATAGTGCAATCATGAAATGTGTTAATTAGATAAAACTTTCTTTCAGCTTATCTTTATGGGATGAGACAACTAAGTCTCACCAAAAGTCTATATTGATTTTACTTGCGACATGTTTGAGCAATTTGAAAATTTGCTGCTATTTTTGTTATTTTCTTTTCTGTTTGTTTTCTATGACTCGCCACCTTTGAGCTGACGTCAGCATTCGAAAACAAAATTAACAACCTGCCGAGAACATCATCAACAAACGCACTTTTCTTTCGAGTTATTTTTAACAAAATTTGTTGGATCGTTATTTTTCCGAATGAAATGCTGTGTTGAAATTTAGAACTGTTTAATGAATAGGATCGCACTCACATATGTTATTTATTCTTTTCATTGCATGTGACAAATGACGTCAACAAAATATGATATTGCGTTGTTGTGAACTCATGAATAATTGTCTTTATTTAGTTAAATATGCAATGATGAAAAGAAAAACAATTTTTCCTCTCTTACATTGCCGTAAGAACAACGAACGAAGTGTTTGATTTGTCGATTTGTCTAAAATAGAATATTATTTTACAGCAGTGATGAAAAAAATAAATCAAACAGGATCAGGGTCTCCAATGTCTTGAATTAGTAAGCGAACGACCTGTAGAACGTGCAGTGGATCCTATAATTGGTCGATACTATGAGAAATGTGTGAAATATATTTAAATTGTATTTGCCATTGTTTCACTTACGTCATTATTGTCCAGAGAGGTACTGAATGCATGATTGTCAGTCGATCGTAGTGGTTTGTTGGCATTACTGGTAGTTGAAGAAACGCCTCCTCTGCTAAGAGAAGCAGTACGATGGTGAATAAGATTATAAGCAGAACTGGTGACAGCAGAATTTATCAGCGGTGGTGAATCAGAACTACGTAGATGATTGTTTATTCGAGCCGTTGGATTGTCATATGATCCATAAAGATTATATGCGGGCATTGACGATGATGATGAGAGGGAAATATGTCCTAAAGATTACTTTTGAAATATTCATATGAATGTCGTGTCAACCATCATATTTACTGCGTCTATTTTCTGGCAAAGGTAGTGTGTTAAGCAGTAATGTTTTTGTAGAATTCTTTCTACATATTATCTTATCAATTCAATATAAAATGATATGTTCGATCAATAGATATTTTTAAAATGAATTACTTGATGAGTCAGAAGTAAATCCGCTGCAAATGATTCTTCACAATATTCACATGGGAATTTCTCAACAATACGTTCTTGACTAATAGCTCTAAAACGAAGGAACTATTAGTCATTATTTGTGAGAAGAAAACTTACCTTTGACGCGATCGAATTCGGCGAGCTTCTTGTTCGCGACATTTTGTCTACATAACAAATTCGGTTGATCGATATTTTATATACACAATTTTATTTACAGTGTGCGTTGTCCAATTCGCAAAGTCAATTAGTTTGTTGCAAAATTCGCATGGAATATCTGTACATGTCAAACTCTTTGCTTGCAAAGACTTTTGTTCGATTTTCTTTTTTAGATTATCCGGATTTTGAATACACTTTTCCTATCAAATATGAAACTGATTTACGTATGTACAAGAGAGAAGAGATTTACCTGATGCGCAGTAAAATCAGTTACAGCACAATGAAAATCACAAAAATTGCATTTTTTTAACTTTTCGTGAGTAAGTGAATTTCTTCGATCAGAACGTGATCGAAGTTCATCTATATCATCTAGAGTGGCACATTTATTTTCATAGTGATACGCAAATGTAGCTCTTGTAATGAATTTGTGGCATTTAGGACATTGATCGGTTTTATTCCCACAAAACGTTAAATGTGTACGAAGGGCTGAAGTTGACAACTGAAAGTCTCCGCAAAAACAGCATTTTACCATTGAACTTCCAGACTTATTCTTCAACTACAGTTGTAAAATGTCAGAAATAATAACAAATTCCTAGAATATGTGAATTTCGACTTACTTCTCCATCATTATATCTATTTTAAATATAGTTTAGACAACAATAAATCTCGAAACAACATTACCTCGTTAATGTTACTGGAAGACTATAGGAAGTAGCCATAATTGATAAATTTTTCAACGCAGAAAAATACTCACACCGCAAAGGAAAATAACAACATTTTACGATTGTTTATGCAAATACAAAAATTTCACAAAGGAATAGAAAAAAGTACTGACAGAGGTCATTGGCAGACGTTTACTTTGTATTGTTAAAAAAGATTTCATCAACGAACAATCGAAGAAAGGATGTGTGACAATGTCGACGATTGAAACCAATAAGACTGACTTCCAGTCACTTCCTTACTTTTGAAAATGTCCATCATGATGACCGAAGTGTAGTACAAACATACGAATTTATCATTTTATAATCAATTTTCTTTGTTTTAGTTGTTAAACGTGTTTTCACTCAATAATTGATAGACTTCGAAGAAAAATTTGAATAGCTCTGATGTAATCAAAAAAGAATATTACGTACTTTATGGTTTGATAAACATTTCAGGATATATCTGCAATTATATATTCCCTGAATCATTTATTAACTTCATAAACCCTGTAGTAAACCGATTTAGCAGTGCATCCATCAGTAGAAAACATAGAACGAAAAGTCAATTTGTCACAGAATCTATGAAGTTAATAAATGACTTAAGAAATATATAGCTGTAGGTATGTCCTGAAAAGTTTATCCGACCATAACGTATGAAATACCCTTTTTCTGTGTAGATCGTGAGAAAAGGTAATTTATATTAATAAATTTATGATATTCACGAATGACAAAAAGGTTCATCAGTTTCGAAAGATTTGTCACTCTACGCTCAGTTATATCTATGTAGTTTGAGATGTTTATTAACATCAACTACATTATTCCGGTTAGCAAATCTAAGAGCGAACTCGATAGGATTTCGTCGGCAACATTTCAGTCAGTTGCTGCAAATTTCATGAGTGTTATTTTTAATTCTATAATATTCTGATTTTACACGGACTCAAATATCGAATTAATAAATCCAGGTAGTAGAGAATGATTGGTTTATCGTCGTTTAGAGTGTAAACATGTTCGAGATACATGATTTGTGAAAGTTTTATTATAAAAACAATGTATGACAATGAGTTTGACATATACATATTGGATATAAGCAAAAAAAAAACAAATTGCTTTGTGTAGATTCATAAATGCATTTTGAAAAATATGAGCAATCATTGTATAACCAAGCGCAGATGTGATCTAAAAACAAATGAGTTTTACTTTTCATTCCGAAATCATGACAAACAGACAAAGGATGCAGGTATAACAAAATGAATATCAAACGTACCTGCGATTCAAACCTCTGACTCATGTATAGGAAATCTACTAGAGTTAAAAGTAGCGAAAGTTCTTCTATCATTTAAGTATGTAATTCGTAAATTGAATTTACCGTTCTTTATGAAGATATTTTTCTTCCTGGTAGAGATTTATCATCGGAGAACGTCGAATCGCTTTTGCACCTATTTGACGAGGACTCTCAATCTTTCTTGCGGAAAGTTCTTTCAATATAGATTCCAATTCATTCAATGAACGACGAACATCTTCATTTAATTCTTCAAATAGATTTACAAGTGTCATATGAAGAATAGCATATTCTCGTCCTAAATCAATGTGTTCATTGATATTTGTTGTTTCATAGGAATCGATAGTCTTAAATATACAACGTATTTCTAAATGTATGACATTACTTTCACATTTTGAAACTTACGGCTATGTTCAGTAAAAATTTCCGCATGTTGTCTGATTCTTTTGCAATAAAATCATTCATAAATTTCATATAGGGCTCTTTAGAACCAAATCTTGAATAGAAAATCGACATATGAAACTAGTTTTTGTCATCATTTTCTTCTGTTACTTTGTAAAATTTGCTAAAGTTTGTAATGTTTTTGCAATTAATGTTAACCTTCTTGAAATTTTTTCATTCGGATATTCTAGTAAAAATAGATACATTAAAAGAACAGTTAGTATTTCAAAGTACCTTGAGTCAGATCGAATAGATTAGGTGATAAAATTGCCGGACAAATAAATCGAAGAAAGACGGAACCACTCAAAAAATTCCATATCGTTTCCTCTGATGATGATGCTTGTCGAAGTTTGGAAAAGATACATTTTAATTCACTTAAAACGAAGAAAAAGAATGTTGTTTTTTTTTCGATAAAGATTCGTAATTTAGTATTGATCTTTTTACTGAGGAAAGATAAGATGAGATTTTTGAATTTCTGACCAAATATATTCACAATGCGATTTCAATATTGATTGATTTTTTTCTAAATTATTTATATTAAGTAATCGATCAGGATCAACTTCAAAATCGTTCTCATTGATAGTCTTCAAGCTAATGACATCGGTGATGAAACGACTTAAAACTTCTCGTAAATATCTTTTCCCAACTAATTTCATAAATGATTCCATTGATTTCGTCGCAATCGAATTACCACGAAATGTCAACGAATTATCAGAAGTTGAATCAATTTCAGTTTGAATTATATCAACTAGATACGAAACAGCGTAGGATAATGAATGAGAAATACGAGTTAATGATGTAGCTAAAAGAAATTTGTTTACAAAGCAAATAAAATATGAATCAAATGTCATACCAATTTCATCTTTATCTTTCAAAGAAATATTGGACTCAAGAGATTCGATCAATCGTAGATAATTAACATGAATGTACTAGAAAAGAAAATGAATCGGAATGACTTTCATTGTTGGAGAGAATTTCATACTTCTTCCAAACGTGAATATAATTCAATTGGTAAAATAAGAATCGATTGATATTTTGCTTTGATTCGTAGACTAATAAAACTATCTTGTAGTTTTTCTTTTGTATTCATCATTTGTATAGAATACCACTGTTCAGTGAATTGATTTCCAGTTATAGTTGATAATGAAATATCAACCGAACCGATGCATTCCATATCATACTGTTTTTGCTTATATCGTTCGATATAGATTTCACAACGAAGTACGAAATAACCTATTTGTGTTCGTATAAAGAATATAACAGTTTGTCACGAGAGAAAAACAAGATATTCTTTCTGTACCTTCTCGCAAATCTTTAAAAATAAAGTTTTCACCCCAGAAAAGTTCATCGCGTCGTTCAACAATCGCTGTTTTGCCGTAGATATCATCATTGAGAAAGATTTTTATGCAATATCTAGAAAATCAATCTCAAGATTTGTTGACTCTATTCTCAAGTAAACATGTTCGATCGACATACTTTTTCTTTGTGGGCAAACCTTTGCCTTCCAAGATCCAGATATCCAATGAATTGTCTATTCTTGGTTCGTTCATTACATTCTTCAAAATTGAACGTTGTAGATGTTTCAATAACGAAGAATTTTCTTTTGTACGCAAATAACAAAGTTTATTTTCGTTTTTGTTGCGGATTTCAAGACATGTGACGCCAATATTATTGTTGAAATCCGATGAAGGAAGTATGCTTGGATGAAGACGACGAATATGACAATTGTTTAACGTAAATTCAATTGGTTTAGACGGAAGAACAGCACCCAATGGTCCATTCGAAACAAAAAGAGATTCATGCGATTGAGAACGAATTGATGGAATGTTACTAAAATGCAATAACTCGTGTATCTTCTTCTTCTTCTTTTTGTCGTAAGAAATACATACGGAAATAACAATTGATTTTGTGTTATTACTGAATTCTTTTGTCGTTCTAATTTTGTTGTACTTTTAGCACGTTTTAATGATGGTAGAGAATGATCGGTATGATTAGATGATCGACCGAACAAATTCGAGAACTTTATTCTCGATTGTCTTGATGTGTTTATGATAGAAGAACTGTTCGATGACAAATCTATACATAAAAAGAATTCAAACGACACTTATTTAATCCATTTTCACTAAAAAAAAAAGTCGACCCTGGCAGGATTCGAACCTGCAATCTTCTGATTCGAAGTCAGACGCCTTAGCCATTAGGCCACAAGGCCATGCTTCATGCTGATCGCTAGTACAAGTGAGTTCAATCGAGAGAGGAATGTACGAAAACATTAATTGAGTGAGCAACATCAATGAACTTGCTGATTTTACCAGTTACTGAAATTGGATGAACAGGAATTATTTTATCATCTGCCAATGCCAACGGTGATAGAATCGTTTTAGATAATGACGGAGACATTCGTTCGGCTAACGTTGGTAAGATATTATTGGATTGCTGAAGAATATTAAACGATGAACGTCGTTCATTTGTCTTATACAATGAAGATGTCGATGATGAAGATGAGATTGAACTCATATCACAATTCAAATCAAGTGTCGGAACCTGTTTGCTTTCATTATTGATCGAACGAATACACTAAAAATACACAAGAATTCATTTAAAAACAAAACATTCAGAATGTACCATTAAATAACGATCCATGGACTATTTCATCAATACATACGAACAAACGTTCTCTAGATATTTATATCCTCTACACAAACACACAAGTTGATGCGATGATATGTATAGAAAGACATCAACGTAGAACGAAGGACAATACGCAATCAATGAGCTCATCTATTGAGTGTTTATATAATAAAGACAATAAATGACATACTTCATTAGGATGGAAAGTTAATGTACGTTTTCTCTCATTGAATTCCACGTATTTACGAGACCAATGACGTTCATCTTCAAGATTATCTATTCAAAAAGGAGTAAATCAAGAAAAACAGTTCGTTTTCTTCTTCGTCTTACTTGACACATCCAACCAGCTATAGAAAATATTCATACTCTTTGTTTCAGTCATCGAACTCGGGCTTTTCTCATGTTGTTCATGTTCACATTATTAAATAGGAAAAGTGTGAGGAAAATATTCATATTTCTCTTATTGGTTTATCCTACATACAATTGAAAACTGAACCCGATCCTTCTTGTCATTCTTGTTCATTCATAGTGATGTCACTAGTCGTCATGTCTTGAAAATCTCAGACGCAACACAAACACTGGTTTATATCATACTGATTTGAGAAAACAAGAATCAATAAAAGAAAAAGTATTTCTAAGTAATTATTTTCATTTCCTTTGTGACATGTTTTTTATCATCTTTGACGTTCTTTTTTTCTTCTGTGTTGTTCATATTAATTAAAAATCAACTTAAGAAGATTTCTTCTGTTCATTATCAATGATGCACTTTAATATCTCAGCAGAAATAGAAAAAGAACATAAAATAGATTTTAACATTCCTACAATAGATTTTGTTTGAGTATAAGACGATTTGGATTTAACGAAAAGTTCATTCATGCGAATAAATTTATATTAATAATAATAGAATTGTGAAATTTCTAGTTTGTATCTTCATAATGGCAAGAAATCAAATGACTTAAATGCAGAAAATAAGTAAATGTCTTCGAGTCTTCTTTTCTCTTCGATTAATAGTTACTACTTGTTTAATGAGAATTCTGTTTTGATCAGCAACAAACAAGTAATGAAGCGAAAAGAAAATTCTATAATTGTTTTCAGTTATTCGCACTCGTTTCTGTCAAGGGACTCACACTACAATAATATTTTCTTTTCTCTCTCTCTCTGTCGTCTTCTTTTTCATTATATGTATGGTCTGTCACTGATTTTTTTTACATAAACCAAAGACATCAAGCTATATATATATATATAGATGGAACGATCGTAGAAAAGACCAACATTCTGTTCTCTCGTCATTTGTCTCTTCATCATCATCAACAACAATAATATTATGGCGTAAGTGTTTGAAGAACAATACTCGAAATGTCGAAAAAGCAAAAACATGAAAATAGAAGGGATTTTTTTTTCGCACATTTTCTATGATTCTCTAAAGACTACTCATCAGATGCAATTTTTATTGANAAATATGTAGACGTTCACATGCTGCGTTGATTTCTTGTAGAGAAAAATCTTTCAAAACTGTGTTAAGTATTTCCGGTAAACATAAACGTTTTTCACCACCAACGATAAAACATGTAATACGTTCACCTAATTGGAAAAAAAGAAGGAAGGAAATTTCATTAATGAAACACTTCAATATCTTTCTCAGTGCATAAAAAGTGCTAATTAAAACGTCTGGACACACACTTTGACTTTTAGAGGCGATAACTACGTAGGAGCCAATAACAATTACCTGACGATAAGACAGTTTCACTTTTGAGGGATGCAGCTGATGTATCAGCTGGTAAACAGGGTGGTCCCTGGATCATTGAACCGATTGGTGGTTGAAGCCATTGATCGAACGTTAATGGTTCTTTTGATAGTTTTTTAATTGAAGAATCATTAAATGCTTGTTGTGAATCGATTTTACCATTAATGGCTGATAGTTTGAGATTTGCCAACGAGTTTTCGGTATTCAATTTCGATAAACCATTGCCAAGCAGATGTCGAGGTAAATTCGTAGCCACTCGATTTGGTGGTGTATGATTATAGTAAAATGCGTGTTGAAGAAATTCTTTTGCAGTTGGCTGTTGCTGTAAATGTTGATGATGACGTGCAAGAAGCTTTAATAATTGTGGATCAATTGCTGAAAGTGAGGTAGCTGCTGATGGTGTTGTTATCGCCGTCGTCGTCGTCATTCGTGCATAGACACACAGTTCGATAAGAAAAATAAGACGGAGATCTATAATACAACTTAAAAAAAGGAGAAAGATTGAACCGAATGACGACGATTGTGCAAATATCTGTGTCTTTCGAAGCGATGTTGACGATGACTGTCCCCTGAGTTGTATAAGAGAAAAAGAAAAGGAGGGACGGTCCGGGCATACACGTAATCCTTTATGCGTTCTTTTTTTCTTCTTTTTCCTCTGCTTTTTCTTTGTCGGTCGGTCGGTCGGTCGGTCGCTTACGAATAGTTGAACTTACATATGTGCATATATGTTCAATAAGAGAGGCGAGGCGACGACGGACGAGGGAAAGAAAGAATCGAATATAACATCCTAACATCGCCAACACAGAAAAATAGACGAGGAGGAGAACAAGTAGTTGAAGAAAGAGAAGAGGCGGCGAGCAAGCGTAAGAGGTGAAGGTTGAACAAGCGAGAGCGGGCATACGGAGTAGCGAAAGAAGGTGGTCGTTTCATAATAACACTTATATACACATACATATACAGAATCGTACAAATCAAACGGAGTAACATGGCATAATAGACTATGTAATTATCTGAGTAAAAGAGATGTGCATAATCATGAAACAATATACTATCAATCAACAGAAGCCGCGTTCGTCTCAGGAATTCGAGCAAAAAAAATATTTGGGATCGAAGCGAAATCATGGCGTCGTAGTAGAAAATGAGTATTGTACGGGAAAGACAAAGTCAGATTTGCTGACGACTAGACGACTAAGTGTCGAGACAAACCAATAATGATGTTTTCTTTCAAGGGACAGAATTGAAAGAACTTTTTTCTCTTATACGTTGTTCGAGAAGTGCGACGAGGCAGAAAAAAATGAGAACTCAGAATCAAGTTAATAAGAAAAGGATAGACGTGAGAATGGAAAAGAAAACTACTACGACGTATAAAAACGCCAACGCACACTAAGCGGAAGAAATACGAAGGTGTTTTTCTTAGTGCAATTATGAAGTGTGTTAATTATATAAAACTTTCTTTCGGCTTATCTTTATGGGATGAGACAACTAAGTTTCATCAAAAGTCTACATTGATTTTACTTGCGACATGTTTGAGCAATTTTTAAGTTTGCTTCTATTTTTGTTATTTTCTTTTCTGTTTGTTTTCTATGACTCGCCACCTTCGAGCTGACGTCAGCATTCGAAAACAAAATTAACGACTCGTCGAGAACATCATCAACAAACGTACTTTTCTTTCGAGTTATTTTTAACAAAATTTGTTGGATCGTTATTTTTCCGAATGAAATGCTGTGTTGAAGTTTAGAACTGTTTAATGAATAGGATCGCACTCGCATATGTTATTTATTCTTTTCATTGCATGTGACAAATGACGTCAACAAAATATGATATTGCGTTGTTGTGAACTCATGAATAATTGTCTTTATTTAGTTACATATGCAATGATGAAAAGAAAAACACTTTTCTCTCTCTTTGCGCGGCCGTAAGAAAAACGAACGAAGTGTTTGATTTGTCGATTTGTCCAAAATAGAATATTATTTTACAACAGTAGTGAAAAAATAAATCAAACAGGATCAGGGTTTCCAATGTCTTGGATTAATACGCTGACGATCTGTAGAACGTGCAGTGGGCCTTATTATTGGTTGATACTATAAGAAATGTGTGAAAGATATTGTAATTGTACTTGTCATTACTTCACTTACGTCATTATTGTCAAGAGAGGTACTGAATGCATGATTGTCAGTAGATCGTAGTGGTTTGTTGGCATTACTGGTAGTTGAAGAAACACCTCCTCTACTGAGAGAAGCAGTACGATAGTGAATAAGATTATAAGCAGAACCGGTGACAGAAGAATTTATCAGCGATGGTGAATCAGAACTACGTAGATGATTGTTTATTCGAGCAGTTGGCTTTTCATATGATCCGTAAAGATTATATGCCGACATTGACGATGATGATGATAGGGAAATATGTCCTAAAGATTACGTTTAAAATATTCATATGAATGTCGTGTCAACATCATATTTACTGCGTCCATTTTCTGGCGAAGGTAGTGTGTTAAGCAGTAATGTTTTTGTAGGATTCTTTTTACATATTATCTTATCAATTCAATAGAAAATGGAATGTGCGATCAATAGATATTTTGAAAATGAATTACTTGATGAGTTTGAAGTAAATCCGCTGCAAACAATTCTTCACAATATTCACATGGGAATTTCTCGACAATACGTTCTTGACTAATAGCTCTAAAACGAAGAAACTATTAGTCATTAATTGTGAGAAGAAAACATACCTTTGACGCGATCGAATTCGGCGAGCTTCTTGTTCGCGACATTCTGTCTACATAACAAAATCGGTTGATCGATATTTTACATACACAATTCTGTTTACAGTATGCGTTGTCCAATTCGTAAAGTCAATCAGTTTGTTGCAAAATTCACATGGAATATCTGTACACGTCAAACTCTTTTCTTGCAAAGATTTTCGTTCAATTTTCTTCTTTAGATTATCCGGATTTTTAATACACTTTTCCTATCAAATATGAAACTGATTTACGTATGTACAATAGAGAAGAGATTTACTTGATGCGCAGTAAAATCAGTGACAGCACAATGAAAATCACAAAAATTGCATTTTTTTAACTTTTCGTGAGAAAATGAATTCCTGCGATCAGAACGTGATTGAGGTTTGTCTGGACCATCTAGAGTGGCACAATTGTTTTCATAGTGATACGCAAATGTAGCTCTTGTAATGAATTTATGGCACTTCGGACACTGATCGGTTTTATTCCCGCAGAACGTTAAATGTGCACGAAGGGCTGAAGTTGACAACTGAAATTCTCCGCAAAAACAGCATTTTACCATTGAACTTCCAGACTTATTCTTTAACTAAAGTTGTACAATGTCAGAAATAATAACAAATTCCTAGAATATATGAATTCGGACTTACTTCTCCATCATTATATCTATTTTAAATATAGTTTAGACAAGAATAAATCTCGAAAGAACATTACCTCGTTAATGATACTGGAAGACTATAGGAAGTAGCCATAGTTGATAAATTTTAACGTAGCAAAATACTCACACCGCAATGGAAAAGAACAACATTTTACAATTGTTGATACAAATACAAAAATTTCACAAAGGAATAGAAAAAATTTCTGACAGAGGTCATTGGCAGACGTTTGTTTTGTATTGTTGAAAAAGATTTCATCAAAGAAAGCATGTGTGACAGTGTCGACGATTGACACCCTCAATTATATATTCCCTGAGTCATTTATTAACTTCATAAGCCCTATAGTAAACTGATTTAGCAGTGCATCCATCAGTAGAAAACATAGGGCAAAAAGTTAATTTGTCACAGAATCTATGAAGTTAATAAATGGTTGAAGAAATATATAGCTGTAGGTATGTCTTGAAGAGTTTATCAGATCATAACGTATGAAATACCCTTTTTCTGTGTAGATCGTGAGAAAGAGTAATTTATATTAATAAACTTATGATATTCACGAATGAGAAAAAGGTTCACCATGGGGCTCATCAGTTTCGAAAGATTTGTCACTCTACCCTCAGTTATATGTGTGATAGTTTGAGACATTTATTAACATCAACTATATTATTCAGGTTAACAAATCTGATAGGACTCTGTAAGATTTCGTCGGCAACATTTCAGTCAGTTGCTGCACATTGCATGAGTGTTGTTTTTAATTCTATTATATTCTGATTTTAGACGCACCTATTGGACTCAAACATCGAACTAATGAATGTAGGTACTAGACAATGATTAGTTTATTATCGTTTAGAGTGTAAACATGTTCGAAATGCATGGTTCGTGAAAGTTTTATTATAAAAGCAATGTATGACAATGAGTTTGACATGTACATTTTGAATATAAACAAAAAAAAACAAGTTGCTTTGTGTAGATTCATAAATGCATTTGGAAAAATATGAGCAATCATTGTACAATCAAGTGCAGATGTGATCTAAAAATAAATGTGTTTTAATATTCATTTCGAAATCATGACGAACAGACAAAGGATGCAGGTTTAACAAAATGAATATCAAACGTACCTGCGATTCAAACCTCTGACTCATGTATAGGAAATCTACTGGAGTTAAAAGTAGTGAAAGTTCTTCTATCATTTAAGTATGGAATTCGTAATTGAACTTACCGTTCTTTTTGAAGATATTTTTCTTCTTGGTAGAGATTTATCATCGGAGAACGTCGAATCGCTTTTGCACATGTTTGGCGAGGATTCTCGATCTTTTTTGCCGAGAGTTCTTTCAGTATAGATTCCAATTCATTCAATGATTGACGAATATCTTCATTCAGTTCTTCAAATAGATTTACAAGTGTCATATGAAGAATAGCATATTCTCGTCCTAAATCAATATCTTCATTGATATTTGTTGTTTCATTGGCATCGATGGTCTGAAATATGCAACATATTTCTGAATGTGTATGACATTACTTTCACATTTTCAAACTTACGGCTATGTTCAATAAAAATTTGCGCATGTTGTCTGATTCTTTCGCAATAAAATCATTCATAAATTTCATATAGGGCTCTTTAGAACCGAACCTTGAATGGAAAATCGACATATGAAACTAGTTTTTTTTCTCATCACTTTCTTCTGTTACTTTGTAAAATTTGCTAAAGTTTGTAACGTTTTTGCAATTAATGTTAACCTTCGCGAAATTTTCTCATTCGGATATTCTAGTAAAAATAGATACATCGAAAGAATATTTAGTATTTCAAAGTACCTTGAGTAAGATCGAATAGATTAGGTGATAAAATTGCCGGACAAATAAATCGGAGAAAGACAGAACCACTCAAAAAATTCCATATTGTTTCTTCTGATGATGACGCTTGTCGAAGTTTGGAGAAAATGCATTTCAATTCACTGAAAACGAAGAAAAAGAATGTTGTTGTTTTTTTCGGTAAAGATTCGCAATTTAGTATTGATCGTTTACTAGGGAAAGATAAGATGAGATTTTTGAATTTCTGACCAAATATATTCACAATGCGATTTCAATATTGATTGATTTTTTTCTAAATTATTTATATTAAGTAATCGATCGGGATCAACTTCAAAATCGCTTTCATTGATAGTCTTCAAGGTAATGATATCAGTGATGAAACGACTTAAAACTTCTCGTAAGTATGTTTTCCCAACTAATTTCATAAATGATTCCATTGATTTCGTCGCAATCGAATTACCACGAAATGTCAACGAATTATCAGAAGTTGAACCGATTTCGGTTTGAATTATATCAACAAGATACGAAATGGCGTAGGATAATGAATGAGCAATACGAGTCAATGACGTAGCTAAAAGAAATTTGTTTACAAAGCAAACAGAATATGAATCAAGTGTCATACCGATTTCATCTTTATCTTTCAAAGAAATATTGGACTCGAGAGATTCGATCAATCGTAGATAATTCACATGAATGTACTGGAAAAGAAAATTCATCGGAATGACTTTTATTGTTGGAGAGAATTTCATACTTGTTCCAAACGCGAATATAATTCAATCGGTAAAATAAAAATCGATTGATATTTTGCTTTGATTCGTAGACTAATAAAACTATCTTGTAATTTTTCTTTTGTATTCATCATTTGTATTGAATACCACTGTTCAGTGAATTGATTTCCAGTTATAGTTGATAATGAAATATCAACTGAACCGATGCATTCCATGTCATACTGTTTTTGCTTATATCGTTCGATATAGATTTCACAACGAAGTACGAAATAACCTATTTGTGTTCGAATAGAGAAGAGAGCAGTTTGTCATGAGAGAAAAACAAGATATTTCTTCTGTACCTTCTCGCAAATCTTTAAAAATAAAGTTTTCACCCCAGAAAAGTTCATCGCGTCGTTCAACAATCGCCGTTTTGCCGTAGATATCATCATTGAGAAAGATTTTTATGCAATATCTAGAAGACCAATCTCAAGCTTTGTTCGCTTTATTCTCCAGAAAACATGTTCAATGTACATACTTTTTCTTTGTGGGCAAACCTTTGGCTTCCAAGATCCAGATATCTAACGAATTATCTATTCTTGGTTCATTCATTACATTCTTCAAAACTGAACGTTGCAGATGTTTCAATAACGAAGAATTTTCTCTTGTACGCAAATAACAAAGTTTATGTTCGTTTTTGTTGCGAATTTCAAGACATGTAACGCCAATATTATTGTTGAAATCCGATGAAGGAAGTATGCTTGGATGAAGACGACGAATATGGCAATTGTTTAACGTAAATTCGATTGGTTTAGTCGGAAGAACAGCGCCCAATGGTCCATTCGAAACAAAAAGAGATTCATGCGATTGAGAACGAATTGATGGAATGTTACTAAAATGCAATAACTCCTTCTATTTATTCTTCTTTTTGTCATAAGAAATACATACGGAAATAACAATTGACTTCGTGTTACTACTGAATTCTTTTGTCGTTCTAATTTTGTTGCACTTTTAGCACGTTTTAATGATGGTAGAGAATGATCGGTATGATTAGATGATCGACCGAACAAATTCGAGAACTTTATTCTCGATTGTCTTGACGTGCATATGACAGAAGGACTGTTCGACGACAAATCTATACATAAAAAGAATTCAAACGACATCTATTCAATCCATTTTCACTGAATAAAAAAAAACGACCCTGGCAGGATTCGAACCTGCAATCTTCTGATTCGAAGTCAGACGCCTTAGCCATTAGGCCACAGGGCCATGCTTTACACTAATCGTTAGTATAAGTGAGTTCAGTCCAGAGAGGAATGTACGAAAAGATTAGTTGAGTGAATGATATCAATGAACTTGCTGATCTTACCAGTTACTGAAATTGGATGAACAGGAATTATTTTATCATCTGTCAATGCCAACGGTGATAGAATCGTTTTGGATAATGACGGAGACATTCGTTCGGCTAACGTTGGTAAAATGTTATTGGATTGCTGAAGAATATTAAACGATGAACGTCGTTCATTTGTCTTATACAATGAAGATGTCGATGATGAGGACGATATTGAACTCATATCACAATTCAAATCAAGTGTCGGAACCTGTTTGCCTTGATTATTGATCGAACGAATACACTAAAAACACAAGGATTCATTTAAAAACAAAATGTTCAGAATGTACCATTAAATAACGATCCATGGACTATTTCATCAACACATACGAACAAACGTTCTCGAGATATTTATATCTTCTACACAAACACACAAGTTGATGCGATGATATGTATAGAAAGACATCAACGTAGAACGAAGGACAATACGCAATCAATGAGCTCATCTATTGAGTGTTTATATAATAGAGACAATAAATGACATACTTCATTAGGATGGAAAGTTAATGTACGTTGTCTCTCATTGAATTCGATGTATTTACGAGACCAATGACGTTCATCTTCAAGATTATCTATTCAAAAAGGAATAGATCAAGAAAACAAACCGTTTTTTTCTTCGACTTACTTGACACATCCAACCAACTATAGAAACTATTCGTACTCTTTGCTTCAGTCATCGAACTCGGGCTTTTCTCATATTGTTCATGTTCACATTATTAAATAGGAAAAGTGTGAGGAAAATATTCATATTTCTCTCATTGGTTTATCCTACATACAATTGAAAATTGAACCCGATCCTTCTTGTCATTCCTGTTCATTCTTAGTGATGTCACTAGTCGTCATGTCTTGAAAGTCTCAGACGCAACACAAACACTGGTTTGCATCAAACTGATTTGAGAAAATAAGAAACAATAAAAGAAAAAGTATTTTCAAGTAATTATTTTCATTTCCTTTGTGACATGTTTTTTTTCATCTTTGACGTTTTTTCTTCTGTGTTCATATTAATTAAAAATCAACTTAAGAAGATTTCTTCTGTTTATTATCAATGATGCACTTTAATATCTCGACAGAAATAGAAAGAACATAAGATAGACTTCAACATTCCGACAATAGGTTTTGTTTGAGTAAAACGATTTGGATTTAACGAAAAGTTCATTCATGCGAACAAACTTATATTAATAATAATTGAATTGTGAAATTTCTAGTTTATATCTTCATAATGACAAGAAATCATATGACTTAAATACAGAAAATAACGAGATGTCTTTGAGTCTTCTTTTCTCTTCGATTAATAGTTACTACTTGTTTAATGAGAATTCTGTTTTGATCAACAACGAACAAGTAATGAAGCGAAAAGAAAATTCTATAATTGTTTTCAGTTATTCGCACTCGTTTCTGTCAAGGGACTCACACTACAATAATATTTTCTTTTCTCTCTCTGTCGTCTTCTTTTTTCATTATATGTATGGTCTGTCACTGATTTTTTTTACATAAACCAAAGACATCAAGCTATATATATATATAGATGGAACGATCGTAGAAAAGACCAACATTCTGTTCTTTCTTCGTTTGTCTCTTCATCATCATCATCAACAATAATATTATGGCGTAAGTATTTGAAGAACAACACTCGAAATGTCGAGGAAGCAAAAACATGAAAATAGAAGGATTTTTTCTTCACACATTTTCTATGATTCTCTAAAGACTACTCATCAGATGTAAATTTTATTGAGTTTACTTTTACATTCGTATATAAATATTGACGACAGCTGTTATTATACATTTGATTATCATCGTTTGTGAAAAGGAGTCAGCTGTAACAATCGAATAGAAGATAAGAAGTTTGAATATTTATATTAAAACAAAATGTTCTTCTATCTGATACTTCGCATTTGCTCGTTTTGATTCGTCCAGCGAAGTCCTATTTTTTTTATCAATATTATACAGATATACTTCCTGTGTAAACGTATTTATCATTCGGTAAATGTCATATATACATAGTAATGATTTTTCTATTCATCAATAGAAACAAAACTGTTCTAATGGATGAGAAATAAATCATACAAATATGTCACTAATGTCGATTAGAGCTGTTAGGGTAAAGAAGAGGGAAAAAAAGTGAAACTAAATATCAACATGGAGTGTTTTTTTCTCTTTCGCTTCTTTTTTCCAATTACATTTAGTTCAGATTTATTGTTCTCTATTTTTTCCTCATCACGAGATGAAGAAGAAGCAGAATCAGAGTTCGAAATTTTGTCTGAGCTTATACATCTTTATTACCCGGACACATCACTAACGGATATGATCTGTCATTCTTTTCCCTCTAAACGACCTTGGTCGTGTCTTTCTCTCTTTTTTTCCACATATCTACGCACATTGTTAAGAAGAAAACATTTTTTTTTATTATTATATTCTGTCATATCCAGTTACATAAAGCTCATTTTAGGCTTTCAATAAAGATCATATCGAAAATCGTCACATATTATGGTCGACAAGACAACGTCGTCCGATCATATCGTGCGTGAATGTGAAGCTTACATATCGAAACATGATTTACAAAATCTATTACGTGATTCTATTGTTCAATTATGTTTAAAAAAGCCAACTAATCCAATTGAATTTCTTGCTAATCATTTTGACAATCTTTCAAATCAAAAAATGATGATGCGTCAACAGCAAATTTCATCGTCCTCACCCTCCAACGAACAATCTCGTCAAATATCCAATGGCGATCATCCTCTTACTGAAACTGATGACGTTGCTGATGCAAACGAAACAACAATTTATCAAAATCAGTCGACAAATAATACGAGTATGAAAGCACGCGAACGTCGTGGTGCTGTTTCCGCTGAACCCTATAAAGAAGAAGATGCCACATCGTATGTTAAAACCGTCATTCCAAAAGACTATGCGACAATGCAGGCATTAAGTAAAGCTATTCAAACAAATTTACTATTTTCTCATTTGGATGATAATGAAAAATCGGATATATTTGATGCGATGCAACCATTTAATTACAAAGCAGATGAAACAATTATTCAACAAGGTGAAGAAGGAGATTTCTTTTATATCATCGATCAAGGTGAAGTGGAAGTTTATGTTAATAATAAATGTGTGACTGCCATATCAGATGGAGGAAGTTTTGGTGAATTAGCTTTAATCTATGGAACACCACGTGCAGCAACAATTAAAGCCAAAACTGATTGTAAACTATGGGCTATTGATCGAAAGGTAAATCGAGCATTGAGATAGAATGTGTTGTAGATGAATTTCTTCTTCTAGACTTATCGACGTATTTTAATGGGTTCAACAATAAAGAAACGTAAAATGTACGAAGAATTCTTATCGAAAGTTAAAATTCTACAAGAACTTGATCAATGGGAACGTTTAACAGTTGCAGATGCTTTAGAAACTGTTCAATACAGTGATGGTGATACAATCGTAGTCCAAGGTGAAAAAGGAAATGATTTTTTTATTATTGTCGAAGGTAAAGGTTAACCGGAAGAAAATTTTGTCTGTTCTCTAATCTCTTCTCTATAAAAGGTACGGCAGTTGTCTATCAAAAACCATCGGACGACGAAGCAGCTGTCGAAGTTTCGAAATTAGGTCCATCGGACTATTTTGGTGAAATTGCTCTACTATTTGATCGACCTCGTGCAGCGACGGTGAAAGCCAAAGGTCCTTTAAAATGTGTTAAGATGGATCGTCATCGATTCGAACGTGTTCTCGGTCCGATTTCCGATATTCTTAAACGAAATGTTGCACAATATAATTCTTTTATTAATTTAGCTGTCTAGACATTTCTATTCGTCTATTCCCTCTTTTTCGTCTATCGTTCGTTCGGTTTGTCTATTGAAAAATACATCATTTATTTCATGTAATATGATAAGATTTATTTTACGTATGTTTTTCTCCTTTTTCCTTTTATTTGTTGTCGTTGATTTGGAATTTCTCCAAGAAGAAAATGATCTTCTATTATGTGTTGTCATAAACCAAAAATTGATTATAGTATCGCATGACTTTCATATACTTCGTCGCCATATGTAATCGTCATTAATTAAAGAACATGTGCATTTGCTATTGCATATCTTTATGTTATTTTCTTCATTAATCTTCAAACCTTTATTCATACAAGTTATTTGATACTCATAAACAGCTATGTAAATTAGGAAGAAAGAGAATGACAAATATTTATTCTAAAGTTTCGCTTAGATTTTATGAAAATTCACACTAGTCTGGGTTGAGATAACTAAAATATTGGAAGTAAACAAATTAATATACCAAGGCGTTGTTGGATAAGGATAAATTGTTTTCAGTTTGCCGTCATTTCGAATATGAAATAAACGTTGATTATCAAAATCAGTCAGTAACCATTGATTATCCGGAAGTGAACAGCAACGTAATGTATTGTGACATTCACCACGAATATCTAAATCTAATGACCAAAGAAGATCAAATTTGCGAAGAGATTTTAACTCGAAACGTTTTCGAAATGTTTTCTTATTGAAAATCGTTATAGCAATTGTTTGATTATTGTAAACAATATCTTTGATAAATTCATCTTTTCTACATGTTAATGGTGATTTCCATTCTTTAATGAATTCGATTGAAGGTTGCAAACAAAATTCCATGATTGATGAACTATGTTCATATGTTGATAAAAATAACGATGATTCCGAACAAGTACATGACCACCAATTACGTCGAAAGACTGTTTCAACACGTTCAATTGACATATTATCTATATTAAGTAAATAAACTTCGTAATGTGCTAAGATGATAAAACAATTCAATGTTGATGACCAACATGTATCCCAAATTCGATTGTGTGACCATGAGACTTGTTTAACTAAAGTTAATTCTCGATCAATTAAACATAAATTTTGCATTCGATAGATTAATAAGTACTGTTCGTTACTTGCCAACGGCTTTGACAAATGATTTGAACAATCAATACTATGATAAGGATGAGTTATCTGGGTTAAATTAAAATGTGTCGTATTGATTTCTTCGATTGTTATTGTTTTATTATCAAGGATTAATGGTTGTATATCAATATGAAGAATTATTTGTTCTAATTTATTCATTTCTTCTTCAAGACCTTCAACATCTATGAGTAAGGAATTGACACTTGTCTTTGTCACATCTTCTTCTTGCAAGAGATTAGTTACTTTTGTTTGTAATTGAACAATTCGTTCTTGTCGTCGGTCGATATTTTCATGGAAACGTCGTTTTATTTCCTGACACTTTTTTGCATATAATTGATCAATGGTCTTGTAACAATCATCACGCCATTTATCAAGTTTTTCATAACAATTTTCGATGAGTTCTTCATTGTTGAAATCTTCGAGACGATCATCGAAATCTTTAATTTTATCATTTAAAGATTTCAATAATGAATTATACGAATGATCGTGAACGTCGAAATGTTCACGGCAGAAATTTTCATGACAAACATAACACAGAGCACGTGAAATACATCGACAATTGGTTACAGTACATCGAATAGTAGACATCAGTTTTGTTACCTTTCGATTTTACTAATAGCTGTTTGAAAAGGAAAAAAAAACTGAAGTCTGCCATTATTCTTCAAGAAAGTAAAATAAGGTATTGTTTGAAGAAGGACAAAGAAATTTTTTCTTGTTGATAAGGAGAGTTTAAAGTTTCAAACAAAATGAATACAATTGTATTTAACGCCACCGTACAAATTAATTTTTGACAATATTCCATTCAGTTGTTCGCTAATACTCCAACAACTATCGTCTACCAACCAGTTATAGTATAGTACTGGAATATAGCGATTAGCAGTATGTTTACACAACAAAATTCCTTGCGAATGTGTAAAAACTAATTAATTATTCTAGAAGGAAAAGCTTAATCTTGAATTGCGTACAGTGATGAGAACATTATGTATTCAATGATACTAGAGGTTGTTTGTTTATTCTATCACGATGGCATCAGTTCAACTCAATTTATGTATTAGAATTCAATTGAGTTGTCCGGCTCTGCTTCAACACATGGAAAATTTTTTCTACATCAAAATCAAAACATACGATTAACAGCTATGGAAAAATCATCAACATTGAGATCACAATATTTCCTATAATTGTTTTTCTAATTCGACGCGATATCTTTGTTCAATTGTCGGTCGACTTATACGAAACCATAGATGAACAGTCAGTAATTGCAGAATAAGTACTATCAGAGTGTAGCATATATCTTTAGTCCAATCATATTCTTTCGTTGCAATCGATGTAAGAGAACGCATATCTTCAAAAACTGCATTTGCTTGACAATAAGCCATGAGAAATATAGTTAGATGAAAAGCATGATGTGATTGCCCAAAGAGATCAAATAAACCGGGACAAAAGCGTTCGGGAATTCTTCCAACAAAAATGAGACCACTTAAAATAAATGAAATCAATTGAAAAAAATGCCAATAAAGAGCCTTTTGTTCGGATTCAAGTTGTAGTTCTTTGTTTCCATCGTTCATGAATATAAAAGCAAAGAATAAATTTTTCAAAACTGGCCAAATCTGATACGAATAAACTATTAAAACACCTGAACATTGCAAAAACTTGTGAGAATATGGATACGGTCGACGATAAAATGTTTTACAAAAACACGCAACCGATAATGAATATAATGACAAGAGACTTAAGATTAAATAATATCTGTCATTATTGGACTAAAACGAACATATAGAAGTAAAGTTATGAAAAGATTTCGTTAATTTCTCTCTTACATTCATATCGAGTTGACTATGATTTGATTGAAACTTTTGTTCGTGTGAAAATCGTCGAAGAACAATACCCGATGTGAAACCATAAAAATTTATACCAAAATAGTCCAAATAGAACGAACGTATATGATCAGCTATAGTTCGTGAATGTAAAAGATGTGCTTGTGCTGAACATAATAACATAATCGAAGCACCGATACAATTATAAATAATATAAAAGCAAATCATTGATGAATACAATTCATTCGATAAAGATAGAATCTGTTGATAAATTTGTTGAATAAGAATCAATGTACCGAGTAAATGAATCCACACGGATAAGGTTTCATTATGTAGAAAAAACAGCGAACGATAATAATATGAATAAGGTTGATTTGGTAATCGGAAACCAGAATGAATGAATGGTTCAACGTATAGATCAAGAACATCGACAGCACGTAATGACATTCTTATCCTTCCTATTGACAATCAAGATACTCTATTAAAAATCAGATAAATTGATAATTAAAACATCAAACTCGATAGAATTGTCAAGAAAAAGACATCATCTTCACAATCGTAAATACATTCCATTTTTTGCTTCATCGATCGATTGAATGTGTCGCATCAATAAAAATAACAACAAACAGACATCGAAGATAGATAGAGAAACCGAGAGAGAGAGAGAGAGACAAGACGAAGAAAAGAAATTGCCGCTAGCACATCATCCTCAACAACGGAAATAGTTCGCACACATTCACCAGATAGAACATCGACGCGACATCAGCTAATCAGTAATATAACTATGATCCATCTTCGCCATTCATTTCATGAATGTTTATATAATATCATTCTCGTCTTCGTCAACATTCTTCAAGTCAATAGATATATGTATATAAAGATTGATGTCTATTCCATGAAAAACAAAACAAAGAAAGGAAAAGGTCAACATGAAGATTCGATTAGTACATGTTTCTGAACGACGAAGAAAAAAAAACTTAACTATGCATTTAACAAATAAATAAACTAGTTTTAAGATGTAGCTGTCAAAGGTTTTTGTTTGACAGCAATGACGTCGTTTATAAAGACAAAATCTGCTCTTGAAAGAGAGAGAGAGAGAAAAAAAAAATGTCAAGCATAGGAAAAAGAACGTCGAAGGATAAAAATAAAAAATTGTAATAAATCGTGCATCGATGCATTTCATAGAAACTCTTCATACGACGGAAATATTAATTAAGTTAAATCATTAACAAAGATTACTAAATAATCCTATTGACTGTTGGGTTATTTTAAACATCACGTTAAGATATTGCTTTCTCTATTTATTAATTCTATTCACGAGACTTTTTATCATTTTACCATCGTATAGAAATAACTCCTACAAACTTTGTTTTCTTATGTAGAAAAGAATATATCCTAACAATAGTTGTTTATTGAATGGATTGTGAATAAGAAAAAAAAATGAGGAAAAAAAGTAATTATAGGAGACATACGAATATGAAGCAAAGAAAAAGAGTTCAACAATGTACGTCATAATGACACATTCAATTTATTTCTTTAAAATAATTCATTCCTTTTTTTTTGTATTCATCTGTAATTCACAGGTATGACTAGACGATTGATATTCTTTTTGTTTTAAGTGAACTTTTTTTGAACGGATGTGCATGACCATATATTATGTTTAATTCTGATCATGTCGTTTTTAAAGAGAGAGTTGTTTCTTACCTTTTACACGGTGTCCGGTCGTAATACAATTTCATGGGGGTGACATCTTCGTAGTTGCTTAAATGTAATCATCGCGTGTTTTTACACGGCTTGTTCTTGACGTCGTGAGTAATCTCTGTGGACAGACTCGGCTCAAATCAGTATAATTACATTTGATTCAAGAAAAAGAAAACATCAATAATAAGAAAAATACAAAATGAATTCTATTTTTGTTGTTCACCCAAACAAATGCTTTTTTTTTAAGTAGATCGATTATATTTAAAAACGTGTCTTTATGAGAAAGAGATGAAGGAATATGAAACATCGCTGACTTTTGTATTTATCAAAAAGCTTTTATCATAGATAAAATCTGATCTCTGTTCATTTTCTTATTGTAACATCAAAAGAATATGACAAAAGACAATTCGTCGAAAAACCATCGATCAAATTGCAAAACCAAATAAAGATGTTGTCAAAAATCACTCAGCATCGAATACAATCATCATCAAGAGGAAGTCAATTTACGATCTTCCCCAATATCCAATACTATGCATATCTAATCTTTATAAAGAAAAAAAGATAATAAGAAAGCGTTCGATTCAGATGATTCTAAACCTTCCATTAAATATTATGTTCACAACAAAGTATCACAAAATGAGGTGCACGATTATAAAATTTGTTTGTACTTTAATCTATTCATCTGTATATCTTGTATAGGCATACGTGTAGTGATCATTTTCTATGAAGTAACGAAAAACAAGCGTTGTGATGCTTTGTTCTGTTTACAACGTAATTCTCGTCTGGTCCTTGTATTGAAGGTTCTAAATAATACTTTTTGTCTTTGTTTTTGTTGAAACGATGTAGATTTTCAATTAGTTGTGACTTTTCCCGCTGAAAGAATAAAAATAAATTTGGTTTGAGGTACCTAGAAAATGTTATTTATGATGCATATGTTGGCATTTCAGATGAAATGACATCTAGCATTCACAAACAGATAGAACATTGTAGGAACATCTGTGAGTGTGTGATGATTTGATTGAACAGTAGAAGAAAATGTCAATGAACTTTGAAGTTCTTCCTTTTGTTTTTGTTTCTAAGCATAGAAATAGTTCTGAAATGTAAACTTGTGTGTGTTAGAAAAGAGCAAGAGCAAAGAGCAAACAAAATGCACTTGATAAAAGAATCATTCGATCAACACAACTAGATGAGATATGAATATTTGAATAGATAAACATGAGTTTGAAGGAAGGAGAGAAGAGACTGAAGTTTTCAGAAATATATTTCCATTTGTTTCTTAATATCTTCGTTTCTTATAGTAAATAATGAATAAACATTTTCTTTTCATCAATATGACCTTCGTGTTTTTGTCCGGAAAAAAAAAAGAAAATGAAAGAGTCATTTCCTAGTGAATGGTCTACTTCATTTGTAACAAAATTACTTTCGAGTTTGTCTTCTTAACTAAACTATAATGATTTTATATTATTACATGAGATTTAGTCTAAATTCTAATTCTTCTTTCAAGTATTTAGAACAAATGAATTTGACGCCAACGAGATTTGTTCGTTAATGAGAACCTTTATTATTATCACAATGGCGTATTTACTAATCTTCGTAAATATATAGAATTATGTTTTTAGATTGTGTTTTTACTCATTTTCTTTGTAAAAAGAAATATAATGAACCAAGTGGATAGTGTATCGCATCAATTGATGATATTTGCTGGTATTACAATGTACATCTTCGGTTCAATTGGAAATCTCTTAAATATTTGTGTTTTTGCAATATGGTCTCGTTCAAAGAAAAATTCAAATAAATATTCTCGTTCACATCAAACATGTAATAGTTCATTATATCTACTTGTTTCATCAATCGCAAATCTACTTGTTATTATTTATCCATTATTTACACGAATTATGCTCGATGGTTATAATTATCAAATCACAAAAGATAAAATTTTTATTCGTTGTAAATTACGTTATTATATTTTACATACATGTGACTTAATTTCGTTAACATGTATTTGTTTAGCTACATTTGATCGATATTTAATATCATCTCGAGAAGTTCGTTTGAGAAAATTAAGTACAACACGAAGACGAACGAAATTAATTATTCTTTTTCTTATTGTTCTTCTTTCGTTACACAGCTTACCGATTTTGAAATATTACACAGTTACAGAAGAAGGATTTTGTACAATTGTATCAGTTGCTTATTTATATTATTATTTATATATCTTTCAAATCTTTCTTCATGGTCTTTTACCGATTACATTTCTTTCTATATTTGGTATTTTAACCTTCAAACAATTGAGAATTCTTAATAAAAGAAAACTTCATTCGAAAACAATCAAAAGTGAAAGACAATTATCTCGTATGCTTTTATTAATTTCTTTAACAATTATTTTATCATCAATTCCATATTGTATTGAACAATCGTATCTTGTGTTAATTAAAGGAAAGAATCGACAATTAACATCATTTTTCTATCTTTATCATGTTACATGTTCTCTTTTATTTTATACAAATCCGGTAATGAGTTTTTACATATATTATATATCGACACGAAATGTTCGTTTACAAATTCGAAAGATCTTTTGTTGTGAACAGAATAATCAATATGTTATTATTTACAAAGTTAAACCGATAACACCTACATCGGATATTTTCCGTCGACCAATATTTTCAAATTAAAATTTCATTAATGTAATCTTTTATGAAATTAATAAGAAAGTTTATTCTTTATTTAGAAGTATAGAAATAATGATTATTACATCAAGAAATTTTAATTCTTTACGTAAGATTATGAATGTTCTTAAAAATAACATCGGTCGATAAAAAACATTCAATTAATCACACACGTTTTCAAGCAAATCCAGATGAAAACAAATACTCAACTACAATAATTATTTCACTTATGTATAAAAACGGTGAAATGTTTACACTTGTATGAAAATTTATTCATCGACAAAAATATTCATATAGTAAAATACTGTTTTTAATAAAAGATCTATTGTTGACAAATACTTATCAGATTCCTATAGAACAATATTGACTTACACGTGATTTTATTTTACAAAATAGAAAAACAATACAATGAATGTTTAGAAAAATAATTTAATACAGTTGAATAATTTTTGACTTGTTTTCGATAATATTTGATTTGAACAACAATAAAGATTATCTTTTTTGTATTATCCGACTCATTGAATAAAGAATAATTGATGTCGATTTATCAATTGAAAGATTTTTTTAGCTAATAGATGTTTACATCGTTTCTTGTCTATCGATTCTATATGTTTAATATTCAATATAAATGAAATCAAAGGTTAAATTGCTTCTACAAGTGTAACAAGTGGTCGATTCTTTATTAAAAGATTGTTCATTGATTTCTACGAAAAAAAATCCTCTCTCTCTCTCTCTGCTACGAACAAAATCAACATAAAATAAATGCTTTTTATATCACAATTCATTCTTTTTTTCTTCCGATAAAAAAAATGATTTATAAGATTTAATATTTGCTTTGTTATGTACATGTAGAAACTGTTCTAACAACATGAAATTTTATTTATACATGTAATCATTAATATCCAACAAAGATAATAATATCGAACAGCCTTCAAATACATTAATATATGTATTTTGACACATCATTACTTTTTTTTTCCTCCATAACCATTCTATAAGGATCATATTTCATGATGTTGTACATAACGTTATCTCTTATTCTTTATCCATCGTAATAGACAATCGATCAAAAAAGATTACTAATACCAAATTTCGAAGTTAAATTCAATGTCGTCAGTAAATTGTCCGGTTACGGAATATTTAACAAAGATATTTGTCTATTTATTGTATGACGTATAAGTAGACACATGAACTTAATTATTTTTCTATCCTAACATGTTTACCAAGTTGTTTGTGGAAAAAACCGTGTCAATATTGTCATCTAAATATTATTCTATTTATTCTTGACCTAATAAAAACTTCTTATTCGAGGAAACGAATCTGATTAATTCATTGTAGCAAAAGAAAAATATCACACTACTGAATAGTTATCTTTATTTATCTGTTAACATCTCGAGAGAATTCAGACGCTTGAATAATAATATCGTTTTATCATAAGTCAACTGTTTCTCTCGAGAGAATCTTACCAGAATAGTTTTATTTTCCCAATCGTTTGTGAAGAACCAAATTCTGTTCGAATAAAAAGAAATATTCTTTACAAAATATACCTTTCAATAGTAGTTGCCTTATTTGTTTTTTTTCAGTTAAATCTAAAGGAAGACAAATCTATTTGTTGAATATTATTCTTCTAAAACAAATATATCGATACTATACAAGGTTTATCTCTTGTAATATATTATATTGAAAAGTAATTTAATCAAAGACCGTCTCGTCTGATTAAAAGTGAAGAAAAAAAAACAGACAGAAAAGTCTATTGATAGAAATTGAGATGTATATGATGAAAAGTCGTATTATCGTATGATGACATTTAGAGACCAAATGATTTCTTATGTTAAATATTGAATGTCAAAAGATTCAATTGATATGTAAATGTAAGATAGAGGTTTTCTTCTATTGAGAAAACGTACGTGTTATCGATCTAATTAATTCAATTTGGAACTGATAACAACAAGTGTTTTTTTTCTCTCTGCCTATTCTAATGAATCATAACATAGAACGTGATACTCATCAGCAATACATCAGATACTTTAATAAGAAAATTTTATTATTATTAAGTTTTTGTTTTCAATAAAGAATTCTAAAATAACAACTAAATATGGGAATCATTCTTGGATCTTTTCTTCATATGTAACTGCGATGGATGAATAATTGGATGTTGGCAACTGTTCAAAAGATTTAAGTGATATTATAATTGTGCATCACTTGGTTTAACAAACAAGATAGAAAACTCCATGTATATGTGTGTGTGTGTATATTAGAAAAACGAACGAAAAGAAAATAGAAATAGAACCATCGATCATCATCATCTTGCACAAAAGAACACTCCGCACACACAGATAAAGTAAAAACGCACTCTTAATTAAGAAAAAAAAAAGACAAAGCGAAAACTTAGAGATAGAAAAAGAAGGACACATGACGAAGAAAAGAAAGAAGAATTTTTTTAAACATTTCGCACTGGTTCATATCTTCCACCTGCTGCAACATTTGAAGTGACTACACTTTTCGTTGTCGTAGTTGAACCAGATGCTTGTGTTCGTTTGTTTTTGTTGAACTTCTTTCCGATGATCAGGAATAAGAGAGCAAGAATAATACCAATGATACATAAAGCAATTAAACCAACAAATAAGATTTTGTTCCAAGTCCACACACCTATAATTAGATTTCCGTTAGGTTTATTTGTCTACTGAGAAGAAAAGAAGAGCAACCTTGAGATAAAAAATCCGGCGACCTAGATTTAATATCATTCAACGATGTATTATCATCAATTTGAAGATGAACAACGACTGTATCATCACTAGTATCAGTACTCATACTTGAAGAAAAGATTGATAGACAAAGACGAGCAAGTGAAAGAAAATTGTCTTAATTGATGTAAATGTGCTTGAAGACTGCGATAAAAGCAGCACGAAGGAGGGGAAAAAAAAGAAACGAACACTTATTTGCTTATTTACTCATAGCGGTTTCGTTTTCTTCTTTCTCTTTCCTGTTCTTTTCTTCGACTTTTTCTTTTTTACAATAATGTTACAAACGAAGTGTTGGTTGAATACAACAAAACGTAGAAGGCAGAACGATGAAAAAGAAAGCCGGAGACACATAAACACATTTTGTTCCGTTCTGTCTTAGTGGTCTCAACTTTCAAGGATTTCATTTGTTAGGAAAAAAAAACGAAAAAAAAAATATACTGAAACGGTGGGATGTCAATTGAAAAATGAGCTCCGAAAATTACTGGTCGCACAAAAAACTTCGACCTTGTTTGACTCATTATCACAATTTAGATGGAGATTTTTTTTTTAACTTCATCTATTCTTTCAATTGACTATTGTTATACATCTATTCATTTTTCATTTCTTTACAAGTGTATAGACACAAGTGAGAACAAAAGCCTCGCGTATAGAACATACAATCATTCCTTCTGTCGATGTGCCTTATCAGTTCCGAGTTATCTTTTCTTGCTTAGACTTCGATGTTGATTCACATGCACATAGCCATCGAGTAAAAAGCCTTCTGTTCGTTTTTTCTCTTTCGTTTGTTTGTAATTACGTGAAATTTTAAACCAAATAAACTTACCGAACAATCCTTTTCCATCAGTTTCAGTACCATTTGTGATCAAGTCTGTGTAGAGACTATCAGTAAGAGTTGTTGTATAGTCAATCACATTTGATTGAGTGATAGGATTTCCATATATATCTGTTAAAATTGCCTGAGATATAGCAGGTGTTGCCGTTACATCACCAGGCCCATCGTTGATATATAGGTTGATCGTAACATCAGGTAAAACTTCATCTTCGTCAGCATAATCATCTGAACTAGGAATAGTTGTTCCTTGTGCTTCATCGGGTATTGCTGGTGGTACTTGCGTAGTCGGATCTACGTCATTTTCGGGGTCGTAATCTGGTCCGGGATCTGCTTCATTAGATGCGTCTTGTGCGTCAGTCATAGGTGAACAGGTGACTGTAATAGAAGATTCACAGAAAACAGATCTAGAATAATGAGAAGAAAAACCGCAAATATGAAGCAGTACTCGTCTGTATATTAATGACGTGAAAAACCAAAGAAAAAAAGCAGACCATCTAACCGCGATAGATGTAATATAAACAATGGAGAACAGCTCGATGCTATGCTAAATATGTTAGTAAGGTTGGGATCTTCGTAGTATGTCTTCGATACAAGAAGAATGCTATTTTTCTTCTTTTCTCTTCTTCTTCCTCGTCATTCTCACTGTCTTTCTTTATCGTTCCTTCGTTATTCAGTGATTCCTTGATATATTAATATATCGTGCAGGTATGCGATTTTCTAGACGATCAACTCAAAAAATAAATAAACAGTTGATGATCCAGTTTATAAATCTATATAAACCATTGATTTATCAAAAACAGATATAATCTTTATCAAGGAAAGACAAGGAGAAAAACACATACACAGGCAATCAAGTCAAGGTCATATAACTACGAGAGATCGAAGTGTTAATTTTTATTTGATTCTCAGTAACCTTTTCTCGAGATCAGTGAATGTATTCGTGACTGTATGTAGATATTCTATTATCTCTCTCACGTATATAAATATAAACGTAATGAAAAAAAAAATGCGCGAGAAAAAAGGCCGACGAAAGCATTTTTGTATATACTAGCCAATGATGGTAATGGCAACCAAAGAACAGATTTTATTTTTTTCAAATACGTCGCTTTCGTTTATGTCTTTTTTCCTTTTTCGCTTCTTTTTTTTTCGTATACTTCGCCAACATTACTAAGATTATTCACTTGACAAGAAAGAGGTGTTTTTGTGGTCGTCGTATGAAAAGTGTACTTACTTACCATGGGCACTTTTGTGCGAAAAAAAAGATGGAGAAAGAAAGAATGATGATGACGAGACAGGGGGAAAAAAAAGGAAAAGAAAAAGACAAACAAGCTTGTGTTATTTTTGCATATATATATGTACACATACATAAGTTGCTTCTTTTTCTATTATTATTTTTTTTTCAGTGAAGTACTATTGCAAGACGACAAATGTATTCTGACTAAGATAATAAAAACACCAAAGCCACTTTCGACTTCTTCTTTTTGTTCTTCTTCATTTTTTCCCGTACTCATCGTTTTTATCTGGTTGTCATCTGTGGTGGTGTTGTCATGCACAATTATATCATCTTTTACTATAATTGAGTAAAAGCATTGTCTCAGTTCTTCTCGCATCCTCACAGATACTGAGAAACGCGATAATAAAAAGACAACTATAAGAATTAAAATTGTATTACTATTTCGTTTTCTCCCTTACCGCGACCTTACCTGTCTTCTCTGGTTGTTTTTAATGTGAAAAAATACCTCCAAATGACTGAAGCGAACAATAAAAAAAAAGAGTAAAAACGGGAGAGAAAAAGAGTCAAAAGGAACGATAGAAAAGAGAAAATATGAATACGTTTCAAACTAATGTAAATCTTTTATGCTAACAGAAGCTCTAAAGCCGTGAGAAAACAGTGATATGGGAACGAGGAAATGGGATTGTGACATATAGGGAAGAGTCAAGACAGAGAACATCACGTTATCCATATTCTGACTAGGATGATATAAATTAGCTATTTGTAGTTTGTTTATTGTCTTCTATGATGGTGGTTGTGTGTGTCCCCCACTCTTCTTTCTTCCTATCAAGTATAAATCCTTGTTGTAGAGTATTGAATGATATATTCTATAGAAAAGAGAATTTGTTGTTGTTGTTGTTGTTGTTATTATTATGGAAAAAGGAACGCTGTTTGCTTGTACATATAACACAATCAATGCTGCTTGTTATGACGTATGCGTATATAAGAAACGACGAGTGAAGGTCAACATTATCATCGTCGGTGGCAGTAGCGACAATACTGATGATAATGGTAGCTATCTTCTTTCCTTTTACTTTGCTTGACTCGCTCAAAACAGCAGGCAAAATCATCGTCAGCGATACAACGAACCCGATAACAAACAGCAACAGCAGTAGATTGTCATTGGACGTCAGATGACATTATCAGACGAAACGATATAATCATTATTATGCAGAAAAGATCCGATCTTTCTCTCTTTCTTTGTTCTCGACAATCTGGTCTGTTTTTTCGAATGAAATGATTATAAAACTAATAAATACATTTCGTATTTACCTGCACAAGCCGCACTTCTATGATTGTTCAAATAAATGACAATAAAAGAAAAGTCAGTGAATAAATATACAACACACCATCTGGCTACGAAACGAGTTCTGAGACTTAAGTGCTTTTTAATGATTGCAATTCTGTGGACTACAAAAGGGAGAAGGTCTCCACAATTGTTCTCTCGTCTTTTTTTTTTCGCGCTGCGGTTTTTCTTTCTTTTTCTCCTCCCTTTTCTGTCTACATTACATTCTTGATTTGCCTACGACCAAATATGACATTCGTTGGTGTTTCGATTAGAAGTCAACTATTACTTTTCTTCTTCACTCTTGTTTAAAGAAACCTACATATCATTTGTATCGCGATAGAAACGATTATATATATATATATGTATATAATATTAATATATCAATTTGTATCTCAATAAAACGATAAAAGACGCGATGTATCAAATATCAATATAAAAAAAAATCCCAATCGCGATAATCTTCGTATTTCTCATATTTCATTATTGAACCAATATTTATATGAAAATTGGTTTTCAAGGAAGGATAGAAGTTCGAAGTACATACACACATTCTGCTGACTAATTTAAATGTAAACTAGTTTTTATGTCATTGAATCGTAGTGGTTGCCTAGGTGATTTGTATTTTGGTAATGAAATTTGCTTTTTTTGCATTGAAAAAGAGTGCAAAGACGCTTTTATAAGTTTTGACTTCATTCTTTTAATCTTTTCTGTCTGCTACTTCTAACGTTGATAATTAAATCAAGATCCTACAAATATTTGAAATTGAAATTTATCGAAGTCAAATCTTACAATCTCAATACAGTGACCTCATCAACTGTCATAATTAAATCGGCGGGTTTATTCGAAAAAAAAGGCATCTCAAGGTCAAGTATATACATTTTTGTGATCTTTTTCTCGTATCAAAACTAATTATCTTCTATATGAAATATGATAATGAAAAACTTCTTTACCTACTTGTTTCTTTTTTAGTTCTAGTAATCAAATATTCTATGTCGAGACTTTATCAAAAAGAGAATACTAGAACAGATGTCTGAGTTGTTCTGTACAATTATGACAGAAGAGAAATACTTTTTCTTTTTTGTTAAAGAAAAAAAAGTCTTACTTTCAAACATTCGAAACGACCTTCAGAAAAAAATTAAATATAAATAAAGAGAGAAACTTTTTTTTTCAATATTTTAATTCTATTTTTTAAAGTAAACATTGCCTTTCTCTTTTTTTCTTCTTCTATCTAACAAATTTTAATCAGAAGAGATTTTTCATTCAATGAGCACTTCAATCGATATTGACAATAGAAATTGCCCGAGGTAACGCTTCAGTTATACTTGTGTTAGAATCTCAATACGGCAATTGAGTACTCACCGTGTAATATGGAGTGTTTCATGAATACTTCTATATATACTCATCGCATCGTTCATGTCAATACACAGAGATTTGAGCAAAAAATCAAGATCGCTGAATTATAGATAATTAACAACTATCCGTATCGTCTCTCGTGTTTGCCATTTCTTTCTCTGTGTCCTTCTATTTGACTCGATTATAAAAAACAATATTTTTCTTGTCGACATATTGTATTATTCATCAAGGGTCCGATAAAACTACCAGTTAAGCCATATCCGGTAGTGCTAGAATGTATAGATTAGTAAATTAGAACGAGGATGAGGAAAGATTAATTCAATATAGAGAAAAAAACAGCAAGTTCTCGTTCGACTAATAGCACTATCGGTCCGTTTCGACAGACGTTGAATGTAGCCAATTTCAGTCTTTTCTCTTCATGTGTACGATCCACTTACGTTATATCATTAATCACTTGTTGCTTTGTTTACAACTTGTGTTAGATTCAACTGACATCGACATGTATATGTACATGTGTTTACAGATGATCAAGTCGATTGAATGGACCAAAGGAAAGAGAGAGAAAAACAAGAAAAAGCTATTAACAACAACGAACGTTTTCTATTTCTCATATCATTTCGATTTATTTACGCATATCTACTTGATTATAACATTGGAATAACGACAATGACAGAATCATTTGTCAAAACAATTTTTTCAATAACATCATCTGACGCGTATAGAGATGTTCGTCATTTCGTTCATTATTCCGTTTAATCATAACAATAATACTTTTCTTTTTGCCGTGATTTATTAATCTTGCTTATGAACGTTCTTGGATCCATCCTTTCCAGATTTTTATTTTCCTTGACATGAGCTTAGATTGCTTTGCAGAAAAGAAAGCCGTACTTTATTTGAATATGTACATACATAGGTCAAGTTAGCGTCATATGCAAATATTTCTTATCTTGATTTACTTGAGAACGTGTGCTCAGGTTAGAAAAGATTGTGTTAGATTACGAATCTATACATCTATCGATTGATGTTATTGACGAAAGTAACTGTCGAGAAAAAAAGTCGGTACGCGTGCGGTTTTTGATGAGAATCTCAAAACTTATTGTTCTAGTTTTTTATTTTTATTGTCACAAATATAATTTGTACAATATTTTTGATTCTTTTAATAAATTTTCGCACTGGTGACACAAAGAAACCATACGTCTCAGTATCGATTCAATGCATCTACCATGAAAGTAAATGAACAGTTGATGCATATTCATTCATGACAATATGCAAGATCATCAAAGATATCCCAATACAAACAATTACTTGTAAAGAACGAACTATAATCCCCATCATATATGAAGACAGTTGGCTTTAGTTTCATGGATAATTCCGAGACATTAGTCCTTGGATTATTTCTGTGTGATTATCCTTCCAGTCCTTCATGTTATCTTACGAGGACATACAAGATAAAGATGATAGTTTTATTTTTCTATCCTCTTCTTAGAAAACGAAAGTGATATCATGTTCAACCAAATCATCACACTCGAATCCTCGTATGTTATTCACCAGACTGGATTTAAATGTAGCCAAATAAATGAAAAGGAGAGAAAGATGTGTTGTTTCGTACGTACACAGAACGCAAGAAATTCTTGTGGTCAAAAGAGTAAACAATGGATAGCTTTATCCAGTCTGGTTCGACGTAATTCCATACATGAAAATTTCGAATCATTTCACAATGTTTCAAGTGAAAGAAACATCACAACGTTTTCACCTATCAGATCATTGGATGAAATTACGAAGTGAAACTTCATTAGTCGAGAAAAAGTAAGGAAACCGAAATTAGTAAATTGATGTTCAAATTCTTCGTTTCATTTAGAATAACAGTGAATCATATTGAAAATTTAGCAAATGAAACCTTCTACGAAATATTCAATTACTTAAATAGTTGTTATGTCCATCAAGCATTTTTTGATTTAAATGCTCGTTTCCGAAATCTCTTAACCGACTCGAAATTTTTTTTGAAAATTCAACTTTCAATGGAATCATATTTAACAATCGATGATGAATACGAACGATATATTTTATCCAATCGACATCATGTTCTTTCATTTTCTTTTGATTATGACTTTTACGATCAACAATTCATTCGATTATCTCCTCATATCGACTCAACATGTGTTCATTTGGAATCCATCAATGTCAAAAATGTTCCGATATTGCAACTTCGTGTACTTCTTTCACAACTGAAATCATTACCACTGCTTTCTTCGTTACAAGTTTACTTTCATACTGTCGATAATTATCTGGTTGATGTCTATCAGAGCATTTTTCAATTACGCTTTCTGAAATATCTCAAAATCGTTGTTTCTCAATATCGAAAGGAAAATTTTCTTCTTCCAATGGCAACTGCTGAACAATATACATCAATCGAATTCTTCTCGTTCTGTCATCGTTTAAGTCTCGAAGAACTGATGAATCTTCTTTCATACACACCACGACTAACACATTTACATTGTTCGTTCATTGAACGAATTGGATATATAAATCCCATGGAAATCGTTATGAACATGAATCATTTAGTTTATTTTAATCTTCGTATTGATGATATTCCATCGGATGCTTGTCGAACATTTCTTGCAAAATTACCGTCACAATTGAAAGCGTTGACTATCAAAATTGTCAATGATAATAAAAGCTATTTCGATGCGTATGCATGGGAACAATTGATTCGTGAAAACATGCCTAATTTACAAAAATTCACTTGCCATTGGACTGAATTTCTTTCCAGTACATTCCAAATTACCGATTGTCATCGAACAATTTCGAATTATCTGTCACCATTTTGGATCAACAAACAGTGGCACTTTAGAATCATGATTTCTTGTGATGAAGTTGCATATAGCATTCGTCATAACGAGTATATAGATATAAAATTGAGATTTCGAAATGATTATGTTTCTTTTTCCAGAAACGAATGGTACGATTTTCAAGAACACGCACCTTATGATGGAAATTTGACGTCATATTATTCTTATCCTGGTGTGAATGTAACCCTATGGGACATTGATTCACTGGATGATACATCCTATTTTGTTCGACTCAATCGTTTATTTAGATTAACTGATGTAACCCGTTTGGTTATACCGAGTTTTTCTTGTCCTACAAAGGAATTTGTTACTATTCTTCGGTTATTACCAAATGTGACTATGTTATGTCTTACATTGTCGTCGAGTTCATCAGAATTTCTTCAAGCTGAAGATGATATGGATCGACTTCGACGATGTTTGAAAACGAGCAAAATTACACATGTGACAGTAACAAATTTGTATAGTGAAAATGATGTGAACTTGATTGTTGATCTTTTCCCTCGAATGCAATCATTCGTAGCAACAACGATTCCGAATGATCGTCTTATATCAATGACTGAATGGACATTGAAACGAATAAAGTGCAATCAAATGATTGAACCGATGAGCGTTTGTATTGTAATCGAGAAAGGAACGGATGATCAAATTGCAAAATTACATGAAATGATTGACAAGGAAAAGTTATTGAGTAATTACACAATCGATCGACGATCGAATAAGTTTTATATAAAATTTAATTGTTGAAACTTTTACTTGTTTTTTCCTAAGTTAATGAACTTGTGTGATTGTAATTCAATGAAACTTGTTTTTTTTTCTAAATAAATGAACTCATTTATTCGATCGAGTGCGATTGAAACTGAAGGACAACAACAGAAATTTAATCAGATTAACATGTCTATTCGACTAACTATCATATGAGATTGTTAAATAGGAATAAATAGTGTATTCGAGATTGAATGAACATCATTAATTGAAATATATTTCGTGTATTTGTTTTAATTCTAATCACGACAGTTCTACATGGCTTTTTGTCAAAAAAAAATGAATAAATCCGCACGTGGACATGAACTTTGTTTTTCGTTTTTTCTAGGACAACATACATCAGTTCGAACACGTTTTACTCATTGTAAGAAGACGTGTGTGAGTTGGATATATGCAAGTTTTTGTATTTAAATAAGGAAAGCCTAAAGAAGTTGAAACAAAAATGGCCGAAAGAAATCTATTCATGAGAAAAAGAAATCGAATGAATTTGTTTTTGCTATTGCTAATGATATTTATCTTCGTATTTTCCATACGAAATCTTTCTCAAACGATGAAGACTGTTAATGAAAAAGATTCATGGATTATTCTTTATCGTATCTTAGGCAATGATCTTCCTCCTCGTCATTCTCATAATCAAACATTAACAAATTTGTTATTTATTCTTCAAAATGAACCCACATTCATTCACATTCAAAAAATCTGGATTCTCAATCGAATTGTTTATCACGATCAAGAAACAAAACTAATCGATTTATTGGATAAACACAATCAATTTTACATTCGAATTCCGTTCTATTGGCATGAATATCGTCAAATTCTATATAACTTTTCTCCAAAGATGAATATTAATTCAACAGATCTTTTTCACGGAGTAAATCTTCTTCATGAAAAGATTCGTATTATCAGTATTTTGTATCACAAAAAGAATTTATATGTGATGAATAATAACGGTGCGCGAAATTTCGCTTTAAGACATGGAAAATATCAAACGAAATCACAATGGTTAATGGTTTTCGATGGCAATTGCTTTCTTTCACAACGAGGTTTTGATCAGATTGTTGAATCATTACGTGTGAATGGTTCATATGTGAAATATTTCATTGTTCCAATGTCTCGATTAATTGAAAACGAGAAGATTTTTCAAAAAGAAACAAACTTAGCCAACGAAGAACCACAAATTATCTTCCGACGAGATTCAACAGTGGAATTTCTAGAAACATTGCGATATGGTCATCGACCTAAAGAAGAACTTTTGGTTTATTTAGGTGCATACAAGTTCCATTCAAGTTTTTCTCAACAACGAAAGCCATTGTTAATGAATGGAACAAATTTTCAATATACTGGTTTTGTTTTTCGTCTCTATTCAGGATTTAACCCAAACAATGAACGTTTCATACTTGATCGAACATGTACTCGATTTCAAGGTATTATGTTTTTCCTTGAAAAACTCGATAAACATATAAATCACCATGATATTCTTCCGCAATCATCAAAAACAGATCGACATCAATGTTTAGTATGGTCAAATGAATAATTAAACAAAATTATTCAAACAGCGCGACAAACGATGAATCTAAAATCTAACATAAATTCAACTGTCTCGTTTAAAAACGTTCAAAATTGATGATCCCATAGATTTTCTAATCGATAGATTTCGATATCTGTTGTTGTAAAATTTGTCGAACCGGTAAATGTTAAATAACCTTTTCCAGTTGAATCAATAAAAGAAATGGGAAATTTAATAAAACTCTCTGAGTTTATATTACTATACGGATAAATAGCTAAATCATAATGACCAAATGTAGGTCCCATAGCATTTGGTACAACAGCATTTTCACCAGATAGTTTTATCAAATATTTTGTTGACGGAATACCATTCGGATTAGCTAAAGTAAATAAGAAAGCATTTCGATCTTCGACAGCGACATTCATTCCTTGATGAAAATTCCAATTGACGGATGTATAACCACCGAATAAATATTTATCTAATGTTTCAATGACGGTTATTGTTGGACCTTGACTATCCGAACAACGATGAAAATCATCCATACTAAAACCATCGCGTGTTGCTTTGTAAATTAAATGCCATTTTTGACTTTCTTTTCCGTAGAATTTGTTCAATTGGAGTTGATCTTCAGGTGTTAACAATGTTCCTCCGATGAATAATTGTCGTGGTGAAGAAACTTCATATTCCGACGACGACCATTCAATAAACACACGAAGAATAGTCGACCAATCAATCGGTGTAATATGTAATTTAATATGCGGTGAATATGTGTTCAACGTTCGATTTAGATCACGAAGTTTCAAATTTAATTCGTGAATTGACGCATCTGTGCCGCTACGACGTCGTTGATAGTCATTTGAATCTTTTGTCATTGTCGAATTCATCGATATGATCAAATCGTTGACACGTTGTCGTGCACGATCTGCTGTTTGTTTCACCAGTAACAATGTTCCATGTTCCCATCGATCGATTTCGTCGAGAAGTGTGATAGATTGAGTATGACTAGATATGGATGAACGACGAGAAGTATTCATTGTGTTTCAGAAGAGAAATTGCGTCGTTGAATTGAATAGTGCCGTTTAGAATGAAAAGAATAAAGAAAAAATATGCTCGATGACTGAAATCATAAAAAACGACGACGACATTTCTTTTCTTTTCCAGCAAACAACTAGAATTTTTTGTGAGTTTAGAAGAACGGAGAAGATGCTATAAGCAGAACGTGTTCTTTTTTTTCTTTTTTTCAGTTTCAGAAAGCAAACTAAAACATACGGATCTTTTCATCAATTCTCGTCTGGTAATGTTTCAATGAGATTTATTAACTTCAATACACAACAACGTGAAATCTTTTTTTTTGTGAACAATGTTATTTGATTATCATCAAGATTAGTGTCGATTCATTTGTACGAAGAGTTCAATTCTTAATGACATCTCGTGGACAATCTCTAAATATTACGTATGACAGAACGTAAGAAATTGTCGAGATTGAAAGAGCTAATCGTCATTATTGCATACGAACGAGTCACGGAGTATATACATCGTTGATGGATGACTCAGAGAGAAAATCGAGTAGTTTGTTGTGTTCTTTCGTCCTCGGTCGTATCGATTTTTTTTTCGTACGCAAAAATCAGCATGTACAGATTATTTTTGTCGCAGTGTATTTAAGTGCGGTTATCATCAAGATGGGTTCTGAAAATAAAAATGTTGATCCGTTGAAAAATTTCGTTGCCGGTGGTGTTGGAGGTATTTGTCTTGTTCTTATTGGACATCCACCGGATACGATCAAAGTTCGTTTACAAACCATGCCTGAACCAAAAAAAGGAGAGAAACCGTTGTATAATGGAGCTATTGATTGCGTCAAAAAGACGGTGAAAAAAGAGGTTGAATGTTTGTTTTCAAAACTCATATGATCTCATTGTTTTTCTTGTTTAAAAGGGTTTTCTCTCACTTTATCGAGGTGTTGGTTCGATGTTTGTTGGTGTGACACCAACGTCAGCGTTATCGTTTTTTGGTAATAGTATTGGAAAGAAAATGCAAACTCCATCAAGAAGTGATGGAGACTATAGGTGATGAATATATCTTTATGTTTTGGATGGATTTATGCATTTTATTTCGTAGTTTGCCTCAATCATTCATTGCCGGATCAGTTGCTGGCATTACGAATACAATTGCGTTAACTCCTGTTGAAAGAGTGAAATGTTTATTACAAGTAAATTCTTTATTTTGATTACTTTGCAATGCAGTCGTTATTCTTTTAATCAAAGGCACAAGAAGCAGCAAAATTGAATAAAAATGTTTCAACAACGGAATACAAAGGATCATTTGATTGTGCCAAGCAATTGTATGAAAAGGGCGGAATTCGAAATTTATATCGAGGCACAGTAATCACTATTATCCGAGGTATGTATACAATCATATTCTAATCCATGTGAGATTGTTCATTTATCGTAGGTGTTCCAACGTGGGGTGTATATTTTTGTACGTATGATGGAATGAAGAGATTATTAAAACCAAAAGGATTCTCGTAAGTGATCAATTATGGAAAGTAGGATATTTATATTGAAGAAGCTCATCTCGAAGGAAAAAATTAAGTCCGTGGCGAACAATTCTAGCTGGTGGAACAGCAGGATTATTTAGTTGGTTCGTTGCAATGCCTGCAGATATTTTAAAATCAAGATTACAGAGTGGTATGTAGAAGTTAATGACTTTGAGGTATGACGTTTGTTTCTTGCCGTTTTCAGCGCCATCAGATCGATATCCAAATGGTGTTCGCGATGTTTTTCGTGAATTAATAAGAAAAGAAGGTATTGGATCATTCTACAAAGGCACAACTGCAATTCTAATCCGAGCATTTCCAGCTAATGCGGTAAATTTATATGTTTGAATATTATGATGATGAATTATTTCGATGTTTCTTACTTATAGGCGTGTTTTCTTGGTTACGAAATAACGATGAAAGTTTTAAACAAATTATATTAATTCGATAAATTGTCCTCAATTTCGTATGTAATTTGTTTCAAGTTAAGAATAAATGGATAGTTGAACTCAACTTTCGAGTTTAATACCAATGTATCGAAGCGATGGAAAACAACGAACAATAATGCAAATTTCTAAGTTGTGAAAATAAGTTATATTATTTGATGAGATTTATTTATTCGAGCGTTGAATCGCACAGGTTTTTCCACGTCGATGAATTGGAGTAATGAAATTTGGTTGTAATCGATTTCTTCGTCGAAATTCAGAATTCGTGAATAAAATAACAAATGGATAGAATAAATGAATGAAATAAGGCAAAATAAACATATAATCGATTTGAAATTGACTCGAGAGTTTTACTCGCCAAACTAAATTATAAATTGAAACTGATTTCAATGGTGCCCACATAAAAAAATACAGACATGCAATAGATAATAATTGTATAACCATTTTTCGATCTCGTTTCCATTGAAAAATTTCAATATGCACCTGACGTTTTTGAAGAAGAAAACGAGCAAATAAAGCGAGACTTAACAATGGAATAGCAAAGATTGGCATCCAATTATTTACAAATGTATCAACATTACCAATTGGAATATTCATAAAATAACAAGGCATTATACAAAGAAGTTGACTGAAATCATAAACAGGTTCACATGGATAGAGGAAAATTAAGATAAAATAAAACAATGCGGGATATAATAAACATACAACTATTGGAATATAATGATAAACTATCCGTCGAAAACGTGTTCTCAATGGATTTAAACGAAAGATAAGCAAATGACGTTCAATACACGAAAATGACATTAAGATTAAGTTGGCTATATTTGTTGTATAGTGTACCCATGTCCAGATCGAACAGAAAAGATAACTGGCTGGTCGAACAGTTGCTGTGTAGAAAAATGCTTCACTTGCTGACACAGGAATCGCTACAAAGAGAAAACTACTACAAAGAAGAACAAGAACAATGTGATGATGAATTGATTGACGAAGATTCGATCGAGTCGCGTATTGAAGAAATATGTATAATGAGCAAATGATGGATGGGATTTGTAATGTAAGAAATAAAATAAAGCGAATTTCATTCTTGAGAGATGAAATGTTTGTTGAATTTGAGATGTTGGATGACATGTTTTCTTTTTATAATAGAGCAAAACAGAAACTTTCTGAAAAACAAAAATAATAAACGATATCAGTGACCGACTATATAGTTCAATAATGATTCAATGAACATTCAAACATTTACAGCATCTTTGTTTCAATATGAACTTGACTACGTCTAGCTAGAGGAACAACTACAGAATACACTGAATAGATATTCGAGGTTTGGATGTGTTATACGATTAAAAATGAAATAAGCAGGTTTGTACTTCAAACAAGCTCATGATGCGCATGAAAATAATCAGAACAAAGTCGGAATGATAGAATTACACATTTCTATCACTTGACACGAACTGGTGGAATAATATATGTTGGTTTTTGGTTTTATAATTATGATTGAACGATTCAAACAATTTCAGGGAGCACTCAGTAATGATAAAAAAGAGAAACTTGCATTTAGTTTTCGTAATTACATTGTTCTAAGTCTAATTAGTACATAGTATACTTTCATTATCCTTTTTTAATAATAGAATAAAAAAAGAAGTTAAGAGTTAGATAAATAGTCTCTCATATTTTTTATAATAAATAAGAGAAAGAATAATGTTAAAGTGGTTGGCAAAGAGTTCAAAGTAAAATTTAGAAAACTATTTGCAAACGAGTGTTTTCCAGATGTGATTAGCTGGTAATAAATCGTATTTTTATTTGAATTCTTCATACATTCTTACTGTAGACATAATTCTCATTCATCTATAATATTCAAGATTATGATTGTAACGTGTACATTATTGATTGTAGTTATAATTTACTATCTTCTATCTATTTTCGTGTTTTTACATCTTTGCTTTTTCTTTCAAACTAATACAATCTTGAAATTCAAAAATACGTAAACTGACATATCAAGTTCGTTGTTCGTACAGTCGAAGTCTTACTCGAGAGATAATTTACTATTATTTTCTAAGCAACAGTGTTCACTATACCTTAAATAATATATATTATGTTCTATTATCTGTCGTTGTCATTTTTCGAATAAAGTTTTATCCACATGAAACTATGCGTTGACTCTGAAGAAAACGACAAATTGATTCAATACGAATAGCTGAATTGAAGTATATTGATTATTTATCGAATCACAAACTGAATTGTTAAGATGAATAATGACGAACTCTCCATTAGTGTTTAGTAAAAAGACCATCTGGTTGATCAAATATTTTTCTGCTCATCTCAATGCGACTAACATACTCTTACATATGTACATTTAAATGTGAATGTATCGTTGTCTGTCACATTTATTATAGATCTCATGGAGAGAACAGAGCCGTTGAAATGAGATATACGAGATATGGCTGAAAAGGTTTATTTCATTGTGCTCAGACGGGCAAGCATAAGAAAAAAACGCACATTTTCAAGAGTTAATACTCGTTAGAATTCTAACGCTTTAAAGATTCGTTAAAACAGTGTTTTCGAGATTGCAAACTGTGAAATCTTCGTTCTAACGGAATTTCAACGTGTTTTTTTGAGAGTTTTGTCTATCTGAATAGTCATTCATAAAACGGTTTTAAATATTCTATATTGTTCGCAATTCAGTCAAGAGCCAAGACAAATCACATTGGAGAAGAATTACTTAGAGTTTATCTATTTCAGTAATTTCATAGCGACTACGAAAGAAAGCTTCAACAGTGTATTTAAAATTGGATCTAGAATATCATTGTAGAATACTAGAACTTCTCCAATCTACTGAAGCGTTTGCTAGTGGTAGTGATATTCAGTTTGTACAAGTTAAAACGCATCAGTTGAATGCAACGCAGCGTTTGAAGATGACGAAAAATATTGTTCCGATGAACGACAATCAGCAGATAAAATATCAAACGATTCAATTAGTCAACTGATACATATTTTTTTCTTTTCCTTATATAAATCATTATTCTAAATATAGAACGACAATATGCATTTCATTTGTATCGTCAATGGTCCTCAAGAATGTATTTATAAATACTCTTTGATAGTTTTTCTCTTCTGTTATTCATAATTACAAATTACTATTTTATTTACTAAAGAACATGATACCGATTGTATGTATAATAAAACAATGACGTATTAATTCTTCTTTTTTTTTGTCGAACGAAACATATAAAAAGAAGCCAGTTGATTGATATTTTATGGTTCATTTAGATACACAACAGCTGTATTCGCTGTTCTTCCATTGGTTATTTTCTATTTCTCTTCAGTATACGTGATGATTTATATATATCTCATCGATGGTTCCGTAGGTCGACCAATCGTTTCTACAACATCAGGAAGATTTCTTGGTTTTACAATTCATAAAACGAATATTTTGTTTGAAATTCCTTACGTTGCTCCACCCATTGGAGAACTTTGTTGATAAAAGGTCGTAACCATACGTACTAAACACTAATCTAAAGAATAACACAAAAAATGCTACACATTACAGTCCGTAATACCCTCAAGTTCCTCGAGAAGAATATTTTGGAAGTATGTCGGACGAAGATTGTCTCTATTTAAACGTATGGACACCTTCTATCCGATCAACAATAACGCAAGGATACTGTGTTTTAATTTGAATTCATGGCAGTGGATTTCAGAAAAGTAGTTCTACAGTACCTGTTTACGATGATCCTGATTGGCCCAATGATACGATCGAAAATAAGAATCCTTTCATTATGGTCAATTTTAATTATTGACTCAACGCTATGGGATTTTTCGTTCATCCGACTTGGAATGATAAAATTGGAAAGATGGTTGCTAATCAAGGTATTAGTGATCAACGTGAAGCAACCAAATGGGTTCGTGAAAATATTGCTCAATTTCGAGATGATCGAGGTTCGATTACTCTCATGGGTGGATCATCTGGATCACGAATTTCAATTGTAAGCTATTTGTATTGATAGGAATGAATCATGATGAATGGATCCTACAAATCTTAAACGATGGAACCACAAATGAACTACTCGACGAAGCTGATTATTTGAATCATTTTCTTTCTCCTATAGCTACCTATAAAAATACTAAAGTTATGAATCTGTACACTCTAGATAAGTTCGCTCGTAACTATTTGAAAGTATATGTGGCGCTCGCCATATGGCTGAATATATGGTCAAACAACCAACATATCTGTATAGTTACGATCATATGTTACAAAATCCGTTCTTTTCCAATCCAGATTAGTTCCATGCCATGGTACTTTTCATTTAGTTGAATTATTTGTTCGATTTCAAACATTATCTAATTCATCGTAGAAAAAAAACAACTATGTTTGCAATCGAGAAATTAGATTTGACAACAACTAAATGCTGAAAGTAGTTTCAATTAGCCTCACTGCTTACCAAAGGATGATGATACAGTCATTTTGTTCGATTGTGATAAAGTATCGGCAATGTATGTTAAAATCTTCGGTGCTTATTTCGGTCTGGATGTTACCTGTACAGCAGGAAATAAATATTTTGCCACTCGATCCAATTGTAAAAAAAAAGAATTTGTTCCAAAGGAATACAGCTGATAAATCAATAACTGATGTTCAGCCAAATTCAATTAAGTAGCTTCATATCACTGATATGCATCACAATGGTCGTTCTTTCTCATTTAACAACCTAATATCTTCTCTAATCATTCATTTTTTTTGTTTATTATCACGTCGTTATTCATTTCAATCGTTATGAAAAATAAAAAAAATTTAGTAAAGGTAAATTAGGGTAGTTAAATAGTAATATTTACTAGATAATGAGATCTTTATTTCAATTTAAATCTATTTACTCAGCTATGTGCCCTATTGTTCTCGAAAAATCTTGATTTCACGATGAATATACAACTGTATCAATCAAGCGAAACGACGTATATTCAAACAGGAAGGACAAAATGCTGTGATCAAGTCTTACATTATTAATGGTTACGTTTCTCATTATTTTTGTACAATCGTTCGCATGAAAAGCGACTCTGAATCTATTCATATATCGCCTTGTTCGTATTTATCGTTCTTTTTTCATACATAAAACATGACGTCCTTATCATTTCTCTTCATTTTATGAAATACTCACCATTGGTTACTGTTTGTGACCGACTGTATAGTGAAGAGGTCATCGTCTAGTTTCGCTTTTCGTTCTTCTTTCTTCTTTTATAATATTTGTACGTATTCGATCATTCACTGTTTGCAATCTTCGTCATGCCAACGAAGTCGAATAAAAAGATTCAAGGACCAAGTCTTTATAAGACTTTCGTTGATGCTTATATGAAAGCTCGTCCAAATGAGACTCGAGCTGTAAGTGAGAAAAGTTTTTCAGACGTATCGATTTTCTTCTAATTACATTTCAAAATTAGGCAAAATTCTATGATGCACAAGTCGAATGGAACGAAATCAAATCGAACGAAGAATATGTGAAAGAAAAAATCGAAGAATATTTAGAAATTTATAATTCACTAGATGAAACAGTGAATGAAGATTTCGACCAACCAACGTCTCCAATTGAACCAAAATCTCTTCGTTCTCGAATGAAAAAGAAGTCAAAAGTCGATGTTGACAACAATGAAGACGAACAGCCCAATGCATCAGATAACTGCAATGAGAAACAAGAGAAAAAGAAGAAACCAGCAGTTCGTATAAAAAAACCTAAAATCCTTCAAGAAAAAACCCTTGAAGATCCAACACAAGTTCCACCTATACCTGGTATTCCATTAGAACCGTTAGCAAAACAAAAACGACAACCAGCACAAGAGCGTATTTTTAAAGAAATAACAGCGATTAATGAACGAATAGCTTCGTTAATTCAAGTGAGACAAATGGGTTTGGCGACGGTGGAGAACAGGAAACAATTGAAACAGTTAATTAAAGATCGAAATACGAAAGGATTTGAATTAAAACGGCTTCAATCGAAGCAACGCTCATCGAGTAGATATCGCGTGAAAAAAAAACAAATCGTAAAAAGATTTTCGTTACATTCTTTTCTTCTACAATTGTTCTTCGAGTTTTAGGTCCAACATTTGTTTGAAACTAAACCTGAATTACATCCTCAACTAAATAAACTTTATCGACGTACCACTGGCCGGCCACGAGTTGAGGAATATTGTCCAGATTTATTACAAATGATCGAAGAAATAGCGAAAGTCGGTGGTGCAAGTGATGGTCGGCGTCAAACAGAAATCATTCGTCCTTGTTTAACATTAGACGATTTACGTGAAAAACTCAAACAACGTGGTTATGATATCAAACGAACAACACTCTATTATCGTTTGTTACCTCATCGTGCGAAATCGATCGATGGTCGTCGACATGTTTACACAGTTCCTGTTCGTCTTCGTCGTGCACAAAATGATGAACATGGCAAACATGAAGATGGTCATTTTGCCACAGCAACAATTCGTTATATGAAGGATTTAGCATCGATCTTTGGTAACGATTGTGTGTTCTATTTATCACAAGATGATAAATGTAAAGTTCCAATTGGTCTACCAGCTGCACGTGCTCAGGCACCGATGTTAATGCATTTGGATTATCGAATACGTTTGCCGGATCATGATTGGACAGTTGCTCCACGTCATCAGTTGACACCGAGTGTTTATGCTGCTTGTCTTTTGTCTGAAGATGGAGATTTGGGTTATTCCGGACCAACTTATGTCGCTATTCGATCGGCTAAACATGATCTATCCAGTGCAGAATCGCATGGCATTGATTTTGATCGATTAGTTGGTTTGAAAGAATTTGAAAAAGCTGCACGCGACGAAACTGGACAAGTCAAGCCGATTGTTATTGTTACTGTCGACGGAGGTCCTGATGAAAATCCACGATTTCCGAAAACACTTGTAGCGAGTATTAGAAAATTTAAGAAATACAATTTAGATGCTTTGTTTTGTCTTACTCATGCGTGAGTTTTATCTTTTAGCTTTTTTTTCTTCTCATTAAACGCTTTCCTTCTAGTCCTGGTCAATCAGCTTACAACATTGTTGAACGTCGCATGGCACCATTATCGCATGATTTAGCTGGTCTAATTCTTCCACACGATCATTTCGGTTCACATTTAAATGAATCAGGCACAACTATCAACGTTGATTTAGAAAAAACTCAATTTTCGTAAAGCTGGACAAATCCTAGCAGAAACATGGAATCAGTCCGTTATTGATGGCTTTCCATGTGTAGCGGAGTACATTAATCCACCGGCAACATCCGATGATGAACGACGACAAATCGATACAAAAATTGTCATGGATGAACTTTTACGACAGTGAGAATAACAAAAAAGTTTTCTTCTGGTTATTTGTTATTTTTCGATAGGATTTGTGCCGAAGAAGAAGCAGAAGAAGGACACGAGTTTCGTGTTTCAGCACGAGATGAGTACTATCAAGAAAATGCTCGTCAAGCACGAGAGAAAACTGGTGAACAACCAAAATATGACATTGACGAGTATTGGTGTGCAATGCATGTTCTACAAACCCAATATACATTACAAATAATTCGTTGTAATTCTGTCGAATGCTGTGGACCGTGGAGATCAAACTATGTGGAAATATTTCCTCATCGTTTTTTGCCCGCACCTGTTCCATTTGAACGAACACCGTATGGAATTCGAATGGCTGATCGAGATTATCAACGAGGACAATTTTATGGATCTTTATTTCAACGAATTCAATTTCATGGCGTTGTCATTCAACATACACAAGTTTGTTTAATTATATATGATTTTATAAAAGAAAATTTCTATATCGAATTTAGAATGAAATGATACCATTTGATTACTGTTGTTCATCGGTTAAAAAAGAACTAAAAAAACGGACATGTAAAGTATGTAATCAATACATTCCGTCGGCATATCGAATGAAAAATCATTATAAAATTCATGCTCAACATTATGATGATGATTATGATCATGAGCAAGATGATACACTAGCGCCATCTGTCGAAACTGGTGTAACAACAACAACCTCGACTCCGGCGTTTAAAAGTGAAATGATCAATTGGTTACGATCGGATTTCGATGACTTTGACTTAGACTCGTCATCAAAAGCGGCAAGTGATCGAGTAACACGCAATATGAGAAAACTACGTGTCGAAGATGGAAAAGATGAAGAAGACTGGATTCATGTCGAATAAATCGCATATGAACTATATTTCTCTTCGTATATTAGTATGTGTCTCTTTTTAATAAAATATAAATTTCAACTGCAAATAATAATTCATGCTTTATTTGATTCAATTCGGTGATGTATGTGAAGGAGTTATCATACTGAACGATTGCTTAGTCAAATGTTGTATAGGTTTTTTGCCAAAGATTATCTGGCGAACTTGTTTGCGAAAATTCGGTGTTGAAATAAAAAATATGTAAAAACTCATCGTCGGATTCGTATAAAATAAAATTGATGTGATTACATGATAGAGAAACACGTAAGACGTTCGTTGTAGAGAATTGTGCTTCACTATCATTACAAGATAGATATGTTCAATACAATACGGTATCGATGAGAGAATAATTGCGATCGACATCAATAATAACATTCGAGATAATTGCTTTTCGCTATTTAATATTCCATAACGTGTTTTTCTTTTGAAACTTTTCAATTGTTGAAACGTTAATGTACCGAATACGCTTAGAAATATTATAGGAAAGATACTATGAAAAAAGATTTGAAATATCCAGAAATAATAATATAAAAATAGTTGAGAATAGATCATACAGCGACCGTGATTCGAAACATGAAAATAGATACCGATTGGAATACTGTGAATACTATAGAGAATAATGAAAATCAATAAAACTTGTTCAATACGTTTAGTTGCAGGATTTAGATGACGAAGATGAACTTTTCGTGAGGTTATCAAATATCGATCGAATGTAGCTAAACAAATACAAGTTAAGGAAATAGAATCGAAGGTATGAAGAATATAATAACGAAATTTACAAAGAAAAAAAACCGAATTTGTTTGAACGGAATAATGAAAACCATCGAAGATAATACGAGTTAATAAAGGATAAATTATAATAATTAAATTTGATATTGAACATACGAATAAATATAGCGAACTGTTGGATTGACCATTAGATCTCTTCTTCGTGTGACACCAACGGAAAAATACACAAATATTCAAAATATTTCCTATTGTTCCAAAGATATACATGAATATTCCAAGAATAATCATTAAATTTTGGGATATTAAATCAAGTTGATACATAATTTAACTAACTGATGCGTGAAGAAATAGGAGCTGTATGTCTTTGTGAGTAAAGAAGATTTAACCTCTGATCATCTCTCTAATCAGCTTTTTTTAGAAAGATTTTCTCTTTTTCTCTCGTTATTGAATATAATATCCGCCCTTGTTCTGGAAGATCTTTCATTTAACAAAGAGAAAAAAATTGTCACTGGCGGAAAAGATGTTTATTGGCATTCTATTTTCTATGTCTTCTCTAACAGGATATTGTTTGTTATGCAAATAGTTTCATTTCCTTTCTCGATATAAATTCATGTTCACAATCATTTCAAGGAGAAATCGTGTTTAGTCATACATTATGCTATGTAAACAATAATTGATTATCGACCAGGTAGAATATTGAATCATCTTTTCGAGGTGGAAGATGCCTGGCGGGATAGTTTGTTTTATGTGTCATTGAATATTCGGTACATATGATTCAAAGAGGATTTTTTTGCCGGAAAATCATGTAGCAGTCTTAGAGCGACTTCTTGAATATCTTAAGGTGTAGGATAATTTTTGTTTTATTAATTAACGAGGAAGATGAAAGTGATATGAGAAAAAGTTGATTTGCGCATTGATAAAAGAACGTTAATAATATTTGCTAATTTATACACTTCATCTATCCAATTTCTCCCTTTGACATATTGTGTGTCGAACCCAACGACATAGACAGATACTCTCGTTTACAGGTATGCAATCAATTTTGTTTTCAATTTCTTTCAGCTGATGCCAAAGCATCTTTAAATATGATAAACTTCAAATTAATCTATTATACCCCACCCGTTTGTCTCGCGTTTATTGTTATGGTCACAGAGTACACATGGGCTGTGCGTTTTTTCCTAGTGTTTGCTTTTGATATTGCAAACAATTGAATGATCAGTTGTACGCTTGAGCTGACTACCGAGGAAAAACTAAACGCAAATTTCATTATTTTATCTAAAATAAGAAATTAATGACGAAAAGAGATATGTATTTTAAGTACATTCTAAACTTCAATCTCAAAATAAATCTTTGTTTTTCTACTATTCAAATGTATTTATTCAGAAAAACTTCTTTTGAACATTATTTTTTTTCTCCAGTAGCGAGTATGTCTTTTTATCAATACGCATGAAATCATGTCGAATAATGTAAGAGGTCATAATCTAATAAGATATATCAGTCTGGATATTCTAGTTAACATCGGAATGGAGTTAAAATGACTATGATTTATAACCAGAGGATTCAAAAAAGATCTTTGGGTGTTTGTTTTTTAGAACAGTGTTCAACCATTCATATCGAGCGACTGAAAACTCTGTCAATAATTGGTTCAATATGGATAAAAACCCTCCAGACTCTCTCAGAAAACTGACTATAAATTCGTTATAAATCTAATTCTATCTCAATGTGTAAAGATGTCCTTCGGTATTCTTTATGTCACCCATCACCTTTCTAATCAAGTAAAAGTCTTTTTATAAAAGGAACAAGGACATTTTCGGCTTCTATCATTCAATTCAAAGGTGTCATTAATTATACTAAAAAAAAAAATGGTTATTTATAGACGAATATCATGAACGGAAACTTCGTTCATTTGGACAAACGATAAAAAAAACTGAAAGAGATGGGGAGAACACTAATCATCTTCCATTCATATCAATATTAATATGTAATTTATCGCGAAAAACTCTTTCGTCTATCTAAGACGATTATTAAATCAGGAGAAAACATCGATCGGAGAATAGATTAATATCATAAATATAACCAAAAGTAGCTTATACTTGATTATACAGTCGTATTCATGTGCATTCAAGTACGTCTAAGTAGTTCTCGAAAATGCTTTCACCCGATTTAGGTACAAGGTTTTTAACAAAACTACAAAAATCTCGATAAAAACAATCTGTTCCACTCAATTCTGATCACTTCAGTCATAGTTTTCTTTTCATTCGATGTGACTAACCAAAACTGAATAACCCTATTTTGTAGCGACTTGAGATGACAGTTAACTACACTTGAATATCTACTAAAAAAAAGAAATTAAGTGAGCCATATGTCTTTTTCCTACGCATATTTATTCTCAAGTGACTTGGAAAGATAACTGAACGAAAAGTGTCATTTATGTCAAAAGGAATTTCTCTCCAACTTTGTTCCTTGTTTATTTGCAATAAAACAAAAGGTTAAGTTAGAAATTCGTTCGTTGATTATTTACAACGGAAGAAGATTTTTCTAATATGGATATTGTTTGATATGAGACGCTTTCGAATCACTAATCGATGTATTCGGTGGTGTGAGTGGCGGAGCATTTGTCGTAAAGATGAATCTTGCTCGATGCTTTTTTGGTTGTTGAATAAAATTCAATGAGAATTTTCTTTGACGTAATTGGAGTTTCATTTTCTCTTTTTCTAGTTCACGTTCATTTTTATGTGTGAACGACAAGCGATAATGAAATGATGTTTTATGACGACAATCTCCGTGTAAATCTTGACGTGAAAATGTTCGAGAACCAATCACTAATTTATATTTCGACATCGAAATTGTAAATAGATTATCACGATAATGATTACAAGAACTCGTCTTTTGAATCGTACGATGATATGGATTCGTTGAATAAGGAGTTGTAGGTGATCGAGCTAAATCTCGATTGTAATATATATATGAACGACCATTTCGATACGATGGTTTAGGCGATACGTTTCTCCATCGACATAATGTTCGTTTGAAACTATTGCGATATCTTCGCGACATGATATTGTATAGAAGAGGATTGACAGTAGCAGAGAGATAGTATAGAATACCTATGAATGAACAAATTGTCATACGAGAGAAATTGCTCACGATTGTTTGATTTACCTGACGCAAAAAAGAGAATTTCTTGAAATTTTGTAGCGGCATCTGATGTGATGTTTTTATTTGCTTTATCTAATAATCGTGTCACAAATGCAGTTATACGTTGTGTGTGAAATGGTGCCCAGCAAATAAAAAATGCAATTACAACCGCCACTAAATAAACGAACGAGTAAATTCAATTGAAAATTCCATTGGGGAAAAAAATTTGTAAAAATTTATTTGTCTTACCTAACATTTTCAACACAGCACGTCGGGAATTTCGTATCGGACGTGATTTAATCAATGACGCAGTATTTTGTCGTAACCAAAACTGTCGTTGACCACGATGATGTAAAACAATATGTTCATGTTTCTTTCCATCATTATTATTCAACGGCCGATGACTTGCTTTATACAGAGTAATACCCATTAAAACATATAGAACAGTAATAACAATAATTGGGACAAGAAATACAAGAAATGTCGTCACTGCCATGTAGTATAACATCGGTTCCCAATACTCCGGACGAATCGCACATATACGACTATCGAGAATCTCGATTGTCATATTGCGAAGTTCACCTTTAACACTAACAAACACGCCTAGATAAAACCGAAAGATTTCATTCATATGAAATATGCATTTTCATTTGAAATTTACCCGCGGTGAATGTGTAAGGTACAGCTAAGAGAAAGGATAAAAACCAAACGATCATGATCATTTTTAAAGCGCGATTTAAACCGCCTAGAACTTTTTGTGAAACAATCGGGAAACAAATGGCTAGATAACGTTCGATTGTAAAACATAGCACAGTTAAAATCGAGGCAGATGTGACGATTTCTAATACAACTGTACGAAATACACAAAACGATTCCCCGAATATCCTTGAAAACAAAACAAAAATATATAAAAGTCACTCCTAATCGCTTTCAGATTTCGTTTACCAGGGCCAAGATTCGTAAATATTGTACATTTCTACTGATAGACCTAAATTAAAGCGAAAATCAAACGATAATGAAAGTTTCCAAGTTAATAGAAATATCATTTGTTATATGATAGAAGTTTGACATTAAGATTTGTTGACAACTCGTTCGATATGGATAAGACTTTAACTATCTTATTAAGATAACTAGAAAGAAATGATATTTACCCAAACTAATTAATAATAAATCCGAAACAGCAAGAGAAAAAAGATAGAAATTCGTTGGTGTATGCATGTCACGACTTTTCCATATAGTCACACATGTACCTAAATATAAAGACAAATATTGATCAATGTTATTTCACATGAAATCATTTCTTACAGAGATTTCCAGTTAAACCAGTTGCAAAGATAAACGAATAGAGTGATATGAGTATAGGAAAAGCAAATTTGTTTCGTCGCCGATGTCCCAAGAAATTAACGACACTTCTATCTAATTCATCTTCTTCATCGTATGTTAAATTGAGACCTTTCGGTAAGATATCAAGAGATGAAATCATTTGATTTGATCTCTTCTTCTTCTTCTTCTCAACTGTATTGATGTTTGATTAACTGAAATTACACATAGATATAAGTCCGATCAAGAAGTCTTCTATTCGCTTTTTCTGTTTGTTACTTGCATAAAAAGAATATACGTTGTTTTCTCAGTTCTATGTCAATGCATCTCGCTTATTTCTCTTCTTCTTGTTCTTCTTTTCTCTTCTCGCAAATGTTTCCTCAAAACGGCTATGTCATCTAGATAGCTCTGACGACATAAATCATACTATTCACAGTTTCTCTTTTCTCCGTTATTTCTTTCTTTTTCTCATTCTATGTTGTTTGGAAATAATTTTATTGAATTTTTTTTCTTCGGTTTCTTAGGAATAGAAATGACATTAGATTCAAACTCTAATTGAATGAGTTCGAGAGACATGCATCATACCCAATTATTTCTTCTCTCTTTCAACGAAATTAGAAAAAACATCGGACTGAAAGGATAATGAAACTTGATATTATATATTAGTGCTATTGAATACACAAAAGAGAAACACTCAACTTGGATTTACCAAGTTATTCAGGCAACAGATTCTCTCGATATTTTTTCGACGATCGTAACATATTGATTACTATCGTAATTGAATAATGGAATCATTTTATGAAAATTAATAACAAGAAAGTTATCGATCATTCTCATTTTAATTCAATATTTCATTATACACAAAGGAATTCTATCGAGGACAAATTTTTATCTTGATAGATACTAACAACTGTTAATCGATCAGAGATAAAAAGCTACTTGTGTATGTCATCATTCATCTATTTCTTTCGCCGACAAATGTTAAAGAGCTCGAACTATGTCGAAAGCTGTCTCTTCGTTTTTCTTTTCAATCAATTCAAATCTATTTAATCAAATGATGATAGATGCATTGTTTATTGTTTCTTTTCGTATGAATCAACATATATTCCTTAGTACAAAAAAGAATCTCTTTTATCAACACGTCGCCAGAATAATCAACAATTCTGACACGGTATATTACAAAGTTATTTATATAGAATAACAGACGATCTCATGCATACGTTTACCATATTTTTTGTGTCAGAAGAAAACAAACGCAACGTTTTTTGTATATATTATTTGTTACGTTTGATTCTCCTGAGAAAATCTTTCCGATCGATAAAACTAATCACTAAGAATTAGAACGTCAAAAATATAAAGAAAAAAAAGGAAAGCAATTATTGTCTGAATGATTTGAGTAGACTGATGAATGTCTAAGCTCTCTTCGATCGGAAAAAAAGAACATATCTATTTATATTAACAAACTAATAGACTTCGTCAATTCGACTGGATAATTGTCATATAAAAAGAAAAAGGTCAATTATTTCCAAATAGAAGATCGTTCAATTTATTATGAATTTTCATAGTTAACTAGTTGTTTCTTCTCTTCGTCTTGTATTGTAATCATGCGAGCAGAAGTAGAATACATCCGGACATACGGAAATCGAATTTCTCTTTGCAATTAAGAAACTTATGGTAATACCACCTATTAAACGAAAGGAAACATGTTACTATTATTGTCTCATAGAAACTGAATGTTTGAGGGAAAAAATCGTCTGATCAGACATGGTAATACATTTCGTTTGTATGATTTCCTAAACAACGGAAATTAAATTTCTGATTTACACAGATCATGTCCTATTTCAGTGGATATACTTTCATTGAGAATCGCTTTGGAAGCATGTATTTGTACTTCCTACATTCGCAAAGGAAAATAACATCAATGTGCTAAAAGTGTGCATGTTAGAATTTCCTATTTTGCAATTAGATTAATTAAATCTTTCGAATATAAAAATAGTTTGAATTCATCAGGGATCCACTGTTCAGATTTATATCGACAAACAGAAAAATGTTTTATGTCATTTTTCTATGACGACACAATTTTACGAGTACATTCGTTGAATGATGTCAATGTATTTTTTGAGTACATCAGAACGAGAAGAAAACGGATGATAGTTTGTGTAATTCTAGCCACAATCAAATAAATATCTTGCATACTGAGTATATAATCAATCCGGGGAAGATCCTTTTTCGGCGCTTCAATATTTTTGTTGTTGTAGTTTTCTTTTTTTGGTATGTTATTAACCGACAATTTGTAAAAATACATGACAACATTCGATATTTAAATAATAAATGGAATGGAAATGGAAAATGTGCGAGTAGTTTTAGGTGGAAAGTTCGGCGATAGATGGCGCTAGATAAAAAAAATGGGGAAACCAAATAAATAATTGTTTTTTTCTATCTACACGCTTTTTAAAATATTTTTTTGTTAAATTCAAAAATCTTTCCCAAAGAAACCAATCAGTTCAAATATGCGGGTAGATCGAATAAACGCAAACGAAATTTTCGTCTCATTCAAATTCTCACCATGAACTGGACCGTTCGTCGACCATTTCGTGAACAATTTGCCTATGATATTGTATATCTCTCCTATTACTTTTAAATCTCTACAATTTGTTTTCTAGGGTCGAAATCGACATACGAATCATCGTGTTTTACCATATCAAGTGCATAAAACTTCAACAAATCAACCAATTGATGCTCTTCGTCTTGAATTAGCTGATTGTCGTCCTCCATATCCAGTTCATAATCCACGACGTGATTCGTATATTCGAACATTTCCTGAACGTCGATCGACGATTCAACGAACCAATTCATCATCAATTCGTTCAGTTTCAACTTTCGAAACTGATCTTGTTCATCAGTACGAAGAGAAATCTCGTGTGTTCTTTTCCATTAATTTCGATTTCTTTTCAGACGAGTCTCAACGATCCGTTCGTATCCATCGCCGACATCGATTTTCGAACGAGAAGAAGTTATCAATGAACTCGATGAACCAAATAACGATCGACTTCTTACCATTGAACAACCATTGAATAAAACAACAGATGAACTAATTGAAGAAGAATCTTCAAGCCAAGTAAGAACCGAATCCAGAGAAAAATCGAAAGAAAGCAATTTTTATAATGTTTAGTGTCGAACATGTCTAATGCTAATGGAAATTATCGATCATCAAACTCAACAAATTCGACAATGTACAGAACAAATTTCTCAGCAAGCTGATTTATTAGCTAAACTAGGTCGACGTTTAGCAGGAATTGAAGAAGGCATTGACGATCAAAAGGCTGAGCAGACAACTACGACTTCATCTGCAGATAAATAATTAGATTTTAGAATTTTTATTTTTGTCACGATAAAATAAATTAATTAGGATTTGTAAATAATGGTTCTAGAAGCAAAAGAATTAAATTGATTAATGGATGCAGTTCTTCTTCAATTATCATTTCAAATGGATGAAAATTCTTTCCGAAAAACCTTTTGCTTATTTGATAATAGAGTCGAGGAAAGTCACCAATGTGATGATAAAATTTATGAAACTTTGGAAAACTAAACAACGAAACATTTTGTTCTTTTAGTAAATTTCTTTGTTAGTCAATTTACTAATGAACATAAGCAGATGTGGGAAGATTTTTGACAAGTAAGTAGCCCGATTAATGAAATTGTCGACGAAGATCCAATACGTTTTGACAAGTTGACCTGTTGAAGTTCAACTGAACGATCAAAAGTTATCAATCGGTGTTGCAGCGTCACTTGAGAAGCACGAATAATTTGCGTTTGATTGATTGTATTATTAAACACAAATATGTAATGTTCATTTGTTATGAATGTATAAAACTTTGCTAAGTTACAAACAGAAAGGCACGAAGTTCGTTTTCTGCTTTGAGAAAACTTCACAAATTTGCAGTGTTTGATTTAGCATGTATAACTATGTCTATTTCATCTTTGATGATTCGATGATCATCTTCTGTTAATACCTATACTCGATCACCTGATTTTAAATTTCCCCAACTATTCAATGCAGTGCATGTACATTGTGTTGAAGTCAAATTCAGATGGATACGATTAGGAATGATAGGTACGTAAGCATAACTGCAAATATAACTAATGCGAATTCAAAGAACGGTGGAAAAGAAGAATATCAGTAAGAGAATAAAGTACATTGTATAGAATGATGGAAAATTCCATTAGTTCATATACTATGGTTATGATGAAAAAAAAACAAACGAAAAAATAATAGTGATTAATTGACGATATTTTCTCAGTAACCAAACATTCCTTGTTTGCAGATTTAATAATTAAAAGACAAATATGCGAAGTTTCATGTGAATCAAAACTGAAATACACTTGAAAAGAGTACTTAATTCTTGTCATACGAAAAACGACATATCAATAAACATCGATAATCCATTCGATCAAATATTTACATGCCTCGATTTGATCTCTTTGATATATACAAGTGTGTTTTTTTTTCTTATTCTCTTCAGACTTAACATGAATATTCTTTGTCTAGTTGCAATAATTCTACTCGGTTATTTTGGACAAGATTTCATTTCGAATGTCGGTTCATCGTCAACTCAAGCACCGTTTCCATTTAATGAATCGTATGCAATAATAGTTTTGACTGGTGGTCTAGTTTTTGGCCATTCGGAATATGTTACTAAACCGATACGAAAAGACGTTGTGATTTCAAATGGAAAGATTCTCAGTTTAATGGATCCATCGAGAACGTTGGCATTTATCAAATCAATGCAAACCAGTCAATTATCTATTTTGCCAATATCTGTTCAAGAACAATATATCATTCCTGGATTGATTGATGTTCATGTTCATGCAATTGGTGGTGGAGGTGAACAAGGTCTGGTGCCTTGAAAATATATTGAAAAGAACTTGTAAGGATTTCTTTAGGTCCCTATTCGCGAACACCAGAGAGTCGTTTATCGGAATTGATTCAAGGTGGTTTAACTACCGTTGTTGGTCTACTTGGAACAGATGGAGTTAGTCGAAGGTGAATTTCATTATTTATATTATTAGTCGCATTTCTTTTATTTTTGTATAGTTTATCGGCCTTGTTGCAAAAGATGAAAGTACGTTTCCGTATATCAGAATTCTCTCATTTATCTCCTCTTATCTTCAGGGACTGGAACGTGAAGGTTTATCAACATGGATGTGGACCGGTAGCTATCGTATTCCCATTGTTACTCTTACTAGTTCTTTTGAGCAAGATTTAATTCTTATTGATAAAGTTCTTGGTGCTGGTGAATTAGCATTGAGTGATCATCGTTCAAGTTGGCCATCGAAATCTGAACTTCTTCAGTTAATTAGTGATGCACGTGTCGGAGGCATGCTGAGCGGCAAATTAGGTGTGATTCATTTTCATCTTGGCTCCGGTGCATCTAAGATTGACTTACTTTGGCAAATATTGAATGAGACAACAATTCCGATTCAACATATGTATTTAACTCATATGTCGTCACGTGGAGATGCACTAATAGAAGAAGCAAAAAAATGGATCCGAGCTGGAGGAATGTGCGATTTTACAGCAGATTCGGATGTTCTTAATGAAACAGAAACAGTGGAAACGTTAAATAAATTTCGAACGGAAAAACTTCCACTTAAACAAATAACACTCTCAAGTGATGCTTATGGGTAAATAAAGAATTGATTTTCTTCTCACATATTTCTTCTATAGATCGTTCCCTGAATTTGATTCTACGGGTCGATTGGTATCTTACGGTATGGGTCTACCAGATTCGGGTTTTAAAACAATACAAAAACTCGTCTTGAAATACTCATGGCAATTAGAAGAAGCCATTCAATTTCAAACAATAAATCCAGCAATATACCTTAAATTACCAGGAAAGGGTCTTGTTGCAAAAGACTACGATGCGGATATTTTGGTTCTAAATAAAACAGACCTTTCAATAAGATATGCTTTAAGTAAAGGACAATTTTTAAAAACACCAACATGGGTGAAACATGGCATGTTCGAAAAATAATAATTAATAAAAGTTTTCGTTTTTTTTTCCTACTGATAAAGTCTTGCTTTTTTTTGATAACTATTCAAAATGACGGTACAAGGTGAAAATTTTATCTCAGAAGATAGACAGCACAACGGTAAGGTTGCATTGTGACATAAACTTTTGTGCACGAAATGTTTGCGAGCACGGTTTCGCTATATATTTGAGTTTTGACAGTGATCTTACTGATCAGAAAATATTTGTATTGAATATTGTGTCTAATGATGAATTCTTTATTAATAAATAGGCGATATATAAACTTCAATGGCTGGGACACCAGACAATGAACTACTTTCGTCAACTTCCGATCAGGAAGAGACAAGTATGAGCAATTCACGTCCAGTTTATTCCCCAAGACGAATCAATCAGGATATCCGTTTATGCACAATTACTCGTACACACGAGAAAGACACTTATGGCATTGAGATAACGTCCTGCCCAATCGAACTGTTTTATTCAATACGAATTTTGCCGAGTGGAAACAAGAAACTATCGAGTAAGAATTCTGCACGGATAATAGAGAAAGATCTATAAACGAGTGGAGTATTTCTTATCCAGATGAGCCTCAAAACTTGCGTAAGATTCACGATTTGGTTCTCTATCAAATAGTGTTACTTTCAAGAGAAATTATCAACAGAAAAAAACTCACACACTCTGATATGAAAGAGATGATAGTGATTATAAAGTCATGGTATTACAAGTTGACATTGATTTTACAGATGCTGCACTTGCTGGTGTGAAACCGAACGATCGTATAGTGGAAATAAATGATGAATCGGTTGATCTTCGTACTCTTGAAGAAGTAGTGCAACTTTTACAAGAAACGAAATACCCTCAACCATTGATATTACTAGTTACGAATGCAGAAACATATGATTATTACAGACATCATGACAAACAGATTCATTCGAAACTTCCTAACGTTCGAAAACTATCCAATCGTGTCGAAAAACGAATAGTATCAAGTCCTTTGGATGGACTACGCAAAACGAATTCGTTGATGGATTTACATTTACCTAAACCAACCACAACTCATCGCAATATCCCAAGAACTTCCTTCAATCAGATTAAATCTGAAAATTCACTCGTCAATGTCTGTAAAGGCGATTTAGCAACTCAAAATGTACGTTTGCATAACTGTCTTAACTGTATAAGAATCATCTAACATTTATATGTCTAATAGGTTGATGTCATTGTCGTTAGTTCGTCGTCACAATTCTTATTCGATAGTATCTGTCAAGCCGGTGGAACTGATTTTACTAATGCATACAATGCTGAAGTGAAAAAGAAACCGGGACGTTCTTTGATTTCGATAAAAGCAGATGGAAAGTTGACATCAAAACAAGTTTATTTTCTTCCATGGACAGAACGTTTTGATCATTTGATGCTTTCTGCATCGATTCAAAAATTTGTTTCCGATGCAATCACAGAAGCAGCAAATGACAAGTTTCGCAGTATGGCATTTCCCGCAATTGGTTGTGGACTGTACGGATACTCGATCGATCTTGTTGCCAGAACGATGACTACGGAAGCGTATCAACAGTCATTGAAACATAGAATTAATGTGTCATTTGTGATACAACCACAACGAATGGACGTTTTCGAAACGTTCCGTAATCAGATTGATTCTATAATACCTAAGCAATTGTTTGAAGTAAAGTCTACAACTATTAAAAACGGCTCAATCGAGGTTATAAAAGGTGATATGACTAAACAAAAAGTATATAATTACGTTTGACATAGTTTTGTCGAAAACTACGTCTTCTCATTATGTATAGGTAGATGTCATTATTGCTAGTTCATCATCAGGATTTTTATTGAAAACAATTTTGAATGCAGCTGGTGCGGATGTTTCTACTGCGTACAATAACGAATTGAAAAATCGACCAAACGCGATCCTCATTGAAACTCCTGGAGGTGCTCTATTCTGTAAACGAATCTTTTTTGTAAAATGGGAGCCAAATCACGATCCACAGACTCTCCGAATCTCCCTCACCGACATGGTTTCCACTGTTATACAATCAGCTATTTCACATAAATTTACTTCAATTGCTTTTCCAGCGATTGGATGTGGAAATCTTGGTTGCTCTGTGAATATTGTTGTCGAAACATTAGTTTTCGAAATGAAAAAATGTTTATTAAAACGGCAACTACCATGGACAGTAAAGTTTGTTATTGAACCTAGTCAACAGAATGTTTATGATGAATTCTGGACGCAAGTATCGAAAAAACAAGATGGTAAGATTAAGCAAACTAAGAACTTTTTCTTCGAAATCATCCCTTTTTTTTAGATCTCGATCAGCAATGTCTTTATGAAATTCCATCGACATGGGAAACGTCGACTGATAACAAAATGCGTTTCGAGTTATCTCCAAACACACGAGAATTCCAAGAAGTTAAACAAAAATTTAATGATGCAATGCATGTTTTAGCTAAAGAAATTATTCGAATTGAACGGATTCAAAACGAACGATGGTATGTGCAATATTTGGCACATCAGAAAGATTTCAAAAGCCGCTTAAATAACGATACGGAACGTCGTCTTTTTCATGGATGTCCTGAACAAGCAGCAAATTCAATTATTACCGATTGTTTCAATCGAAGTCATGCTGGTGCTAACGGTAAGTTTCGATTTTGGTTCCATTTTCGGTTCTGGATTCTATTTTTCCTACATTCACAGCAACTTTATATGGAGTTGGCGCTTATTTTTCATCTCATGCGACTTTTAGTCATTCATATGCGAATCCAAATTCGAATGGAGAACGACGAATGTTTATCGCACGTGTTCTTATAGGCAAAACAACGCCTGGTGATTCATCAATGAAAACTCGTCCAGTTGGATTCGATTCCACTACAGACGGTAACCATATATTTGTTATTTATCATGATGCACAAGCGTATGCAGAATATTTAATAACATACAAATGAAGTTTTACATCGTATATTGAATTTTTCTTTTATTTGAATATTTACATTGGAAAACCGAAACAACTAAAATCTATTGATCAATTTTATTTATAACACGTACAATGTCATTGCGAATTTCCATAACATATGGATGCGTTGTAATAAATGCTTGTCGAAGAACAGCAGCAGCTTTCTTGTAATAAGTCAATGCTCGATCATATTCATTCATATCTTCATAAGCTAAACCGATATTTCTTAACGTAAAGGCGATATCAGGATGCTGTGCTGGTAATGATTGTGTACGAATTTTCAAAGATTTTTGAAAATGTTCTAATGATAGTTCTTTGTTACCTAAAATACGTTGTAGTACACCGATATTTCCGTAAGCATCACCGAGATGTGGATGATTAATTGGAAGACATTTTTCCCAAATTGTCAAGGATTTTTGATAGGCGTCTAATGCTTCAT